AGTGTCGAGAAGGTCGGTTTTAAAGTGGTTTCTCTGTGCGCTCAACTATAGGAGAATTGAAAGTGAAGATCTTAAAATGTAAAACTTTTCTTGTGAATGTAGGTTCAGATTCATAGAATGATTTTAACGAATCGTGAGGGCACGAAGACGATACCAAGATAAAGACATACCAGAAGCTGATATGGGTGATACATTCAAAGACCACCTTACCAGTTAAAATGACTCCTACGAATAAGCAAGTTGTTCAGTTATAGCGCTCAGTCAGTATTTAATTCTCAAAAGGTGGCAGTCGCTTCCCAGTAAGAATATCAAGGATTGAAGCAAAGGTAATAAGTATAGTGGCGGCTGTAGCTGTTGAGCTCCATCTTTAGGTTTGTGGTAAGCAGTTCAGCAGTTCTATAATAAAAAAACAACGAATGGCAGGTAAACAAGTACAAAAATATGACTAGTCCATACGGACCGCACACTTTAAGTTTCACAGCACAAGGGAGCAAAATACCAATAGACACACAGGCGGACCGACGCAAACGAATGGTGCCATTTCTGAAAATGTCACATCTGGCGCATTAGATACAAACAAGCAGGTTTGTCTAAAGGGAACAGAGCGGGCTGTATCAGAGCCGTCGGCGGCTTTGTTTGCGCTCCACGCTCTACCTGTTTGGGAGGCTTCCACATGCAACTGCTTGCAGCGCGGGGAGCAGCACAAATTCCTTTCCAGCCCTTCAGCCCGCCAGACCCTGTAGCACAGAGCACCTATACACCAGTCCGATCACGACCCAACGCGTTCCCAGAGCCCCCCCTCTCCCAGTACCACCACACGCGTCCATACCTCCATTGGTGCAGCTCAGGTAATCCCAGAAATGCATGTCGGCCGTCACTACACATGGGAACCGAAAGCCTCTGCCAAATCCCGGACGCCTGTTAATGTTCCTGCTCAGTCTCTCCACTTCCTAGTTGTACTGTATGTTGGCACTTATAGGAGGGAAAACACCCGCCCACTGATTTGTTTCAGACCGACGCACCTGGGGGCCGAGTTTCAATTCAAAAGCTGCTGCCTCCTTCTCTGGAGCTCTCATTTCTAATCGTGTCCCCCCCCCCTTTGCGTCCAGTAATCTCATCTCCTTGTCTGACGGACAAAAACCAACAGATAACAGTAAAGATTGATCCAACATCATCAATGTTTCTTTCCACATCCCTTGCTTTTTCAGATTAGTTGATGCAAAGGGGAGAGCAGGCGAGGAGAAACAGACCGAAGCCCTTCTTCATCTTTTGTCTGAGCAACACGGGTGTGAAAATGATCCTTACTCGTTATGAACAAAATAAATTGCATTTCAAATCACACGGGACAGATGGCAGACAGACTCACTTATTCGCACCGGTCGGGTTTCTATATATTTGATCGCAGACTTGTTCACCACACAGGAGGAAAAAAACAAACATGACGATTGCACTGACGATGCAATCAAGCAAACATTAACCCGACTTGAATAATATGTACAGAGTGACTGTGTTCACCCACCGGCAATGGCAGTGACTTGTCCAAACGCCAGCCAGCTAAATGGCTTTAGAATTCACTAAACTCTCTATATCTATCTATTTCAGGAAAACCTGCAATTTTTTGGCACACAATCCTTTCAAAATATCAGAAAACTTTGGGGACCCGGCGTGCGCAGGGATGTGAGAGGTCAACGCTCACATAAAGGCAGGAAACAAGGATGGAAAACAGAAATCTGTAGGAGGCATAATACGACTCCCAAAAACCCTGAAGCAAAAAACGGACCCGACTATTTCCACGAGGCTGCATGTTTATAGCAAATAAGCAAATGATGACATTGCACTACAATACTCCATGAATCCCACCAAGCCCGCTGAAGGGATGGTTGTGCCCGGTTCTGGTATCAATGCGTCCACTCGGGCCGCCGCAGCGTATCCAGTGTTGTTGGTTGGAGGAGGCAAAGAAAAGCGACCCAAAACACTCGAGACGCACCGGTTCGGTAAGAACCGGCCCGCTGTGGTCCAACAAAACGCCCGAGTCCCAGACGCACACTTTCATCGGGAAAACAGATGTTGTGTCGCGGCGTTGTTTGGCTCTTTGCGTGACAGAAAGCCTCCTCTCGGCGGGGACCTTTGCACCCACAACCGGGGACACGGAGACGGGTGGATTCGACCCACTGCACCACTGTCGGTCTGCGTGGAATACAAATGACCGCGCGGCGTCACCGCGGACACAACAATTCAGTCCACGATACACGGAACCGGCTCCTGTGAAACACCCCGCCGGGTACTGCCTTTGCGTTAACCCCATTGTCTGTGTGTGTGTGTGTCCCCCACCTCCCTTTAATGCTAAGCTAGCTCAGCTAACGGTGGACTATTCCCATTTAATCCGCGCGCACCACCCACCCACCACCGGCGGGATCGATACTCACCCGCTGCAGCCCGGCCGCACCTACTCCCCGCAGCCAGCCGCCTTCTCCGGCCAGTGCAGTCGCGTCTGGTGTGTGAATGAGCCCCGTTGATACCGGCTCCGTGGCTGTGTCTCTCCGTTATGAGCCCCTCTCCCTGTCTCTGTTTTTGTCCTCAACAGCGCCGTTCCCGGTAGCCGGTGTCCACTGACGCTAGCCGTTAGCTGCTAGCTGCTGCTGCTGCTGCCTGGAGCTTCTCCAACATGGCTGCAGCTGGCTGGGCTCACTGATAGCAGGAGAGGGGCCCCTGCGTGTCCACCACCACACAGCACGGTTCCTCAATACATATATTCTGTGAGACCAGCCCACAATTCCCCATTTTTGCAAAGAATGTCAAGGAGAGGGAAGCTCAACAACATCCCCAATTTCCAAATTTACCTCAGACGCACAGTGTGATCAGAATCATGACTGTGTTTAGTGTTAAAACAGGGAGTCATTTGTAACTATTGTTTGTGCAACATGAGTAAATAGTGTTGGCGGCTCCTTCACTTTTTGTGAAATCATTGTTATCAATTAATAACAAGTCTGTTCACAACTGAGAAATCCACTGGCCAGTGTGACTATAAAGTTATGGGGAAAAAGCAGTGCTCACATGATGAGACACCCAACAAACCAATGCTTATTGCATTACAAAAGTAATAGCCATTAATATAATAAAAACTGCATGCAACTATTATTACCGTTTAACATAATTGATCTTTGCCTCATTGTTGATGAAAAGTCGTGGTAACTGAGTAGCAGTAAGTCATCAAAACTGCCGTGTTGTATAGAGGGAGCAGTGGAGGACTCTAATGTCTATGAATAAAATAGTCGTTATCTCACAGTACATGTTTCTGAGTGAAGCTGAAATGACATTGCGATCCACTTTGTCAGTCCCACTTTGGGCGAGTAACCACTGTGCTGGTACGTCACCTATCAAATCCACCTCATTGGGCAAGTCGCAAATTAACACCAAATCCAAAAGGCCTTTTGCAGGAGTTGGTGGTTTTGTGGTGCAGCTACACCGGAGCACATGAAATCAGAGGAAAGGGAAGATAATAACCCACAGTCGTGCTACAACTGTTGTCTCATGGTTAAATTAACTCTTTCATACATCATTTATCTCAGTATCATAATGTAAGCCAAACAAAAGAAGCTTTGAAATAATTATGCTCCCCGAACAAACAAGCAAAACGATTGTGACTTTGATGCTGTCTACCATTATGCATTGCTGGTTCTGTATGTGTCCACTGTCTCGCTGTCACAGCCGAAAAAAACAATCCCATCTACTGATGGGCCTACACACAGGCCCACCTACACATGCATGCAGCTGATATCCATAAACAGCATCTGCAGACACATCCTCGGTTCAAAAATGATTTTCATGCAAACAGAAGAGTGATTCAAATTATCGTGGAAGGGAGGGAGACACTTAGGAGGATTAAAACCCAAGACGTCATGGTGACACATTGTCCGCTGGGCCAGCAATATACTCCATACTCGTGGCAGTCACAAAGCTTGGCAGCTGTTTGGGAAAAACTTATTATGTTAGAAAAGGTGACAGTAAATCAACAATGAGCCATTTGCAGATCACAGGCCGCACTTTCATTCTGTCCTGTATGCGGATAAAACCCCACTGCACACTGTAGTTGGGGCGGCTTTACCTCGTAGAGTTTTAGTCAAAAAACTTCAGTCAGTTTCCAGATTATATAAGGGGAATTACAATGGATACTTTGACGTCATTTGGAATGACTGCCACCTTTACTGGCTTTATATTTGCACAATTCTTGTTTAACTTCTTGATTGAAAAAAACAGATAGTTTAAACCATATTGGCAAACATATAAAAAAAGAATAAAGCCCTCATGTCAGTTGACTGTTCGAGGATGGAAAAACAGGGATTAGAAACTATTATACAATGCAATTTAATCCAGACTTCTGGGAAGGGACATGGCTAAAAGATTTATGAACATTATTAAAAACAGAGGAGAGACTGAACATTTGAATCGAATGTTATTGGTCCGAGCGACTGCCGGTGAATCACAATGAAAGAGAACATAAGAGGTGAGAGAGCGCAGTCTAGTGGATCATCTGGAGAGGTACACAATGGTTTGTCCTCAACCTGCCTCAAATGAGTTCACCTCAGACTATACCATCAGACTGTACCATCAGACTATACCTTCAAAGCCTTCTTAGAAAGTGCAATTTCTTTGCAAAATAACCAGATTAAATATTTATCTTCAGAATGTAATACAATCCAGTTTGGTGAGAACACCCATGGGCATCAGGAAAGGCCTTTTACCATCATGACGGTCGGTGCGGTTTTCTCATCACACCAGCAGTAATTGAGGTCTGGTGAATTCAATCACTGAAAACAGACAAACACAATGTTGATGAACAGCAATGACCCTTTGCATGAAACAGATAAAGATTGATGTAATTGCATTTTCCTATTTGGACAACAAAGTAGACGTTTTTTTGTTGTTGCTCCCAATTTCAATGCTATCGGAAATGTTCTTTATCTCGCCAAATTCAATCTGAAAGAATTGCAGAACCAGAATCAGAGAAAATTGTCTTTTTTTAATTCTAATCAATTTGAATAAATAACACCTATTGAATGGTGTTTCAAGGTTTATCCCCGTGACAGCAGTAGGGTCTCCTCCATGACTGATACCACAAGAAATAATGACATCTCTTTAATGATTGACTTGAATGTAACATCTCTTTACAGTTACAATATTGATCTGGAACATATTACTGCTTTACATCACGCAGATGTCACAGTTACATTTAACCAATAAACATTATATTTGAACATCCAAAGTCTACCCTTTACATGGACACACATCTGAGTTTTTACATAAACACACATTTTCCAAAGAAAACATATTTTTTGATTTCCTCATATAGCGTACATTTTGATAAATATCAGAGCGTGAAGAAGAATCTGTGGTGCAAGGTCAGTACAGAGAAGAAAAGAACACCAACAGGGACTATGTGAAGAAGGACACAGAGTCAGAGACACGCAGCGACAGTTCAGAGAGAAGGAGACCAATTATCTGGGGATATTGGGCACAACGCCGAGAGAGAGAAACAGAAGAGGACCGTTAAATTACTGGACTATGAGGGATAGAGCAAAAGTCACATGAAGGTCACGACCTTTGACCTTTCAGCTAACGACAGTGCAGAGTAAAGGGCACGACAGAGAGGAGCTGTCTGGGTGGAGAGAACGAGGTACGCTGTGATTTACGTGCACGCGAGCTCGCGCAGAGTTGTGCTCTAGCACGCCACTTGATTGGACTTGGACGCGATCTGGTCACTGTTGGAACTGCACTCCATGGAGTCGGTGTGCGAGCGGCCGCGCTTCTCCTCGGCGCCGCGCGAGTGTGTTCGTGCGCGCTGCAGCTCGTTGGTGTGCGCGCGGCTCCGAGAGCCATCGAAGGACGAGACGCTGGAGCCGGAAGCTGTCCGGGAACGAAGCCTGGTCATGCTGGCACTGGACACTGGAGACAGAGGAGAGGCGTTTTCTCTGGTTTGTGCTTGTCATTAGAGGTACCTGAGTTACCTCTTGTTCAATCAATTGTTGGCACGATATTGATTCAACCTAGAGTAAATGCGCTTATTATCTAAAACCCCTGTGAAGGGTTATACTGCTTATCTCATTACAGCGACATGGGGTTGTTAGAAATAAACAGTAGAAGAATATATATATATATATATATCTCGAATATGGAATAGTACTGATTTGTCATTTGTAATAACTAATTTAAGATTTAGATACAGGTGACTTACAGTATCCCATGCCCTGGATGAAATATTTCAAAGCTTCAATCACTTTGGCTGGCTGTATGGAGAAAGACAAATAGCGTTAAATATATGTCCAACCAATCAGGACTGCGACTTCTACACCAGTGAGGGTGTAGCCAATTAAATGTCGCAGCCTACCTGATCCACCTGAGGAAGTCCTCCACAGTCCGCCATCTGGAAGAGCAAATGGCAAGAGTCAAGCTCCAGTCGTTGATACAAACATACGTTCGCTTAAAAAAATAGTAATTTGGTTATTTTTTGAGTCAGTCAGTCGTTTGGTTACCTTGAGCAGTGTGGTCTTGGTGGGGTCGAGTTTGGAGTTGCAATCGACCACGGCCTCTACCGCTGGAGAATTATCTCCAACAATCAGCAGAGTGGAGCACCTGTGAACCAACCGATGTGCAGGTGAATTATGAAGGAGATGTAAGACGCATAAAAAGTTTCGACAGAACAAAAAAGTTCCTGCTGCTATATGCTCTTTGTAAAGGTTCATGTTCACTAACTTGAGGGTTCTGACATTGATGCTTCCTCCAGGAACCGGCCTCTCCACCTCCAGGGCGTTGCGGCTGTGGTAAGAGCGGAGGAACTGACTCACGTTGGCCTGGTTCATCGTTGTTGTGATGTGGTGACGGTATGTAGCTATGAGGTCATGGTTGGTATCGATCTCATCCTGAAAAGTCAGTTTGATGGGAAAACAGAACTATTCAGTATTTCATATTTAGAACTGACATTGACGTCTTTTTAAAAGATATTTCCGCTTTTGTTTGGTCATTGTAACTAATTATGCCTGATGACTCACTTTTCCAAACAAGTGTGGGATGACTGTTTCCGGGAGAGTATGGGTCCAGCCAGTGAGCTTTGACACACAAAACATACACACAATTACACAATTCAGCTGCATTCAGATAATAGCTCACAGCCGATCCCACCACAAATACCACTCACCTTGCTTGCAACAGAACCCATTAATCCCTCAGCGCTGGCGTTGATGTTGATCAAAACCAATCCGTCCACCATATCCGGGTGATTCAGCTACAAACACACAAAGGACCTATTGGTGATATGACTTTTACAGCTCATTTGCCCACTGTGCCATGGCTTTCTGCCCTCCTCTCATTTAGTTTTTTTAAAGTGTGCCATTCTTTTAGAAAACCCAATTAATTTCTACAGTTAAAGATTCCAGCCTGAAACATTTAGGCAATAGAAAAGATCAGTGACTCCGCGCAGGTGTGGGGGGTTCACCTCAATGAACTGTCAAGTTCAAACGGGATTTAGGATAAGATTTGGACTCACGGCAAATTTAGCCAGGATGTAGGCTCCAGCTCCAACTCCCAATCCAATCACCCTACACAACCTGCAAAGCCCAAAATCATCAGGTCACACGGACGAACATCCCACTGTGCCGGCTAAAAATATTCCAACGCGAAAGGACAACTAAAAAGTTTAAGATTAACTCACCCAAAGTGTTTGAGGACAGCAGGCACCGCTTCTGACAACTGGTCCATGGAAGGGTAGGAATATCTGACGGGTCAAAGGTCAACATAGCGATAAGCAGGCGTGGGATCCACACTTTTTACTATTTTTAAATTATGGCGGTATCACGACAGAATGAAATTTAAATACATCACCAACCAGGAAGAATAAAGATAGTGAACTTACTCATCATGCAGAGTTTTGGCTCCCTCATGTTGTCCTGGTGCTTCAATGTGACAAACAGGCAAATGTCTAATTATTTCCTGCATGTCCTCGTGGATAAAGAGTGGATCGAAACAGGACTTGTCTATCAGAAGAAAAACGGAGAAATTATTATGTAAGTTAGGTGATAAATGAGGGGAGGAATATGAAATATAACATTAGAAAACATGACACAAGAAAATAATAAAACTCACGCAGATGTTTATTTATTTATAGAAAATTATGTAAATATTTGAAATGTGCAAGATGCTTGGTGTTGATTAGAGGATACGATATAAATCCTATATATATAATATAGATTTCAGTCCAGCTGATGAGTTGTAACGATGGATAGAAAACTTAACAAACACCACTCTGCTGTTGGAACTCACGGTTAAGTCCAACATCATGAAATGTCAGGAGGACAGGCAGGTTTGCCTTCGGAGTTCCAGTCATGATGCAGTGGACGTTCCCATAGTGTGTCTCCACATGCTCCTCCTAAAGGAATAAATCACGTTGTCAGGTAATTGACACTCGCCTGTCTTAAGATAAAAAACATTTAGTTTATATTTTAGCACATTAGAGCAGTGTTTATTCATCTTTTTAATTTGAACTGAAACCAGATAATACAAATATTATATATAACAGAACTTACATTTATACCTTCGTAATATGACATCTAATTGACAATACACATACATATATATATTGAAGGTGAAAGTCATGTAACTGCACAAGGATTACAGCTGTATTATCTTAAGCCCTCTGGGATACTTACAGTGATCTGGGTCTCAAAAACAGAGTCACCCTCATTATCCTCGAGAACCATAGTTGCTGATACAGAATAGACCACAAACAGATATGAAGTAGATGTGCAGTAGATTTAGAGCAGCAGCCCCGTGCTGATCTTTGATTCTTAAATTCCTCTTTCCTCAAGCAAACTATTTCTTGTCCTTAATCGTATTTGTCGACACTGCCGGTCCTGCAGAATGAGACGTCCTGAGAGCAACAGCGCTTTCTGTTTGAGCTGGTTTATATATACTCCCAACAATGATCTGCCCCTAAGCCGTAACTCCAACCTGGCTCACACGTGGCCAACTGGCCCCTTCCTGTTTTAATCTGACCTCCGGCTGCTGCATTCCCACAGAAACAACACTAGACTCCAAAAGGGAATTAACCAGTAGATCTTACACTGCAAAAACCCAAATCTTAACTGCGAGGTTTTCATCCATCTTAAGATACTTTGAGCAAAAATATCCAGCTGTAATTAAATATAATCATTCAATTTATTTATCAATATCTATTCAATTTATATTCCTCCAAAGTCACCTTTAAGTAATATATTTGTGTGTTTCATACGCAACCCTGAAATGTTTTTAAAAACAACCAGACCAGTGCCATGTAGCGTAAAATATTGCACTAAATGCAAATATGATTTCTAAGAACATTAAAATCAAAGATAAAGCCTGTTTTTCTTCGCTGTGAGGCTTCAGTGGAATCACAACACGTTCAGCCAAGCTGTTAGCAGGTCAGCTGTCTAATCTCAGCAAACCATCTGTTCCTCTCAGCAAAACATTCAGTCCTATGCAGCTCAGTTAACCTTGACGCTCCTGTTAACTAGTGCATTAACTTAATTTGGATGTGGCTCTTACGTAGCACTAATTAAACCAAGAGGTACGTCTAAAAAGCTCTGACTTTCTAACTTAATTTGTGAAGCCCTTTTAAAGATGGAATGGTATATTTGTCCTACTAATAAATCTAAGCCTTCAAATTTCTGAATTATAGTTGATACCTAAAAACTACCCTGTAAATATGTTAGATTGTTTGTTTTACATGGTTTTAAAGTATAATCTAATCATCACATCACAGGACAGAAACTGAAGTTGTATAATTAATGATAAACAAATACATTTTTGGATACACAGCAGTTGAGTTTAGACCATGGCTCCCCTCCATAAAACTAAAAGGAGCGTTCCACCTCCCACGCAAATGTTCTGCAAAAAACTAATTTGACGATATCACATTTAATCTCATTTATATCACACATTGCTTTGCTCTTATTTTCCAGCAGTTTTATTTCCGCTTGTACTAGTGTACATACCTCTTGGCACATTTGAATTATAAACGGTGTAAACCATCTGGAAGCATTGCAAAGTGTCTTATGTTGCAGAGATACACTGACACTGCAAGGACTGCATAAATTAGGGGTGTCAAACATACGGCCCGCGGGCCGGATCTGGCCGGCCGTGACATCAAAGTGGACAGCATGTGGCTCCCTACCTAAAATGAGTTTGACAACCATGGCATGAATGGAAGAATTGTGAAGCCACAAGTGTTCTTCCTCTCGGTAGTCCATACGTCTTCTTCCTCCCCGTATTTTACCAGAATGAGACATATATGGGATATGAGTCTGAAACAACTGCACACATTTAAAGGTTGATTTGGTATTTAACGCTGGTATGCAGGTATGAAAGGTGTTATAAATCTAAATTCATACGGCATTCGTGTATTCATTGAACGCAGACCTTTTTTCTGGATCATGATTTTGTTTTAAGAATGAGACCTCAAGTGATTTATTGCACAACGTACCACTTGTTGACATTCCTTACAGTTACGTGTTTGTCAAAATATCTTGACCTCTGTTTTATAAAAGTTGACATGGAAGCGGGGCTGATTATTCATTAATTATCTCTATTCAAATATATCCCTTGTGATGGCAGCAGGTCAATTCTTTTGGGATTAGCTTCACAAAATCAGGGTGGGAAAATTAATCAGAATCCGAATCAGCTTTATTGACCATGTTTTCTTACACGCACATCTGTCTTTTCCTTACTGGCAACACGCTGTATATACAGTTCCTTTTTTACAAATAAACAAGAAAAACAAATTAAAAATAAAGACAACACAAAAAATGAAATAGGTGAAGAAAAGATTAATTTAGCACTTACAATAAAGATAAAAATACAAATATTATCAATTATGTATATAAGACCGTACCTTGTGAAACAACAGTGAGATTGCAACTGGAAGTGCAGTGTAACTGCTTAATTGTTCATTACGTAGATGGCCGGTGGGAATTAGCGCTAAGTCAGGTGGCCTGCATAAAACACGGATTCCTTCGCATCGTGACCGTCAGCATGCTGCAGGCTTATTTAGTTAGCAATTGTCTCTGGCACAGAAAATATTCCCCGGAGAGCTGAGGGAGGTTTAATCCATTTAGTGGTGGCTGATGAGCACGGCTGAAGACAGCAGATGGGTCTTACTCACGTTAGTCCAAAGCCATTTTAACATCATCCTTACCCTAAGTAAACTTGGGCCTGCTACCCTATTGCACCATTAACCACTGTACTTTGTACTCTTTTCAACTGATTATAGCGTTCCTTATTTTAAAGAGACATGAAAATGAAGAAAAGCCAGTATTAACAATCTCAGGTCCCTGCAGTATTTGTCAGTATCGGTACTTTTACGAACCCCACCGCTGTAAAATAGCCATATGAAGAAGCTGCATTTGATCCGTAACAACATTGCCCAAGCATGGAGCAGCACATGCTGCACCTGTGTGTTATTGCCACTAGATGGGGATAGAGTGTTGACTTTCTGCATATAGCGTGTTAACTGGCAGCATGTACAGCAGCCTCACAATATCAACACCAAGCTTTGTTTTTTACCTGACAAGCCACTTTTTTGAAATGACTGTTATATCAAGTACTTTTTACTTGGCACTATGTACTTGAATTTCACACATCTGAGGTTAAATATGTTCAATGAGATATTGAGGGAAGTCACACACATTTTTTTTGTCTGTTTTGAATACTGTGTGGGAGTGTCTATTTGAAAACAGAAGGATTGGACGGTGAGATGGAAATTGACTTTTGAAGGCCAGAATAATCAGCATATGGTGAAGTGATCCTTGAGTCCCGTAACACACACACTACCTGTTTTTTTTCTTCCTAATCTTCAGTGCTGAAGGTTTACTGCAACATATATGTATAATATTGCTGGCACAGTAGTTGTATTGTCATGCTGACAGCCGGTTGTCATGGTAACTCTTCAGTCTGCAGGTGAATGTCCTGCTGTCCGACTCTCAGCTTTCAAAAACTCTAATTATACACACAGCAGCTGCTGCCACCCGCCACGTGCTTGACTGTGTGTGTGTGTGTTTCTTTTTGTGTATGTACAGTATGTGTGTGTTTGTTGTTCTTGTGTGTTATTAGTATGTATTGGATTTTTCTCCTGTGTGTGTGTGCATTTTCCTGTAAGCATGTTTCTGAAGATGTGTACGTGTTTATGTGCACAAACACACCTGCACTTTATAAACTTCCTTGTATATTATGACATTTGAAGGGTACAGCATGATGTGTTATTTTCATGACTTGGCTAGAAAAATATATTTAAGTACATTAGTATTTTGCTGTAGTATTTTAGTATTTTTAGCCTTAAAAATTTGACCGTAGACAAAATTAAAAGTAATGCGAAGATCCATTCGAATTTCCCGTCTACTCCCGTCCTTTTTATGTTTTGATTTGATTTTGATTTGATTTAGTTTTAGTTTAGCCTAAAACATACAGATACATACATAAATATAAATACATTTAAAGTTATCCTATCTTGGTTATCTACTTGTAACCCTTACAAGTCATTTTACTTCCTCTTGGGGGTTCCGGCTCTTATGGAAACACTGCTTTAAATAATAAAAGTCATGCATCTAGTGGCACTGTTGGTAGTGGCAATTTTTTTATCTGAATATCCTGTATCATATTATATAAATAACACCTGCAAGATAACATCCCTCCGAATCAACTGCAACCTGCACTCATTGTAAACTGGGATGCTGTATAGGTAACACTGGCATACAGTAATCATTTGTTTACTCTAGTAATCTAGTTGAACTACAAAATATTAGCATGGCTCAAAACAGGAAGCCCCTGAAATACGATACGATCTAACAAGCAGGATGGTGCTGGTTTTCTACCCCGCCTCTTTAAGCACTCCATATGTGTGAAACATGGCAGCTTACAGTATGAATATTAAACGGCTAGTAGAAACCCTTTTTCATATCCAGTTTCTTCTAAGTTGCTCTGGGGATTACATAGTATTTCACACTGCTGCACGAGTAGTGCGCCTGAGGGACAGAATTACAAACTAGTCCAGGGGAGGGGTTGCACTTTGTGATTGGGTACTTTAACATGGTTTAAACATTCATCAGTCATTCATTTAGGAGTGAATTACATAGAAATTCCTATGGACGTCAGTAGTCACAACGAGGTTTTATAAAAAAAGATTGACCATATATTCGTAGTTTAAAGATGGACGGATAATAAGACATATAATAAATAAAGGATTGTCAACTCTAAGAGTGTAACAATTTCCTTTATTATAGACGTACATGTAGGTTGCTTGAGTATCTTCTTTTATGCAACTCTATACTTCTCTTCCACAACATTTCAGAGAAAAATGTTATACTTTCCACAACACCAAATTCGGCCTTCATGTTTAGCTACTCACTGTAAAGTGAAATTAAAACAAAAAAATGATTATCTTCTGATTAACTGAAGGATGAAATGTTCCCTTCATGAGTAAGGAATTTATTTTCTTACTTATTTCATATGAATAAACTATTTAAAGACCCAATGGTTGTTGGGGTCAATAGGTGAATAAATCCTCACAAATCTGAAAACAGGCCTGTTTTTCTTCGCTCAGGCACAGTTGGCTGTTTTGATCTACTACGTGGTTCTCACACAACAGCAAAGTTGCAGACACATAATGCATTTATGTACAGTAACATGGTGCATTGCTATAGATTTAACAATCTCAAGAATGAGTTCAAATAGCACCATAATCCTCAGTGCTGTTGTAAGCATAATTCCAAAACATCAAACTAAGAATAAACAGTGAATGGGACAGTTTTTTAGAAGAGTAATTCAACTAGAAAACAAACATTGCCCTTGCCAGTTTAAAGGATGTTTGACATGACTCACGTTTGTATGGATGAAATGAATACACACACTGGAAGGTTTGATATGAGAGAACAAGGTCATCACGTATCCATACTCATATTTTTCTGCTGTAGTCCAAATCTGGCAGTTGATTCTAAACATAATAATTCACAACCATTAGAGGCGCTTCGGTCGTTAAAACAAGACTTGAACACTTGCTTAACATTTCGCCGAGGTAAAAGGACTGTGGAGCCTTGGCAGGGCAGACCGTTGCTTTCATGACGCCAAAGCCGGCACCCAAAATGTTCTTTCGGCTCAGTCGAAAGCACAAGACGACCAGCTGAGAGTTGACTTACAGGGTGTCAGCTCACGTTTCCAGAAAACATTGCAGCAAACCTGTTTAGGCCAGTGCAATGCTGTTGGTAGTATCAAAACAGATGGTCCCACTGGAGCTGACTCCTCCCCGGGGGGGTCAGATAGATGAAGCCTTAAAAGTGAGAGTGTGTGCACTTACAAAACTTAGACAGAGGGGGGATGTCTGAAGTGTTTGGGCTGGGATTCAAAAGTATTTCAAGCAAACTTCAAAGCAAACTGACATTAAAGTGGTCTCGAGATGAGAAAGGTGCCGTGCAAATACAAGTCCATTTACCATTTAGCTGAAGAAAACATCTGAATTTGCTGAAAGGCGTAATCCCACTTCAAGAATATGACTGACAATATTTTTGTCATGTTATTGAAAAATTACACTTTCACGTACATTACGTCCACACTTCTATGACTATGAGAGGAAATCAGTGGTGTTTGTGTGCGTGCTACACAAGTCTATGCAGACAGCCAATTCGGGTTTGTTGTCATTTTATTCAACAGTACACTGGGTTGTTGCAGACACTTCTGGTGAAGATCTGCGCTCAACTAGGAGCCCCTTTCTATCTCGTTTTATAGATAGTTATTAAAGAAATACAGGCAGCCAGCCTCAATGACCCTGGTTTTATTTACTGTACAAGGTAAACTGTCTTTTTAATCTCAATGTCTCACTAAAATGTCTCGTTGCATGCCATGACCTTGTTCCCTTTTCTCGTCACCATGTTTACAATCAGGTGATCAGCCTGTGCTTTAAGAGGTGTAAGATACACATGCTGAACAATGTGGGAAGAAGCCGTATTCACCTCCATTCTATTCCATGTTTAGAATGACATCAAGGCAAACTAGTTGCCTCCCTTGTTCTTCTTTGCTCTGGAGGTTTTAATCTCTCACACAGTCGATTTGTTTCTGAAAACCTGATGATCATTACTTTTGTTTGTTTTTATCACTGACAACCCAGAAAGGAAATGTTGAGAGAAAATGAATCGCTATAAGGAGAGTAAGGAGTGAGATAACACTGAGCCATCATGCACGCGACAAACACAGATCCTGTCCTGAGAGAATGTGCACGCACAGACAATTACTTACGCAATAAGCGATCTTGAACACTCAAAATTGAATGTGATGAACTGGAAATTGTTGTTTCCAGTTTTTTGTTGTTCCAGTAGTGTGCTTCAAGTTGTTTTAGCTATTGGGAGACGTTCTTCAGAGGTCTGTGCGTGGGTGAAAACTCATGTCAGAGTGATTGATAGTGCGTTGAGGCCCCGGCTTGTTCTGCTTTAAGACGTCTTTGCGTATGACTTCCTCGTGACTCTGCACTCACGTATCCATACCCTCAACCTGTCAACAAATCGGGAAAAACAAAATATTTAAAAGTCAAACACAAGGCTGCATGGATCTTTTGGAAGCCTGCTTTAATGATGTCAGTTTAGAAACACATTGTCCTGCAATTTGTCCTCTTTTATTACATACTGATTCACCAAGAAAACAGTTTCACGCAGTAGTTCGACTTTAGGAACACAAATAAACGGGAGACTATTGTTACGCTAAGGAGAAAGTCAATTCCATGAACTGGTACTCAAAGGTTTTACATGTCCAATCTGTCTGGTAGGACAGTCTATTTTTAGCTGGTGCAAAGGAGGGAGAGGGGGGAGGACAGAGGGAAGGAAAACAAGAGAGGGTCCAGACAGACGTGCCATGACAGGAGCAATCCATCGGACCTCATCCTTTATTTTCAAAGTTATTTTACTTCATTTCGAGAGAAACATGAACTGATCTGTGATTGTGTTACTGTGCACTGCACTGCATGTGAGACCACACGCCTCGTCCACCAGAGCCTCGTGTCCTCCTGCCTACAGAAAGGTTTAGGAGGAGGAGAGGAGGGTAAAGACGCCCCCTTTTCTTTACCCTGGAAGAGGGGAGGGGGGAAAAAAGGAGTCGAGTGGATGAAGAGCCCAGGAGGAGGAGGAGGGTAAAAGGTTAGGAGGTTAGGAGGGGGGGGGGGGGGGGTGAGGCTCCTCCGCTCTCCCTCTAAGAGCATTAACTGTGGAGTGTTCTGGTAGTGACAGGGGTTGTCAGGGTCAGATGGCTGCTCAGCCTGATTAGACGAGCTCACAGCAGATCCTCGGTCCAGAGCGCTGCGAGGCTACGGCGAGGCAGAGCCACCAGCAGACACGCACGGTAAAGACCGTGGATACCGAGAGGCCGGCGAGGCACAGGGAGGCTTCGGTGATACAGTCAGGCATTGCAACAGGTTGTTGCACAAAGACTTCCCCTTTCTGCTCGTTGACTGACAGACATTTCAGCTTCTAGAGGCAGAAAAAAAACTAAAAGACTAAAAGCCGATCGGCTTTTCTGTGAGGAAGAGGCAGAAGAACCGTTATTCAGCCAGCGGGTGGAGATGACATTGAATAGCAGGTAAGGACAATCACTTTATAGATATGTTACTAGATACAGTGATCAGACTAGTCACATTTTTCACTGTAAGAGAAAGTGAGAAGACAAGGCTGATCTAGCATTATATACAGTTTCTTCCACAAACTCTGCTGCTATGGACACAGCTATAAATACAGCTGCCGGTCTTCTGTGTCTACAGGGGTTTACTATAACGGGCAGTCAGCTGGTTGTAGGTCAGCACTCACTCTGTTGAAGGATTACTGCATGCTTTTGCAGGTCTGACGGTGGTTTGTGGACGTTTCTGTTCAGCGGTTGTCCACTGAGGCGAGGAGGGAAGACTGTATGTTTACCGTTTCAGAAACAATCTAAATTTAGGCATTCAGCATATCCTCTTTTTCAGAGTGACTTCCACTGTTGTTGTCAACTAGAAAGCGACGGAGGTGAATGTGCAGACAGGATTGATCCTATTTGAGGCTACTACTAACCTGCCTTGTTGTTGTCTTTACTACTAACCTGCGAGATTACCGTGTTTCACATCGCAAGGACTGCGGAAGGTTTGGCAACCTATAAGGCTCTAAAATAAAATTGAGATCCATTTTTAACTTCTTTGGGTCCAGCTTGTGACACGGAAACATCCAGGAAGTCAGGCGACCAACTGGCAACGCACCTGTTTGTATGAACTAAACTGCGCTCTGAGGCAACAGAGAAGCTCTGCCTCACAGTTTTAATTGAAATTACTGCTGCAGTTGCTATTTACCTCATGTTCCTTTATGCTTTAATATGATTTTATACGAAGTCACTCACCTTTAGATGTCAGCTTAGTGCCTAAAATATCTACACTACTTGTGAAGAGTATTCAAATATGTCTTGTGTTTAGATGTTTTGGATCTTTTTTTAATTCCTTGCCTGTATCTTAGTTCCAGTGCATTCAATGCTTTGTCTTGTCTGTGTCCGTGCAACATTATAGCTTTTATTCTCAGTAGAGTTGTATTTTGGTGTGATTGCTTTGCATGACACTGTCAAAACTGTAATGGCATATTAAATTCATTCAAGAAGTTGTATCTACACTTCTAATGATATGGATGGAAAATGTATGACGTCTATCCTGATTAGTGGTAACAACAGGATAAATTCCTAATTATAGATAATCAACAACCTGGAATAGACTGAAGTCTCCTGGAAGAGTAAGTCGGCATGTGATTATAAAGGGTGTGTGCCTGTTTGTGTGTGTGTGTGTGTGTGTGGTAAGTGTATTGTCAGAGCTGAGATGAAGAGTCGAGGCTGGATTATCCAAAGTACCGCCGACCTTTACTTTGTTTTTGTCTAAATATTTGGACAACATGGGAACATGAGTAGGTAGATAATAACCTAAAAATAATTTCTACAGGTTATCAAAAGTTTTATTGTCTGATAAATTATTTCTTACCAAGTAGAGTAATTCCAAGCAGTGTCCATACTTTTCCTTTCAAGACAGAATCTGATGTCCCACAGACCATGTCCTGATTTACTTTACATTACATTTAGCTGACGCTTTTATCCAAAGCAACTTACATTACACTTTAAACCCGTGGCTTTTCACATCTTTGCCCGGGGAGCAATTAGAGGTTAGGTGTCTTGCTCAGGGACACTTCAACATGGAACATGGGGCAGCCTGGAATCAAACCACCAACCTTGTGCTTCCCAGCACACCTTCTCTAACCCCTGCGCCACGACAACCCCTTCCTTTTCCATTTACTTCCTCCTATACATCATTGTGTATGTTCATGTCAAAGCAAGGCAGAATTAGGAAACTTGTAAATATCAGCATTCTTGAATATATGCATAGTGGTCTCTATATTTGGCAAATAGAATTAAGAATCAGTCAATTTAACTTCATCCTTTTAAACTAATACTATACAATTGTTATTTAAGTTCAATGGCAATGCATTCAAAGCTGTATATATGCACATGTTACATTACATTACATGTCATTTAGCTGATGCTTTTATTCAAAGCGACTCACAATAAGTGCATTCTACCATAGGGTACAAACACAGAAGAACAAGAAACAAGAAAGTGCAATTTCCTCAAATAAGCCAATTTACAATTTGCTATAGATAGGTGGCGTTAAAAGTACAATTTAAGTGCCACAATTTGTTAGTCTTTAGTTGAGGTAGAGTCTGAAGAGGTGTGTCTTTAGTTTTCGGCGGAAGATGTGAAGGCTCTCTGCGGTCCTGATGTCTTCAGAGAGCTCGTTCCACCATTTCGGCACAAAGACAGCGAAGAGTCGAGACCTAGTCGAGTGTTTTGCTCTCAGCGATGTTAATGTGTGGGATTCTCTTTGTGCATCAGCCAAACAGCTACTGTCCCAAAGGACTCCATATTCCTGTCATTCCTGAATATTTTGCGGATTTTTCAGAACAATGGAACAAATCCCGAATTATTGATGTTGTATTTGTAGTGAGTTATGCTTTCGAAGGGTTCAATTTTGTCTGTGTGTTTGTCATTTAGAACCGCTGGTTGATGGAGTTTGTGCGGCGGAGTGGTGACTACTGCCACGCTCAACACCTTTAGAGCCTATCTGGGATGAAGCTGCATCATGCAATCCTGCAGCCCTGAAACCTGAAAGACCATCAGCCCTCACCCCTGTGAACCAGCTAGCCCATGGGGTAACACGTGGAGCCTCGCCACCGGAAGCCAACTGGAAACAGAAGGACAGAGAGAACTACTGAGGGACAAGGAGCGAAAGAGAGAGGGACCGAAGGACAGACAATCAGAGAGATAGAAACAGAGAGACACTGTAGCATCCGGGACTACAGAACCGATGGGGTAATAATTGTACCCAACACAACAGGACCTCGGAATTGAGAAAAAACTTAAAGGATAAAAAAAGTATCCCAAGTGGAGGTTCACCAGGAGACAAGAAGTCCAGAATCACCTAAAGACGACTTGATATTAGTTCCAAACACAGCAGCTACCTGGAATAGCTGGAGGTAAACGTGAGAGTTGACTGGTCACCTGAGCTTTACTACACATGGTGATGCACCGACACTTTTTAACTCCTCCATATTAGAGAGTTGTATGAGCTAAAATCTGCTTTTGTAAGATTTATTTACAGGAATGCTTTCATTTCCTGTCTTTTTCTGAAAATATTGCATTGAAAAAACACACACGCCCACACACACGCACACACACAAGGTGGCCTGATGTGCTTCTCATGTGTTCTTGGGTGTTACTTGAGCCGGGAAGAACCACTTTCTTAGTAATTTGTACATAAAAAGTGAATAGTAAATCGTGTCAGTGTATGGGTTAGGTAATGTCAGATTAAGGGGATTGACATTACAATTGTATCCCAAAATACCCTCACAGAATCAACACAGGGGTAATTGATCAAATATTTAATGGTCTTGTGCTGAGGTGGAGCATCGCATTCCTCTTTGAACACTGTCCCTGTTCTAGATGTGCTTTTCTCACTCTACGTTACATGAGACTAACATAGAAGGACTGTTAATATGTGACCTTGTGAAAAGTAGCACGATTATGTTACAGGTTTGATTGCATTTAAAACATTTTCAATAATGGAAATCAGCCATCAATGATCTCGTTAAAGCTCTAGCTTCTGGGGAAAACTTAACATGGTGTCATGTTTTGTGTTTTTTTGAGCAAATATCTAAGGATCTTAAAAATGTACACAAAATGTGTCTCAGATATTTGAAATGTTAAATTCCTAGAAATAAACTGTACATTTCTCCCCATCATAAAAAGGTCAGAGGTCAACCTGCGATATCAAAGGTCATGCAGGCCAACATGAACCGACCAGCTCCGGTTGAACTGTGCCACAAGAACATGAGATTCCTCATCACACACAACCCCACAGACAGCACACTCAGCTCCTTCATAGAGGTAAAAAAACATGTCTGTGCCTCGACAGACTCCCATCGGTACACCGAAGAGCTCGAGAGAGATTACATACACATACCTCATGTATATACTGTACGTTTTCCTTTTCAACGACGTGCAAGCTGAAAACGTTATTCAATTGATCTACGTGTTTTAGCAAAGTTGAGAAAATGATGTCCGGCCGCCTTTGACACTTTCAGGACCTGAAGCGCTTCGGCGCCACCACAGTTGTCCGCGTCTGTGACACCACGTATGACAAAACACCGCTGGAGAAAGACGGCATCACTGTGGTGGTGAGCATGCGCGTGCACACACACACACACACACACAGACTTAGTGTGACATAACCAAAGTGCAGCGTGCCAGAAGTACTGTAACAGTTCCCATTTCTTTCAGGATTGGCCGTTTGATGATGGAGCCCCGCCCCCGGTGAAGCTGGTGGATGATTGGCTGAGTCTGCTGAAAAAGAAGTTTCAGGAGGAGCCAGGATGCTGCGTGGCAGTTCACTGTGTGGCTGGCCTCGGGAGGTGAGAGACACACCAAAAAGAAGAAAAGAAAAGCATTCTTTTATTGTTTTTGTTTGTATTTGAACCGAATCTAAGACAAGGAGACGCTGCACAACAGGGATTAAGATGTAGAGAAAGTTTCTGGTAAAACTAGGTCACACTGGAGGGATTACAGTCACATTGTGTTTTTTCCCAATATATATAATAACACTGTACACAACAACAACATTTGATACCAAATTCAGAAGGCATTGATCTTTCTAGCACGTGTTGGACACTTTGCACACACACAGATTCTAGTTCTGTCATACGGCCTTATCAAAACTTTTTAAAGATGCGGGTAATTACTCAGACAGCAGTCGTAACAGACATGGAGGTGACTGTGTGTGTTTGTGTGTCTGTGCATGCATGCAGGGCTCCTGTGCTGGTCGCCTTGGCTCTGATAGAGAGTGGGATGAAGTATGAAGATGCTATTCAACTCATCAGACAGTGAGTTCATCATGCAAAAAAAGACAAATATTAAAAACAAACAAGTTCTTATTTGGATTGTGATATATTGTAAACCATAAAGATTTTTGTAATATGTAAAGTGCTTTACATTGATTATAAAAACCTCTTTTAAAAACCACAACCTCAAATTTATGAAGTTAAAATTGAATTCATCCAGATCTAGATGGTTAAATAAGGGTTATACCATTGACTTCCATCATACATTGTGTGTCTTTATGTGTGTCTCAGGAAGCGCCGTGGAGCCATCAACAGTAAACAGCTAACCTACCTGGAGAAATATCGATCCAAGCACAGACTCCGCTTTAAAGACTCTCATGCACAAAAGAACAAATGTTGCACAATGTGAACACATACACAAAACACTAACAAACAAACAAACAGACAGACAGCCTGTGGTACTCGACGAATAATCTCAGGAAACCATACAGGCCTTGTGTCACCGTCAAAAAGAAAGATTTCTGTCTACAGGCTTGATTGGCCCCAGTTTTAATAGAACCCATCTTTGTTCCCTTGTTTGTGATGATCTCCTGATTCATTTATTGGGACGTCATTGTCACAATATATTCAAGATTTGAGAGATATATTACAGTTAAAAAAGATACAGAAAAAAGATGGGCGAGGGAACCAAAATAAAATATAAATTACTTTTTGCAAACACAAAATACCCAAAAATGTTTTGGGGATTGTTTTCATAAAAAAAATCCTTCGGGCGCTCCTATGTGGACCTCTAAACAGATTTGGTGTGGTTTATGGCCTTCAAAACCTTAAATTATAACGTTTATTTTGAGAAAATACCATTGAATTTTAAGATTTTGTACTGATATTCAATAAGTTTAAACTTCACCATGATCCGAGTATGAAATTACATGCAGTATTTCTTTGATTGTTTTTTTCTTTCTAATTGTTTTATGTGTGAAAAACACTAACAAAGAGTTAAAATCCTAACACATGGAAACACGGGATTAAAATCAGTTAAGTAGCTCAGTGTTTTTAATGAGAAATAATGTCAATACTCTCTGTAGATTCCGTATTCTTTCTTTTACGTTATTCCTGTTGGTGTCTTTTCTCAGTGTAATTGCAGATATCAGAGCTAATTTCCATGCTACAAAATTTAAATCTAGTTCAAAAGTGCTAAATGAAGAAATCTGGTAGACATAAAGCATTTGGTTTTGTTACAGTTGCACCATTACTTCATTGTGCTCAAGTTATGTGTTTACATATCAGTGTGTGCATTATATTATGCTCTGTTTGCTGACACCTGCAAAAAGAAACATTTTTCTCTGCAGCAGCTGATTTGAAGAAAGGTTTAAAGTACTTCCTAATTAGGTCATTCTTAATAATTCACCTTTAATGGTACATTACACATACAGAGCGATGTAAACTAGTTGTAAATAATATTATAAATAATATTAAATAAGATATCTATTTTATTCTCATAGAGGTCAGGGTTAAACATTCTAATATGTTAACTAAAAAAAGTTTCAAAGAAATTGAAAAAGGTATGAAAAAGTGTTTTCTTATTCTAATCTTTTTTTTGTCAGGGAGTAATTCCTCCATTAAAGAGTCAGTCTCACTTTTAATCCACAGATGATATATGAGTCAAACCCTAGCACTAATAATGATGGGCATCATTTAGACTAGGTTACAGTATATTACACATATTTTCTTGTGTGGTGGTATTTATTCAGTTGTATTGATCCCGAATGAGGCGTGTAACCAATCGATTCAGTTTTTGCCGACGGTGAAGCATACACCTTTTATGGATTATTAATTGCTTGTGATAGTCTCCTCATCATCTGATGTCATGAACAATAATTTGTAAGAAATAAATTTAACCAGAGGGTTAACAATTGAAGAAAAGATGGTGAGAGGAAAGATAATGTACCATCGTTACCTCAAAGTTTAACAGATTGGCAGTTAAATTGTTCATATGTGTGTGTGTGTTTGTTTTGTAGCCATTAGCCATTGTTAATCTTTTGGACTGGCCGGAGCTGAAACTTCTTATGTACAAACAAATGCTGTAAATGTCTGTATGTTTGTACATTTTTGCACTGTTTAATAAAGGGTTTGTTATTGTCCCTATATTTCAGGAGGTATTCTTTAATTTCTCCGTCTGTTTTATAAGGCCGATATGATCCCTTTTTTGAGCCTTATCAGGTTTCATTCTGCTAGAAATTGTCAACAAAAAAGGCATCAATTATGACTATTCAGGAAGAAACAAATACATTCCTCTTAAAACTAAATCGTTTCATTTCCTTGCTGTTTGTGGCAGAAAGACATTATTGTTAGATTTTGCAACAAAACACAAGAAAAACAATGCAATGCATTCCTAGTATAAAATTCCCTGAACTGTAACTCATTAAAGTCTCTTTTTACTTGTGTGTTTCTTTGAGTGTGCAATCATTACCTGTCCACTGTGCTGATCTACCTATATGTTTCCCAGTGATTCAACTGCCTTGTAGGAAGGAGGACTTTAAGGCCTTAAAGCCAAGGCTAATCCTCCCAACTTCGGTAACCACCTAGAGGTTTTTTTTGTATTTTTACACTATCCAGGTTTTGTAAAGAATAAAATAAAAATCGTAATACTAGCTACTGTCTGTAAACTGCGATTTAAGTGTGTCATATGTTATTTGTCTGTATTTTGATGAAAATCTAGTAGCTTAACTTTCTTTCTGTTAGTGAATGATAACCTTGGCCAAAATGTTTGGACCAATATCACTCGCAGTTCATCTAGCGCCGTACAGTCCTCCTGCCACATGGTGGCGCTGCAGTACCACGGAGTCCTGTCCACTTCCGCTGGTTGGAAGGACTCCTGTGGCAGATTCGACAGAAATTTCAATGTGCGTAATATAACATTAAGCTCTAAATTCTGAAATCAAATAATTTGTTTGGCTCTATGATGTCTCTGGTCAATTGGTTAATTCGTTTTTCTTTGTTGTTTTGACGCTAGAGAATGGAGGATCAAAAAGCGGGTAAGGATTGGTCGTACGTTAGTTTTAACTCGAATATGTTTGTTGGGTCTTCATGTCAGTCGGTGCCAAATCAAAATAAACTGGTATTTTAACTTGAACTATTAACGTTAAACGTTTGCGGGTTTTCAGAGGGGGTTTACATTATATTCCCACGGTGGCGATTATTTACAGGTTTTCTGTGTAAAGTAAAGTGGTCTATAAAGGGGGGAGGAGGGTTGTTGTCGTGGTCGGCAGCTAACGATAACTCACAACGTGTCATCTGACCGTTATGTGGACACTCGTGGCATTTTGTTATAATGTAAGCTACCAACGGGAGATCATCGCCACTTTAAAAAGAAACACATTAACATAGGGCTCGTTACCAACGCCAGCCCATATTTCAATTGGTTCTTTTGACGAAAAAGATCTTTGACAACTGGCAAACAGGAGCTTTTAACAATGTATTTTATTTGAACAATATCACATAAGGAAATGGGTTACAATAGCTCAACAACGATTTGATGTGTCGCCTCAAAGCATGCAGGTCTAGTCACTCCAATTAGCTCTCTCATAATTACTCTGCGTGCTTCTCCCTGCCACCTTTCTTCTCCGTGTCTCCCAGCCGGTGCCGTGTTTATGTGTCGGCTGTGCCACCTCTTCTCTCCCAGTCGCGCCCAGCTGCTCTCCCATTGCTCCGCACTGCACAGCGAGCAGCAGCCTCCTGATGACATCATCGTCGCCCTGCGGCCTCTCGCAGGAGACCCCGCGGAGGCGCCTGCAGGTAACGCTCGCACGTTATGTATGATATATGTATATATAAAAAAAAAAAACAATAAAAATGGAAAAAACAGCACACTCATTTTATTTTGTAGTTAATATCAATGCATTTACTAATTTGGGGATGCGATGAGCAGTGCTGTACAATGTATTTAAATTCAGTGCTCCAGTAATATTGTTGACTGTTAGTCAATCTTAGGTCAGTTGCAATCAGAAATATTCAATCCGCTCCCCTAAAAAAGACGTTAAGTAATGTTGATGAGAATAAATGACAAAACCTCTGTTAAACAAAAATATTATGATTAACATGGTTATTTTGACAATATAAGTTGACTTAAATTTGTCGTTAACACTGTAGTATTCAACTCCAAGCTTAACTACCTTGTTGCGTCCTTTAAAACTAACGAATGTTTCGGTTTAGCACCGACAAGTTTCTTGCTGCAAAGCCAAATGATCACCTAGCATTGTTTTGGCAACATAAGGTGCCATGTTTCTCTTTAAAATGGATTTCTGAGAATCCATGATGCCAGGTACGCAATCAAGAGAGCTACCCCACATCATCAATGACCCACGTCCATTGACCATTGGGGATTTCTCTGGTCAGATGCCTGACCTTTTGCACGCCTGACATACCGCTGGTCCATATCCATGCATCCATATGCTGGTCACAGGCATGTTTGCAGCTGTTCCACATGTTTTTACTATAATTCTCCCAATGGTGTCTCTTGGAATATCACATTTTTTGGATGTGATGAAATAATCTCCTCTGTCAGCTTTTGAGGAAAATCCTTTGTCTTTCCAATCATTTCAGATCACCTCCAATACCCTCATGGGTGGGGTTTGCATATGCATCACAGCATGATCTGGCTCTTTCTCAAACGTTTAATTGATAAATCCTTAAAATCTTTGGGTTGGTTGAATGTTTCTGATTGCAACTATGTGTGTATGTTTAAGTGGAGTAAAAATAACCACCTACCTACAGAGCAATATATCACTGCGATGAGATACATGACACACGAGTTAAACTGTATTAGGCTAATGCTAAGTGGAAGTAGGATAATCTCGTTGTTTCTTTTGGTCTCTTAAGTGAGGGTTTTCAAATTAAAAGCTCCCAGTGTTATCTTCTTATCTGTTGTCCTGTCCTGTCGGCTCACAGACAGACCAGTGAAGCGAAAACGAGGACGACCAAAAGGCTCAAAAAAGAAATCGCGCACCGATTTGACAGAGAGCAAGGCTGACTCTACCCAGTCTGATGTTCAGAGAGACGAAGAAAAGGAGAAGGGAGATGAACAAAGTAGCTCAGCAACAGGTAATTTTGCAATTTGTATGTTTCCCACATTTCCTTTTTTTAGATGTACACTCTCCACAAGAGAAGCTGCTTGCTTAGTTCCTATTTTAGAGTTGGGGTATTCAATTGGATAAATGACTTGGTTGATAATCTAACTTTTTATAGTTTTTTCTTTTAAATTGAATTTCCTTTTGTTTGTGATTTTGTTAGTCTGTAATACAAACTGTGTTTCCCACTTTAACTATTATGACTCTTTACTTTTTTCCCCCTCTGCTAGGCAAAAGCCATGACAGGATACTGGGGCTTGAATGTCGAGACTGCCATCGCTCCTTCAGCAATAGACGACAGATACGCAAACACATATGCTTGAGAGAAGAGGATGAGGAAGACGAAGAGGAGAATGGTGAGTACTGAAGCAAGTTCAGTAAATAAAATGTCCCAAACATTGGTTTTACTTGCCAATGCAGGAGATTCCGGTTAATAGATCGAATCATTATTTACAGGAAGCCCCTGTGGTGGAGCAGGAATCGATGGTTCTGGGAGTCTGGACCCTGAGGGAGCGGATCCACTGCAGAGCCCCGTAAAACCAGCACTCGTGAGAAAAAAAGGTTCAATTGAGTTTCTTGAATTATAATCAGGAGGGACACTTTATTGTCGCTTTAAAATCACTATTAAGTGTTAAAAGCTAATCGATCCCAGCTGTCTGACCTTTTGTTCTTCTCTGCTCGTAGGTGTGGGCGGCTTCAGACCCCCGAGAACCGGTCGAAGCCGCACCTCCAAAGAAGGACGCTCAACAGCGGTAAACAAAATGTCGGTCTTCAGTGTTGTTCTCACAGAAGATGAAACCCTTCCAGGTTTGCCTTATGGACCTTTATGCTACTTTTTATGCTTAATCTAGCTTTGAGTTTTTATAAGAAATATGTGTTACCTTTTAATTCAACAGGTGTTTCTAAAATGGTTCAAGTAGATGAAAGTTCAGTGGAGACGGAGTCTTCGACCATTAAACCTCAGGTAAGGAATACACAGAAATAGTCACGCAAATAATGAAATGTATTGCTCACCTACCTTTTGTAGTGACAGTCAGTTTGGTTTTAATCAGCCCAGGTCTGAGATTTGTGTCTCTCTCTCACCTCTTTTCATCTTTTTTTGTGTTTTCCTGGTTACTAAGAACGGTGCACTGGCCTTTTTGTGAGCGGTTTCCACCAAAGAGATAATGCCATGTGTCTGACCAACACCTATAAAATAAACATTACGTTTCAGCTGTGTTCCGAATGGGTTGATTCCGTCATACAATGTTGCATTCTGTGTGTTTTTAGAAGATGATATAATATCTATTTGATTGAAATTGATCTATTAATGTCAATATTACATCACAAATTTCTTTGGTCAGCAGTCTGCAGTTTTGCAGAGTCAGTCACAAGACCCTGCAAGGGAGGCCATTAACTGCGAGGGAAACCCTGAAACCGATCAGGAGCCAAGGTAACATGATCTCAATCCCAATGCCTTCAGAGTAATACATAATCAATGGTCATGAGTGCTCTGTTGCTGCCTTTCTTGACCCGGCCTTTCCTAGTTAAATAACGTTTTTTTATTTAAACGTTTATCTCCTGTCAGCAGTGTGATCCCTTTGTCCTCAACAACAACAACACCAACAACAGCAGCAGCAGCAGCAGCCAGCAGAGGATTCCAGGAATATTCTATCAAGCAAGATGCTACAAAGTACCGTAGAAATATCTTGTATTAATTGTATTAACATTGTTTGGCTTTTATAATTTTTATAGCTGTGTTGGTTAAGTGTAGCTGAATGCTCTCTACATTAGTGTAAACAAATCAGGTTCTGATCTAAAAATTGATCACTTGGATCTATTGACTTTCTCGCCCCAGGTCTTTAGAAGTTTTCTAAATTATTTGGTCTGTTAACTTCTGTTATCTGTTAACTCTCTGTCTCCCAGTTCAATTCAGAGCCAGTTGAAGATCTTTTCCTGTGAGTTCTGTAACAAGATCTTTAAATTCCGACACTCACTGATGGCCCACCTCAGGACACACACCCAGGAGAAACCTTTTCAGTGTCCACACTGTGACTACGCATCGGCCATTAAAGGTAAATCTAAGCTCACCGGAGAAACTGTCCAAAATGAAACTATCCAACTTAAATTTCAGCTTGAATATTATGAGTTAAAGAAAATCAAGAGCTATGGTTACACTTTAGTACAATTGCATGTGATTACAGCATATTTCTAAATATTTTAATGACATACATATTGGTTGACTTGTGGTCTGAAACTGGTGGTGGTCTGAACTCTAGCAAACACATCCCTGAGTGGAAGGAGAAGGTTATGCAAATATTTGTTGGAAAAATGGAAATGAAAATATTACCCCAAGAATCCAGTAGAGACCAGGGCTTCTTTTATTTACAACATTAGTGGCAAACACCAATTTATTGGAGGGATAAGTATTCGTAAAACATATAGCAGAGCTGGGTAACTACTGCAATCTGCAACTAACAAAATGATGCTACAAAGTACCTCAAAGTAGGCTACTTACCTTCTGCATTTCCCTTCAAAGCCAACCTGAGTGTTCACCTGAGGAAGCACACGGGAGAGAAGTTCAGCTGTCAGCACTGTCCTTTCAACTGCCTCAGCCCGGGACACCTCAAGGTGCTTTTAATGCTCTATAATTTGTAATAACATGCAGAAATCAAGACATGTCGTGATTCTTGTTGCTATATCCAGATAGAATGGATCAATTCTTCAGAATGCAGCAGTAAATCTGTGTTTCATGCAGGTGCACATAGAGCGAGTCCATCTGAAGGTGAAGCAGCACTGCAGCTTCTGTGAGAAGAAATACTCCGACGTAAAGAACTTGCTGAAACACATTGAGAAGCGACATAACATGAAAGATCCTTCTATCCACCAGAGCTACCAACAACTAAGGTTTGATCTAAACATTCTACATAAGGTTACTTTCCTATCTACTATCAGACGCACTTAATAAACATCTTCTATTTTTTTGTTCAGGTTGAAGACTCGTCAGGGCCTCAGGCAGCTCCTCTACCACTGTCCCACCTGTAACCGGCGCTTTAAGAACCTGCTGGAGAGGGAGCGTCACCTGCTGGTCCACGGCCCCCGGCCTCCCTTTGCCTGCCTCATCTGCGATCATGCTTCAACAAAGATGGCCACCCTCGCCGCTCACGTCAGGAAGCACCTCTTCCTCTACACGTGCTGCGTGTGTGACGGGAAGTTTGTCAGCTCCCAGAGACTGAGTAGTCATTTGAAAGAGTCCCACCAGGCGCTCGACCAGAAGCAGGCCTTTGCAGACTGCATCAACAACAGCTACTACCTGGTGCAGCCTGGAGGAGGGATGTGGGGGGAAGACGAGAGGGAAGACACAGAGAAAGGGACAAAGGAAGGATGGCCCAGGACCGAGCAGGAGGGTGAATATGAGAGAGTGACGGAGGAGGGCAGACAAAATGGCCTCGGGGCGGACGGGTGCCGGGATGGGAAAGCAAAGCGGCTGAAAGTGGCACCAAGCGAAGGCCTGGGGCAAGAGGAGGAAGTAGAAGGATCTAAATCTGCGGGTGAAAGAGCAGAAAATGCCCCGGGGAGAGAAGGAGAAATAGAAAATGGAAGTGAACAGCAAGGTTCCCAAGATGGTGTCCATCAAGCTGTTTCTACAGGAAGCACAACTCCCTCTGACCAGAAGGATGAAGGAACAGCTGAGGAAAAGTCACAGGACAGCAGGGCAGACGCGTGCACCCCTCCAACTAGAGACGATACACACACACCTCTGTTAGAGAATGGCAATCAAGAAAACACAAACCCATCTGATGAGAACACACAAACCCCTTCAGGGGAAAATGGTCAAACTCCACTTTCAGAAAGCGTAAGTAATTAGCTCGGACTGCATAGCGGTTATTTGCATAATTTAAGTATTTGCCAGTTATTATCTCAATATACTTTTGGAGGTCTGACTTTTTCTTCTTTTTTTTTTCCCCCGCCGGTAGGTGACGGATGTTTTCCATCAGAGTGCGTTCCAGAAGGTGATCTCATCACTTCAGAAGACTCAGCTCAATATGGAGTCTTTCCAACGACTCAGGAAGGTTTACGGAGAGCTGGAGTGTCAATACTGTGGTGAGGAAGATGATGCAACCCCCTTCGAATGGCTAATTTAGTTTTGTCCTGTTATTTTATTTATTCAGTTCAATTTTATTTAACATTTATTGTTACTGATTACTTTGTGTTTCTCCTTTGTGTTTTTTTTTGTATATCTGACTTGAGTCTTCAATAGCGTCCTTTTTATTTTATTTTTTTTTGCACAGGTAAACTGTTCTGGTACAAAGTCCACTATAACGCCCATGTACGCACGCACACCAAGGAGCACTCGCATTACTGTTCAAAGTGTAGCTACTCGTCCATCACCAAGAGCTCTTTGAAGCGACACCTGATCCAGAAGCACAGCGGTTTGCTGCTGCCCTGCTCACATCCCGCCTGTCAATACACCACACCTGACAAGTACAAACTTCAGGACCACTTGAAGACACATCAGGAGCAGGTAACCAGCCTTCACCTGGAATAACAGCTCTACATCATTATCACCTTTCTGTCCCACATTCATTTACGTGTTTGATCAATATTTGAGTTGATGAGCAGTTCTGTGTAATGTGTTTGCAGAATGGAACGCTCGAGCGAGCTTTTTGAATTGGTATAATTATAGGAATAATTTAGTTAATGAAAACTACCCCTCATTATGCAGCCCTGATGGAAATATCTTTCCCTTTTCACCCATTCATCCTTTTGAGGTATACCACAAATAACCATTGATTTATTTTGGTGAGATTTGTCTTAATGTCTTTGTCCCTTTGCTGAATACAGGGAAAGACTGCAACTTGTCCTGTCTGCCAGAAGAGCTTTTCCCAGCGAAGACTTAAACAACACATCAAAGCATCCCACCCTGGTAATAGATAATTCATTAACAATTATATGCAAAATTAAATGATTAATTCAAATGTGGTGTATTGCAAACTTTTATTTTTTTATTAATGTTTTATCGAGTTTGTTATAAAAAAAACGAGTTATATTTTGTGCGTTTGTGTTTGCATGCATGCATGTGTGTGGACAGAAACACTACCATTGCAGGGAAAGGGAGTGATGGTTCAGCGTGCAGAGAAGTGCCCCTACTGCGACTCCTACTTCTTAAAGAACAGCAGTGACTTTCAGCGGCACATCTGGTTCCATCAAGGTGTGATATTCCTCCTCTTTCAACTCAAACACACACACACGCACACACGCACACGCACACACGCACACGCACACGCACACACGCCCAGCACATGAGTGTAGAATCACATATGGGTCCGAGCACGGCCATGCACGGTACTTTGCTCATTACCAAGTGATCTGAGGTTCCATCTGTCTCTCTTTCTCCTGGCTAGCTTCCACGAAGATGGACTCAAAACACACTGCAGACGTTGTGAAAGGAAATTGGCCTTTTGGTCAACTCAAATGTGAAATTATGATATCACGGCTTACTTTTAATCAGCTGGCAGAACGCAAAAATCATGAGACAAAAATATCAGTTGCCTGTACATACATAGTGATGTTTTTTGTTGTCGGCCCTTGTTAAACACTTCCATAGCCTGATGAGCTGTTTACCTTGAAGTTAAATCTGTCCAGAAGCTGAGGAAGCTGGCAGACATTATTCCAGAACAGGTGTTGATGAAGGTTTACGTGAGCAAAGCAACTCAGCAAAAAAAGAAAAAGCGCTCATTAAATTTTTCACCAAGTTTATCTGGCTTGGTTTTCTTGACACTTTCTGACACTGTCCTTGTCACTTAAGATTTCGCTACACAGCTGGTTGTGCTCACCCAACACTAGACCTTGAAGGCACAAAAACAGACTTTTATATAGTTAATTTCTTAGTTGGTTATGTTACGTAATGTTATTGACTTTCAGATAATGTGATTGATATTAAACTAAACTTATCAGGAGGGGTCCAATCACTTTCAATAAACACTGTGCATGTCACACTAATGCTGTTGTATTTCTTCACACTCTTATATACTTTAGCTTTTGTTTTTTGGAAGCTTTTGGTTTCTGCCTCATGTAATTAACCTTTTGTGCACACTTGTGTTTGTAGGTGTGAAGCCCTTCGTCTGCCACTTGTGCGACTACGCAGGCCGCAGTCGGAGTAACCTGAAGACTCACATGAACCGACACAACACAGAGAGGCATCACCTGTGTGATCTGTGCGGTAAAAAGTTCAAATCTAAAAACACGCTCAAAAGCCACAGGCTAAGCCACTCTGATGAAGGTAAATATTATACGCTTATTTGTTATTATCCATGTTACAATTGATTGATTCTGCTTGACTGGAATAATTCAAGGAAGTATAAAGCGTCGATGAATGTAAACGCAACGAGGGAACGTTTCTTTTAGGGAAGCGGTTTCAATGTTCAGAGTGTGACTTCACCTCGGTCTTCAAACCTTCGTTGCTCAGACACATGGAGCAACACGCGGAGTACAAGGTCGGAATAAACGCACAGCCGCGAAACCTCAGTTTCACTCAGGATGGCACATCATTGTTTTTTGACAAAAAGATCAACTCGTATATCAAATGTAGTCTGGTCATAGGGATTCTTCTATTTATTGCCGTTATCTTTTTGTCCATCAATTTAGCCATTCCGCTGTGCTCACTGCCGCTACTCTTGTAACATCGCTCGACCCTTGAAACGACACTACAACATGAAACACCCAACCGAGAAATATCAGAATGTCGGACCTGGACTGCCGAACGCCGATGCTCTGAAACAGCAAGGTCTGATCTTTGTTTTATGTCGCATTTAACCACACCTGGACATTTGTTCGGCATCAAGATTCTTTAAATGTAGTTGGCATTATGGTGAAGACTTTGGGGAATTTATCTATTTGATGATACGAGATAAATGATTTGGGTTCATTTACGTCCTGTGTCAGCACAGAAAATGGACGTAACACAGCTTGTGTGTGTGTGTGTGTGTGTGTGTGTCTCTGTGTTTAGGTGGTATGAAGTGTCCTGAATGTGAGTTTGTTTATGGAACCAAATGGGAGCTGAACCGCCATCTGAAGCGCAAGCACAGTCTAAAAGTGGTGGAAGGTTCCTGGGAGGTAAAGAGCTTACACATGATCAGACTACATATGGTAAAAATAGGCGTTGGGTTATTTTTAGCCACGCTAGAGATGTTGCTCTGAGCCAGGCAGCGTTGATCCGTGAGTCTGTGGGTTGCTTTGCCACTAAAAGAAACTGTAATATCTAAATAGCTTTTGGATGGATTAATATGACATTTTATGCACACATTCAGGATCCCTAGAGGATCAAGTGTAAGGTCTTTTCCATTTAGCACTATCATAGGATCAACTTATTCACTCTTTCCATTATACGGTTAGAGAATTCAGATTTCAACATTTAGTTGATGTGTTGTCATAAAATGTGGTACATCCAGTGCATTCATGCTCCCTACGGGGCAGATTCTCACTTTAGTGACACCCTGATTTTACCTCTAGCACCATCATCAGGCTGAAAATGTATTCAGTCTATTATTCTGGTTTAAACTTATTGTATAACCGATGACTCATCAGCCTCAGCTGCACTTTGTATTTGTACTTTGTATTTAGTGCTTATTAGCTTTTTTGCTTTTGATGTGGGTTAAACGAAGGCAAGGCAATGTTATTTGTATAGCACACCTCAACAACAATGCAATTCACATTAAACTATTAAAACCCTCCAACATGAAGCAGATTGTAAACCTGCTGTACATCCACAGGAATAATTTTTGTATGCACGCCAGTGTGATGGCATTAAGCTCAATTAATAAATAATTAATAATCATAATTTTGATTAAGAACCTTAAACTATTGCTAAACAGCTAGCTGGATAATTTAAGCACCTGGTATTAGTATTGTCATCTAAGCATCACTATTTTCAGGATAATCCATAATCCTTATGAATATCCAGGTTGGGGAGACGGTGGAGGCCCAGTTTGTTGCTGTGGAAGACGAAGAGCAGCTGACAGAAGTAACTGTAGCATCCCTGCAGGACAACGGTAACAACAACAGCACCAGTGATGAACACACAGTAGACACAGGAACCAACAGACCAAACGTGTTTTGCTTCGTAGATGATTGAAGTGCTTGCATACAGTATTCAGTTCTGTGTAACAAATTACAATAAATTTGTCTATTATGTTTAGTCGATATCCAGCAGACCACTGAATGCAATTCAGAGACGCTCGACGCCGTCACTTCAATGGTGGCCATGGCTCCGGGCACTGTTACCGTTGTGCAACAGGTAAACAACATCACCTCACATACTTGGGAAATTCTGAGTGGTTACAACCAAATATCAATGCTGCGTTGTGGCTGAAAATGCAGGTGGCTGGCGAGCAGGAGGACGACGAGTGCACAAACCAGCTGATGGTGGTGAATGCAGACGGGGATCTAACTGGTGACCAAGTGATGGTTGTGGAGGACGCAGAGAGCCTGGAGGCTCTGTCAGTTCTCACTCAGGGAGACAACACTCACCACTACATTGTCTACGTCCAGGAACACACTGTAGAAATCAACTAGTAAAGCTTGCAAATTTAACATCTGCATGCAAGAGTGTAGTGACATAAAATGTACCAATGGACAGTGCATTCAGGATTTAATGAATGTTTTCAAGTCATCATTAAGAAATTCCATTATAAGATTTATTTTTCAGTCACTTAATAATGAAAAACTAGAAGTGCAATAATTGTTTATGATTATATGCAATGTTTTGTACTTGCAAAAGTATATTTGAATAAACCCTTGTCCTAAAATGTTCAGTGCACTGGAGTGTCTCAATTTTCTGAAAGAAAAAGCAATTAATTTAGATTTGATTACTGTCTGAATACAAAAGAATAGTCAAAAGCAAAAAAAGGCTTATAATTATGTGATTTTCACATCAATGCATTGAAAAGGATCAACGACATTAATATGGGGAATAAAGCATATATATATCCCCTGTGTGTAGCAGACAGATTCTGACGTGGTGTTTGTAGTAGTGCAGTCTGGGTCCAGCAGGGGGCAGGAGTGCGTTCTGTTGTCTTTTCACAGCCGCCGGGGAGTCGCAAAGACAACAGAAGAAGAACAAGAAGAAGCGGTGGGAAATTTGACAGTGCGCGAAAGATTGTCGCTGACATTTATTATTTCACTCCGATCAACAATTGTTGCTGATAACACCAACACGTCGACCACATGGACCGGTACGTGTTGGTTATTTCCTTTTGCCAAACCGACGACGACGTGGCGGAGGAGTACAAATGTAAGTTGTGCAAACATACACGCTGTTATACTACGTTTAATTTATAAAAAAACTCAAAAGTGAATCATATTCAGGTCACATGTGAGAGCATTACACGCGTCCCAACAGGTCAGCGGGGAAAAGAAGAAGAAAAGTTAGTTATGTTAGTTAGTTAGTTAGTTGCATTTTTATTAGATGTCGTGATCTAACTGGTTGATAGTGGGCTAACCCGCGCTAACAGGAGCAGAACCAGTTGGCCCTGGTTGTTGTGTCTCCTGGTCTACAGGCTTGTCCATGTCCACAGGTCTGGAGCCAGTAAAGCGGATACATGACGCACTTGTGGACATCTCGAATCGGGAATCAGCCGGAGGGATCTCTGTGTTTCCAGGTAGCTGTGACCGGATCAACTTCCTCCCTTTAGCTGTGTGGTTCCACTTCAACTCTTTCTTTCTCTCTCTCTCTCTGTTCCCCAGCCTGCTCGCTCAGTGGCGCCCCCTCCGTCCAGAGGTGGTACTTGGCTCTTCAGGCTTGCCAAGGAGTCCAGCAGGTGAGACGTGGGGTTGATTTGGCTGAATGGCAACGTGGCTTCATAGCGCCCCCTTTTGGGTAGAATTGGGTTTCACTCACCCGCGTGACATTTCGTAGTTATATAAAACATACCGGTACCTTTTTTTTTTTTTTTTTTTTTTCAAGGCGTCCTACTTTTACGAACTCCGTCAATTAGACCCCATTGACCTCAAATTTGGTCAGTGTGATCATAAAAATGTATGAAAAGATATGATACCACCGTGGGGCACGGCAAATAATCGAAACAGGAACTCTCAACTTCCCCTAATTGCTCACACGTCAGACATTCTGACCACATGACAATTTAGAATCGTAGTAATAGCGTACCTTAACCTTTCACATCCTCCTCCTCGTAGATGGATCAGTCCTCTCAAATTTAGTCAGAAAGCCTAAAGATATTCCCTTCGCGTTGAAGACCGTGAGGATCCGTTGAAGGGTGGAAACGTGGCGGCTCAGCGAATTTTATTCCATTGGTGTTAAAGAATAAATTGGTGCAACTCCACGTGGTCAGATCTTTGAATTTCATTTCACGTGAATCCATGGCTGAAGACATCTACAGTCCAAATGTGTAGTCAAAGGAACAGCGGCACCTTCTGGCAACAAGTTAAAGTCTCAATACGTGCATTTTTCTGTAGGTAAATACAATCCACCTCAAAATGATTTTAGGTTTCGTGTGCTGTTGGCCTTTTTGTTTAGAACACAATCCCAAAAAAAGTTCCTCCCATAAACGTAAAACAATATGTGAATGTGCTGAGCTGTACTCTTATCAAGCGTATAAACCACACCTCCAATAATTCTTTCCGCGCAATATTCTCCTATTACGATTTTTTGAAATTAAGAAAACTTTAAAAGAGTAAATGTATTTTAAGTTGTGTCCTTATTGACCCTGGTTGAGGAAAAGGGGCTGTAATCATACTTGTATCACCTGTTTGGTAGTTCTGCAGCTCTGACTGGGAGGAGCTGGGGACGTGGCGTCAGAAAGCTGACAGCGAGGAGGAGAAGCCCACTGTTGTGGCGTCGTGTCTAAGTTCCCTGAGTAACCAGGAGGCGCCGCATCAAAACGCTGATCAGCCGTCACTGACGGAGTGAGTGACGGATGTTACTTTTCTTTACGCGGATGTGTGTTATTATTCTGCTCACTGCTGCTGGTGTTTGTGTAAATTAGCTCTTAAAAAGTTCAGTGAAAATACTGAATTTTCCTCCACGTGCTCCCTGAGTAAATGGAAAGTTTTTTTGTCTCAATTATTTCCTATTTACTCTTGAAATATTCCATGTTAATATTTGAAATATTTTGTGAGACGCGTGAATAACTATTATTCACGTGTCTCACAAAATATGGGCCTGCAAGTCTTTCTGATTTGATCTGAATGTCTGTATTGATCAGGCTGCTGGAGGAGGCTGCAGAAGGACTGCATCTACTCTCAGACAAGCTCCCACCTCCAGGTACTGCCGACCAGTCCACACGACTCGCTACCTTTTCATCCAGAACTTTCCTTTCCCTTGTGACTCGTGTCTTCGTTTTGCAAAGAAGGCATCTGCGTGCTCAGTCAGCTGGGCTGGGCTTTTTTTTATTTTTTATTTTCGATTCATATTCAATTATGTTCATATCAATTCCAAGGCGCACTCATTTAATCTATGGTTTTGAATCCAGAAGGATTTCACACACTGCGTCTCAGATGATTTTGCTTGTTTTCATTATCTGTAGAGCAGTTTCCTCCATTTTCTTTAATTAGGACCACAACAAATGTCTATTTCCTCTTTTATAAAAAAACGAGGCAAAACGTGGGTCTACTGCAAAAGACGGCGGCTCAAGTGAAAGTTTTGTTGCCAAAATATTCCAATAACAAGGAATTAAAACCTCTTAACCGATGCCAAACTCCTCAGCTGCATGACAAGCATTCAGTCCAATTTCAAGCAATTAGGGTTTAGAATATCTGCGCGCGTCAGCCTTGACAGAAGTTGTCCTACTCTGCCTCATTAATATGCTCTTATCACTGGGAGGATTGCATTCTTCTGAATACTTCTCTGCCTCCTGACGGGATATTGGCACTTCATATTCACTTCTTATTGAAGCTCCCTAAGGCGCTGAATATGAAATTCAGTGCCTTAGGGAGTATTTCTTTGTCACCCTCCGTCCGTGGCGCAGAGGGGCTGGAGTCACCTCCCACTTCCAACTTTTATACCCACAGATCTTGGTATTTAATTTCAAAATTGCAATTCTACCTACCTAAAGCTACCTACCTCCCTCCCTATCTACCTACAAAAAGTTCAGTGAAATAGCCAGTCTCTTATTTAAACGAGAGGAAAGAAAATAAATGAATTCTTCCTTGGTTTGTCTCATTTGCCCCCTCAGGTAAAGCCTTGTTGGATGTGCTGGTGTTGGGCTCCACAGAGCAATCTCCTCCTGTTAAAGACCTGCTGCCTCTGCTGGGAGCCCTCAAACAATTGTCCCACTGGCACGCTGCTAAGATCAGTGTCGTCACGCGGCACACCACCGGGTGAGGAACACACAACGACAAACATGCGTTGCACTAAATAAATGACTGCTACCCTTTGAATTTATCTTTATTGGCTAACACAAGAACCTTCCTAACGTTGTATTCAACCTGAATATTCAGCGGGCTGTGAACATCCACATAACTAACCGTTTGTTGTGGTATTCAAAACATGGAAATGCAGAAAGAAAATTGCAAAAATTAGCAATTTTTTTTAAGAATTGCTAGTTTGCCACTAGAGGGAGTCGGAAGAGTAAAATGTGAGCAAAGTTAATTAACAGCAGTGCTTGAATAATCTGATGAGCATTTCTTTCTTTTAGTTGATGCCAAAATAGCTTCATTAAATCCCAGGCAATAAACGGTCTGCTGTCGTACTTCCCTGAGTATGAGCTTCAATAGGATTCAATAAAAGTTCCCTTTTCCCCTTTTTTTGTTGCCCAGGTGGCAGAAAGTAGCGTCTTACCTAAGTGCCGGTCTGGTGGAGCCTGCTGACCTACTCAACTGCATTGATGACAGGGAACTATGGAGGGGCGGCCTGGTTGTCAAAGAGAAAAAGGTAAGTGGGGGTAAAAAAAAAAACCCCGCTGGAGGCCTTTCTTTCTTTTTGCATGGTTCATTTCACAATGTCCTCTTTACTTGCTGCAAGGATGGAGGGAACACATTAATCCACTGGCACCAGCAGTCCAACAGCAGGACGGCATGTCGGTGACGCCAGACTCTGTGCGGACAAACAGTCCGTCTTTGTGTGTACCTGCATGCGTCCGTGTACACTTGTGAAGTACTTTAGCCGTCACTGATCATTATAAAACCGGCGATAAAATAAAACCGCGTAAGACGTACTCCTTTTTAGTCTCATCAACTCTCTGCGTCTGTTTGCTGGACTGTCGAGGACGTTGAGAAATGGAGGTGCCCTTTTGAACCCGCTTGCCCAGGGCTTGTAATTATGAGCAGTGAAGCACACAGACTGCAGGGCTCGACGGGTGAAGGCAGAGGGAGCAGCGTTTTCTCGAGAAACCCCGGTGCCTGGGGGGGACGGGGGGACGGGGCTGCTTGTGGTGACCCGATTCATGCCTCGCTGTACGTTCTTTTTATCTTTTTTCATCTGGAATTACTCATGCAGCGCTCACACATGCCACGGGCCGCGTCTTCACACACTCTCTTTTGAATTACGTGAGTATTTGACTCGTGGGCGGCCAGTCTTTTTCTGCCGCTGAATGAAACCAGCGGAGGTCACTGAGGGGTCATGGGAAATGGCTGTGCCTTGTCGACGCTGCCCTGGCAGAGCCGACCCTTCCCGTCCCGGGCCCCATACTGACGAGACCTTCAGCACACAGCAGTTGGCTGTAATTGATTATTAAGGACCCAGGCAAGGGCAAGTGTTTGGAAATGCCTCTGGGTCGTTTCTGCTCGTATTTAAATGACAGTGCAGGAGCTGTCATTTGCTGTCATCACTCTTTACTTACTTAGGACTTCAAGGTGTAAAAGCTAAATTACATAATGACAGTATTCGCCCCATTCTGAGAAAATAATGTAATCTCGTCATAGCCATTTAGTTGTTCACATTCCGTGGCCAAAATCCTATAAACCACCTCATGTTCTGTCTGTTTGGTGGCATATTCTCTCTGACTGGGCTTTCTACCTTTTTTGGAAATGGATACTTGTGAGTCACCGTCTTTCAAAAATCCAGATTCCATCAGTGATTCTTGAGTCGATTATTAAAGTCCGTCCACTGCAGTCTAGTTTCCACACCGCGTTTGCAGAGATTTAAAGCTGACGAATGTGAGAACAAACTGTGCACTTGCATCATTCTGCACTGGGAGGCTCCAAGATCTCCGTAAGGTTAACAATGAGAAAAGAAGAACATGTCTGACTGGAGAGGGAGTCGATCTAAAAAGTGAACACGGTCAATATACGCTGTCGGAAAATGATAAAGTAAAGTAAAAGTAAGTAATTTAATTCTACTTCAGAATTAAGCGGTTTGAGAAGGAGAGGGCGAGAGGCGGCGTGGGCAGAAAGAGAGAGGTGAGGCCTCTCTCCTCCTTGACAAATGTCAACATATTCACAACCAATCTATCAAGGCGTAAAGTATCCATATCTCTTTATTTTACTTTTATTTCTGAAAGTATGTGGTCTGGAGTGGCAGCAGGTCTCTAATGCTGATGGATTGACGGGGGGAACTCTGGTTCTCAAGAGACTGAAGGTTGAAGAAACTCTCCCATCAAATTATGAGAACGTGAAATGTATATATTTTTTTCTATGCAGACCAAAAAGTTTCTGGGCTAAAATTTCTGAAAGATTGAATTCATTTAGTTCACTAGTCTAATCCTGTCTGTTGAAATGGAGTGGAGCGACTTGCAAATAAAATATTCTATTAGTAAAGTTTCAGGCCAGTTGCGTTTTCGTCCATTCAAATGGCAGCTCGGTGGGCAGACGTTCCCTCCACTCATCTCGGCTCCGTCTACCGAGCTTTGAGTGTTCTTCCCAAAAGTGACCTTTTCTAAGTTGCTGCTTGCAGAAGTGAGTCAGTCGGTAAAAGCTTCACAATTGGCGAGCAGTGGAACAAAGTGGGATTCCCAAGTAATGTAAGCCGTGTAACACAAAGCATCACAACTACCACACGCGGATCTGCATTGACTACAACGCAAACCCCGACTATTTCCCTGTCAAAGAAAGAACAAGTTACCTTGCTAAACTTTTCACCCTTGTGTGTGTGTGTGTGTGTGTGTGTGTGTGTGTGTGTGTGTGTGTGTGTGTGTGTGTGTGTGTGTGTGTCCCTCCCTCCCTCAGTGTGCGTCAGAGCTCCGATTTGACGGCTTTTCTCTGCGCTCTGCGTCGCGTCGCACGCCAGTGACCAGCGTCCTGCGAGCTCCCTTCACCCCCACGGACCACCGACTGCAGTCCGAGGTGAGTCCGGAGCCCTCGACTCCCTCCCACATCGTTTATTCATCCAGCTCCGCCTTCCTTGTCGTTTAATCCGCCTTTTGCCCATGAGCCCCCAAAACCTGATTCTCTTCCTGTCACTGTCGTGGACCCAAACAATGCACAAAATGAGATATTTGAAATGAAAATTAGCATTTATTACATCGCAAGATTGCAGACAATGCGTTTGGTAAGAAATGAATCGAAACTTTTTGTTTACAAGAAAACTCCACAGGGTCATTTTTCCAAATGTTCAACTCCTTATTAGTCGTTTCTTCTTCTTTGACAGAATAAATTCTCTGATGTAGCAGCAGTTGCACCACCAACATTAGCGGAGTCTTCTGCCAGAGTGCTGCAGGCTCTGCTCTTGTTGTCTGTGAGGAAATCCTGTTTAGAGGAATGTAATATGTGTTTGAGGTTGTTGAGCTTGAGAGAGAGACTACAAAATGATCCCGGTGTGTCCAATACCTTCCTCTTTTAGGCAAAGTTTGGATTGAAAAGATGCTGAGTAGATTCTGATTGAATTTACATCAAGGGGCGAACAGTTCCTTTAACCCTGATGACTTTTAGTGGCTAGACGGCAATACGACTAAAAGGGTCACTTCCTGGTTGCTCTTTAATCACATTGAGGGACTCGTGACTGAAGAACATCAGATGAATAAAAAAACAAACATATTTCCCACAAACCAGTCTTGATTATCGAGTTTGTATACATTTAATATGGCAACTTACAGTTGCATCTTTCACTTAACAATTATCAACTGTTCCATTTTCTGTCAGACTTGTTTCTCCACGTTTTTATTGGAGCGTTTCAGCCGTATTTGCCCAGAGGGGATGTGAACCGCTGGCTGCTGCTGAGACGCTCTCGTTGGCTGTCAGCTCGCGTTGATCTCTCTATCCACCCGTTGTGTAGCCTCCGTTAATGTTCACCGTGGCAACACGAGTGCTTCATATTAAAGGTATTTATACGATGCATGTTTTTTTTAAGGAATCGATGAAACTGTTCCTGGTGTCTTTGGTATACAGCGTTTAACATGTTCTCTATTGGGACATAATGCATCTTTTTCTGGCATACTAAATAGTACAGTGCTATGAGTTTTGGAACATTAACTTATTTACTTTTGTTGGTAAATAATGTTAAACGTTACCTGCTCTAGTTGGCTTGGTGGTGATGTCATTGTGGCTCAATGCCTCAATGCGCCTGACACGTCCTTCACTATACCAGCAGATTGATTCATAGTTGATTGGCAACTCAATTAGTCAACGCATTGTGGGAGTCCTAAACATTATAGTTGTCTGTTTGGCTGATTTTTTTTTTCCCAAATCAAGGAAATGCATTGAAACAGTTTGGCTACTTCAAGTCTCTGTTATAAGTTTGTTTTTATTTTTCCCCCAAGAGCAGAAGCACTACAATCTATATGCTAACCTTTCAAGCATGTAATACATTATAATTTAAGAGTTTATTTTCCACGCAGAAGATGTTGTGTACTGCTGTGTGTGTGTGGGTGCTGTTTTTGTCTAGAGACGGGGTATTTTATAACTGTTGGTAAAGCACAGTTCTGTAATGAGTTTATTGTTGTGAAGATTAACATCCATAACAATGAAACCACTCGTGAGCTTTGCCTGAGAAGTTACGTCCTAATATTGGGTTTAATAGCGCGTGCGCGCACACGCACACACACACGCACAGCATTAATAACGTTACCATCAAAGGCAATTCTCTTTACAGGATTGCCGTTGTACACATCAAAGAAATACGGGAAATAATGGTTGTCTCTTCAGACGAGAGTAGTCATACACGGTGGCTTTTGTACGTTTTTATCATTTTGAATGTGTGTGTTGTTGTTTCTCAGCCATTGTCCGCTTTGTGAGTTTGTGTTTGGCATGTTTATGTTGTATGTGTGCGCTCATTATTTAGTCAACACCGCAGAGTGCCACTGTTGAGGTGTGTGTGTGTGCGGATGTGTGATCTCATTAGATCTGTGTACACAGAAGCAGATGGCGGTGATTGTCTTGGCACACAATGAAAACAACCCTCTGAGGACAACAAAACTATCACATCTCTGCTCTGCTGGGATAACTGACTGTAAAATCTAAACTGTGCTCTTACAAAAACTATTAGGCCTCTTCGCTGTCAGGACTAACTGTTGTGTTAATTAGTGACACTCTCACACACACACAGAGTCTCAGTGGGAGGGGGGGGGGCCACACTGTGCTGTGTGGGCACCCATCGCAAAGTGTGTGTTTGCTGTGTGATTTATGAAATCTCTAGCGTGTGTGTGCATATATCACATACTTGAAATATTGTTGCTTATTATATGGATACAATGTTAGATCAGTCATTTTTATGCCTGCATTTCGGAAGGTATGATATATTAATAGTAAATTCAATAAAGACGATGTTTGTCGACAAAATGTTGAGATGGGAGTCTGTCTGGAAGATGAAATTCATACTTCATCACATTGATGTCCTGCTTATTAGTTTTCAGCGCTGCGCTGCCCAGAATGAGCCGGTACAGCCACAGATATCGGAAAAATATGCATTTTATGAGTCGTTATTCGACACTTTAACACGGCTATTAGTCTTCAGTGATACTTAGAAGGCTGGAAATCCAAGTTAAAAGAAGAAGTACAGTCTAGGAAATGTTCTAATTATACACTCGTTCTACACATTTTCAAATCATGTGGAAGATGTTCCTCATATTCCTTTCACACGTATTTGTTCTTTTTACTTAATTCTCCAGCCAGGTGTTTTATCACAAATGTTTTTTTTGTCTCGAGTGTTGTTGTGCGTTTCTGAACTCGTTTGTCGTGGAAGGGAAAGTACATTCACTTAGAACGGTTTTCAGAACTCAACCAAGTACTTGGAAACAAATCAGCCCTCACATTTCTAACTTCCTCCTCTCCTGAAGCCTTTGTCCTACAATGAAAGTCACCCCTGGAAATGTCCTCCGTTATCTGATTTGTTGCAACACATTATTTATTATTATTGATGGCTAACGTACTGAGGTTTCTCTTACCTCTGACTTTGAAATTTCATATAACTCTACTAATGTTGTAATATTTGTATTGGAGAAATTAGCGGCAATGTTGGTCTGTAAAGGTGTCTGAGCCTTTACAGCATCCGCTTACGCAACATAAACTCCCTGCTGAATAGTGCTCGGCTCTTCACACGGGACAAGATTACAGCCGTCTATGTACACGAGCGCGGCGAGAATATGCTCCTGCAAAGAAACGCACCGCTATCAAACGGAGGAAGTGTTTGGAGCGATTCAAGGCACAGAGACATTTTAATTGGAGGCCTCTGCAATTTGAACGGTTTGAAATAAAAGAGTTTCAAGTAATGAGGGCAGGTTTATGGATGGACGCCGCTGCATTAGTCATTCTGTGTAGTTGGCTAAACAAATGAGTAATAAACTTTACCATCTGGCTAGCAGGACTGTGAATTTGAACCAAGTTCATTAAAATGTCTGTCTACTCTTAATCTATAAATCTATCCAAAATAGGTCAGCCGTTCATTCTTTTGATCCCGATCAATAAATTATGAGATTTCAGGCTTTCGTTGGTATTCATATAATCTTATGAATGCAAATTCTCTGTTTTTCATGTGACAAATTATATCCATATATTATTGATCTCCCTCATAACCTAACGAGCTCATTAGATAAGTAGGACAACTGCAGATCTTTTGGATGTAGTCTTTTTTTAATTTTATTTTTCTGTGTGAGCTACAGTGTGTTAAGTAACTGATACGCTGCGGAGACGACACAGATGATATTCTGTTTATTACGGGTGTAGAAAATAATTTGGTACATCACAATTCAATACAATCTTGTTTTTCAGTTTAACAAAAGTCACTCAATTGATTGCAATATGTAAATACACAGAAAGCAAGATGTCCCTCTAACGTGAATACAATTTCTAGGCTTGGGCTGGTTATTTATAGAAAGTTGCATCAATTTTCTGGTTTTTCTTTTTAATACCGTGAATGGATAACTTTTTGGGATAAGAACACATTGTATTTAGCTGTTGGAAGTTGCAATAGTCATTCTTTTCTGACATCAACCAAAAATAAATGGATTAATTGTTCACGAAATAAGTGTCTTCAGCTCCAGTATTTTGGTAACGGCATACTGTCTAAAGTATAAACTTTAGACCGTATGCAGTAACTGTATATGGTCTTTGCCCTTTCTCTGTGTGTAAATCTTTTCTTCCTTGACTTCCATTTTGCAGACATGTCTGGATGTATTTTTTGGAATGAGATTTCCACTGGAGGTCTAAATCCAGATTTTAACAAACTAATGAAGATCAGATTGAGGGTTGGTGGTTTAACATCACCTCTGAGCCGGTTACGGTTGAGTATCTTGCTCAAGGACACTTAGTCTTTCAGCTGCTGGATGGGCTCCAACTCCTTGAGCCGTTGCCCCCCAAACTACTACTTGTTGTTGTTGCTGTTGTGAGTGATGAAGTAACCCTGTTGTTTTTACTTCATCCTCTTCTCTATTTCGTTCTTCCTCTTCTTCTTCTATGTTCCGCCTGTCTGTCCAGGTCTTCCATTACTACGCACCAGTTTTAGATTTGGTTCAACTGGTTAATTTGTCGGACCTGCCCAGCTTTCTGATGTCCACAAGCCAGTTTGAACTGTATCCTTTTATTTTCTTTTGACAGTTCTTCAACACATTCATGGTATAAAAGTAATCCAGATGTAACCGTTTGCCTTGGAATTAATATCTGACATACTAAAAAGTTAACAATTTAATGCCTCTGTCTTTTTACACTTATTTTGGATTTGTTGTCCATTGTCTTAACTGTCTGCTGTTATGCACCAAAGTTAAATTCCTTGTATGTCTGACATGTTTTGGTAATAAGTAATTCCTGATTAATAGTGTAAAGAATGGGGGGAATTTCAATCATAGCTTCTAGGTAAAAATAAAATAACCCACATTATTTTTCTTTGTACATAGATTTTCTTTCTCTTGACATTACCAGATTGAAGGCCACAAAATGCAGCTTCTGCAGTTTTCATTGCAGCCTCAGTCTTTTCTCCTGCACCGTGTTGTTCCTTCACCACCAACAAACAGAAGCCTGTCTGGGAAGTCGATGAAAGCTAAGCTGCTGTTGGACCAGTTGAAGTCACTGCGTGGAAAGGTACCGATCCTTAAAGTGGGCCTTTCTATATATCCAAATCTAGGAAAAGGTCAGTTGTATAACTCTATCTTTAATGAAGTAAACTTAACTAAATGCGGTTAAACTCAAGTCCCCAGTCAGATGTTTGCATATGTAGATACGACCTAGAGGAGGAAAGGCCTATAAGATGCATCTCCTATTCGGTTTGTGGGACTGTGCAATCTTCTAAACTTATGTCTCCATCTTTAGGTCGGAGCGTTGTTCAGCATGTCGTGCATAATCACCCAAATTGCTCAACATGCAGCCAGCCAGCTCAGCTCGCAGCGCTGGAGGGAGTCCGTAGCCGGGAGACCAAAGTCCTTACCCGGTAAGATGTTTCTCATCCTTTTATTTTTTATGTGCCTTTCATTGCGTTGCTGAATGGATGACTGTTTGGCAGCAACAGAGAGAAGCCATGTCCCTTTCTGTGGGGAAATAAATTGATAACCAGGAATATACTGATATAGATAATAAAACACGCAGACTCTGAGGTACGACCGAATCAATTTGGAACGCTAAATTGGAAAAATCCAAAACAATATTCAGAAGACAACATTTACTGATGCAAGCGGTACGTTTCACAATGCAGCTGACTGAAATCAACCACAACACCCTCGCCTCGCTCAGCATGTGGAGAATCAATGGTGCCCCTCAGTTAAGGTTAAAAATACAAAAGGCACCCTAGAGCCCGTGTTTTTGGTTGTCCACTGATGTCCTTCGGAAAAACAGCGGTGCAGCACGGCTGACTGTGTGAAGACGATCCGCTCCTTATGTAAAAAAACGAGTGTTCATTTCAGTTTTTTTTTTTTTTTAAACGTTTATAAAAACATGCTTTGGAATATTGCTGCTCTTCTGCCAATATATATATACGGAAATCCTACACACTGGACCTTTTTTAGGAAGAATTTTATGGATGAAATAGTTCTGAATGCAGTATGAAAATCTGAAATGATTACCACTTAACCATCAGACAAATGGGCACGGATGCGGCAGGCATTAAGGCAATAATGATATTAATAAAACATGTTATTTGATGAAAGGAATGACCTCTTTGGCCGTGGATTAACACAATGTAATCTCTCTCTTCCTCTCGGTGCATTGCAGTGCCTGACGTAGAGGTGAAAGGTGAGAGTGCTCACTACCTCCTCTTGGTCCAGGGCTCCCATGACGTGGGTTCTGAAGCCTGCATGGTCAGGATGTTGCACTCAGGAAGTCAAATCAATGGAGCGGCTGCCATGGCAACCATCTCAGGGTTGCTGAGAGAGACGTCTCAGTCATCATCAGGTATATTAAGTTGTTATGTTCGTAGAGGCCTGTGTCTTTTTCTTTGTGCCACTGTGGATTGTGTCACTTTAATTGCTAAAACCTTAGACTCTATTCATCATCCTTCCCCATCCTGCCTCAAATAAATGTATGTATGTATATATATTGCTTTGTTGAAGAAGACTCCTTCCAGCTTTACTGACAGGATGAGCGGTGGTCACTAATCATCAGCCTAGCCTGTGTTTTCTTCACTGTTTTTTCTGCCTTCTTCTCTCACAGCATTGGAAAGTTGCGTATGCTCTGTTACGCATTTCCACATCCTTGTCACTTAAACAAAAGCAAGCAATCAAAGAGAAAAGAAGTGAGAAAGGGTGTCAAATAAACAGAGTGACTGACTGATTGACAGAGCGATTAACTGGATGGATGGTCGAGCAAAAGTCCCGGCTGCTTATGGTGGACTAGAAAGAGACACGTGAATCTCGAACTCTTGTATGTTCTCTAAACGTCTCTCCTTTCCGGATGAAAGTCCTTCATCGTTCTTGGGCTTTATGTTATTCAGGAGACCTACTACGCCGTATCCTCCAGAGACTTTCCACTGTTTTTAACATTTAATGCAACTTTAGAAATACTTCATGAAAGGTGCCCTAACCCTTCAATGTCAGAGTTTTAAATAAAAATGAAAGTCTTAATATGCAGATCTGAGGGTTGTTCTTGAAAATCTTGAAAAACTGAGCGTTAGTTGTTTTTTTTGCCAACAAAGCAGTTAGTTAATTAATCAATAATGAATTAATTTTTTACTGCAAAGTATTGAAGCAGCAATCTGTTTATTATTTATTGTTGATTCCATCGGTGGTCCCTGACTGTAATCCCTTAAATGAAACCTGTAATGAAAAAGGAATGATTTTTTTTGTTTAATTTAGCAATTTGTTTTGAGACTTAGAATTTTCTGCCAAGAAACCTTTTTTATTCAAAATCCCTGCAGCCCTCCCCTTGAACTCCATTGCCTCTTCTGATCCACTCCAGTAATATCAACATTTTCTACAAATTCCCGTAGAAACAAATTCAGAGTTGAGGTTTGCAAATTTTTCTTATTCACTACTTCTCTGTCGTTTACCAGGAGATGCCGTGAGCAGCATCTTCCCTCTTCCTTGTCTCCAAGGAGCGGGCCTGCTGAGGAGGGAGAAGAAGGTGACCCGAGTCCAGACACTGGTAGTCAAAGAATATCTCAGTAAGTTGTACTTTTTAAACAGATCCCAGAATATACTCTGGATTTGGTTTTATGGGGCACAGATTTTTCACATGAGTCATGTTTTGAGCTAATAATTGGTGTTTTTTCTTCTGGAGTATTGTTTGACAAAGGAAAAAGGGTATTTTTTCACTTCATGTTGACTTGATGACAGAAGCACTGGTTGATCCTGCGCACTGTTCAGAAGCCGCTTGTACAGTGTGATGGGGATTGTTTGGTTGACGTCGCTGACCCTGAAACAACCAATTGTGCCAACGCGTCTTGTATAAATTAAACACACAATGTATAAATCCATTTCGCGGTTGGAAGAACACCAAACTACAAACTTAATTGCTTCATGGCTCATATCTTCAGAAATGGGTTATAAGGACTTTAAAACACTTTGGTTAATCTCATTTCGTAAGGTCATAAGATCTGAAAGAATACATTTATTAACCGTTCAGTCAATGTACAAACGACCAATTTGATAATTCATAAATCATTTCAGTAATTTTTAAAACGACAATGTCAAATGGTTCATTAATCATTTCAGGGATTTTTAAAACGGAAATGTCAAACCATTCTGAAATTCCCCGCTTTCCTGTTTTATATTACAACGGGTAGAACAGTGCGTGCAAATCAGAGCTTCTTGTCTTTGTTCAGTTGGAGCTCTCCTCAGCATAGCCTGGTGCACAGAAACACTTGAAATATTATTACTTTACAGACACACATTATGTCCCCTTGGCAGGAGCAGATAGCAAAACACCAGTAGAGTACAGCCAGATTAAATGGAGTGGAGTGAAATTCTTCAACTTCAGGAAAAGAAATAGGGCTGTTCTTTAAAAAGGCTGTGAGCGGAATGAAGAGCCCTGAGACCTTAATGAAATCCATTGCAATATATTCTGACTTGGCATTAAATTGAGAAAAGTAGTGTGCTTATAAGTGGCAGGAGTGAAGTTGGACTGAAGTTTACTGGAAGTCTTCCTGATAATGTGAAACGTGTGTGTGCACCATCGTTCTGTCTCCTGTCTCGCAGGCCGTAATCGGTCTGTGTCGTTGCAAGTGATGTGATGAGCAGTAAAGCTGATGCGCGTGCAATCAACTTCATTTACCATTTGTCTCAGTTTCAATTGCATTGGCTATCTAGCCCTCGCCGGTTTATTAAATATAAGCGAACCTTAATTTGCCCTTCACACACATGGCACTCTGCAGAGTATGTTTAGATAAAGTCCCTTGGGTCCAACGCTTTGAATCCGCCCACTCTACAGATTTCAACGATTCTGTCGGCTATCCAGTAAAACGGCTCGCTAATGATTTATTCATAAAATGATGCATTTTGTTACATTCATTTGGGCAATGATAATTACTATTGGGGCTACACCAGAGAGTAAACTAATATCCGTAGTTAATGCAGGAGATTCTCCCTGTTTTGTTTCACAGATCTTCTGAATTAGTTTTTAGGGAAAAACTAGTGTTGAGTTGAGTAGTCGTGAAATGTAAAAGTTTGTGCGTCGAGAAACCAAAAGCGTCCAAACCTGTATTTGAAACGGCGATTTAAAAGGGTCTGTTTGTGTGTCTAGGACGAAAAGAAGCAGCGTCTGCTTCAAACTCAATACCCGTCAATGACTTGAAAGTCATTGTGGGTCTGGCCAGGAAGCATTATCTGAAGATGATTGACTCCACTCTGCCCTCTGCTGCCACCTGTCTGACCGACGTGCAGGAGAGCACAGCCGCCAAGAACTCACGTACGCACAAAAAACCCACTGTGTTTCCACATCCAGAGCTACAGTAAACAAAATGAAACTCCCACAACTCGCAGACCACTTTCTCCTGCACCAACTTATGACATGCTCGGTTTATACACCTTAAATAACACTCTGTTTTTAAGTTGTTAGTGTGCAGGCCGATTGTGAAGAACTGGAGCAACTTTCCTATTCTGTATCAGTCGCGTTCTCGTATTGCTCCCGGATGGTTGTCCTCATTGTTTACCAGTTAGCTTCTTTTGTGCTAGCTTCATGGAGTGTGCAAGTTATCAGCACTCTTTGAGTTTTCTCAAACAATCCACACAATGGTCTTGTCTTTGCATGCCCCCGATTTCATATTGTGCATCATTAAGCTATATTTAGCTCTCCATTTGATAAAGCTAGTAAGCTTCTAATGAAAAGAGGTGATGATAGATGTGAACACGCGCATTCTAAGTTGCAGGTTTAAAAAAAAAAAAAAAATCCTGACTCACCGTCTGTATTATTAATATTATTTAAACCAAAGAACGGCTTTTGAAATCCATCAGGAGTATCTTTTGCATTTGCATTTCTGTAGCGCCCTAAATGTGTGAATGACTTGGTGTAGGCTTTCAAACCGCTGGCAGAGAGCTTCAGTCTCCTTATACATCAACAGAAGGACATTACTGTGCATCAAAAACCGTCATCTTGGCTCTAAACGTGCTAATGCCAAACAGTATTACAGCCTCTGAAGAAGCTTGTTGGTGTTTGAGGCTTGTCGATATCAATTAATGCCGTCTCTGCAAAACACCGTATACTCCATAGTTGCTTCACAGTGGAAATCAACCTATTACGGTTTTAAAGACGAGGGATATAGTTTTTCATTTTCAATCAGAAAAATTCATGTGAGAGCCGTACTCTACTGTATTGGTTTTTGCTTAAAGGAGTCATTGGGAGTGACTAGCTGAGCCTCAATGTTTCTTTGCTGTAGGTTTTCCACCCACGTCCCAGCAGCTATCGGACTGGCCTGAGAGGAGTGTCCTCCACAACATAGAGAACCTGCAGAGGAGAAGGCAGAAGAGAAGGTACCTTTTTGTTTCCAGTTGGTTGTCCTGTTGGAATTATTGCTGGGGCACATATGGCCCATATGAAATAAATGTAGAAGATCCCCGTCCGGTGCATCTTCGGACCACTTGGCTTAGCGTGCTGGCCAATAAACCAGAGAAAGCAAAGTCGACTGCCCCGAGAGGAGAAGGCCGAGATGGAGCCTAAGCTCACCCAGCTAGGCCCTAAAGCTATTCCCCAGCTGTTGTCTGGTCACAGCAGAGATACAATTGATGGAATAAGACTTAATGCTAAAGCCAGCAAGGAGAGATCAAACACTGGTGTGCTCACATGCGTATGCGTAGAGCGGGCTTCTCGGGTGCATCCCGGCTCAAGCTGCAATTGTTCAGCACAAGGCTCCGGTGGGACGAGAGGAGGCGGACTCGGTGTTTACACTAATGAGGCTTGGGCCTCAAACAAAGTCACCGTGGGTGACATTGTTCCCTTGATGTTGAATGTCTGCCAGGACGCCAGCCGTGGCGTCTTCCCAGATAATGTTTTTCTGTTGCTGCTGTTAACATTCATCCTGATGCAAACTATCAAATGTTTGAATTCATTTCTGTTTAGGCCCATTCGTAGCACATGCACTCCAATTGCATTTTGTACTTTCTTTTAATACAATTCTCCTTGAGTCCTTAAATAATATTTAAATAGACGCATGACAGTTCTGTGCACTTAATATATGTTTTGTGTGTGTGTGTGTGTGTGTGTGTGTGTGTGTGTGTGTGTGTGTGTGTGTGTGTGTGTGTGTCAGATTTGGTCTGTTGGGTCCAGGATCAAGTGACAGTCTACTGGGTCCTAAAGACAGTCAAAAGAGTTCCACTGCATTACTGGACGCCAAAGAACTATTAAAACATTTCACATCGGATGGGATGCCCACTGGGGATCTACAACTCCTCACTATCAACAGAGGGTAGGTTCCATCATCTTTTCAGGTTCCATGAGCTTGCTTCTATTAGGTGTGTGTGTGTGTGTGTGTGTGTACGTACAGGCACAGGCCTTCACACAGGACGACCTGAAGAGACAATCAGACAGAGGCTGTGAGTGACTCACTCAGACATGTCACCCGGTACGGAAGAGTATAACATAACAGATACCCCGATGTCAGGTAGACTGTGTGTGTGTTCTAGCATGAATGAGTCACAGTTAATAACTCCATAATGAGGATTTGATTAGGATCATTAGCCCCTTACACACTTGTTGAAAAATAATTGAGTTGAGTGTTTTTTTCTTTTCATTCTGGAACAGATGAGTCATTATTAATCCGTAAACTCAGACTGTGGTTTAATCAACAAAGTTTGTATTTGAAGCGAGAGAACCGATTTTCTTCTGAGAAATGTGCCCACCTCTACTCACTCTTTCTTCTTGATTCTCTTACTCTCCAGTGAGAACGTGTTCCAGTTGTCACCAGACCTTTCTCCCGGGAGAATTAGCCAGATGCCCTTCAACAAAGCCTCAGTGTCCCATTACCACGGCATAGAGTAGGTTTCTACAAAATATGCAGCAATTTTTCGGCCACAATAGCCAGTAGACCGTAACGAGCCACACCAGCCTCCATTCCTTGATTTCAGACACATGTGTTTGTTCATCTAGATTCTGTCTGGACAATCAGCGGTCCTTGGATCGCGACCAGGCCTTCGTGAAACTACAGTCCCGTCTTATTCGACACGAGACCCAAACTACCTGCTCCAAGGAGCCCTGCGCGCTCCCGTTCGCCCTCAGCCCCGCCCCCTCCCCCGCTGTGATGTCAGAACCAGGAAGCGTGCCCGACGGGGAGACTCTGGAGAACGCGGATGTAGCGCGACTCAAGCGGCGGTCGTGGGACACGGACGTCATCGGAGGTCATCCCCGCAAGAGGTACGAGGACGATGTCCGTTGGTCCTGTATGGCACCAAGTGTATTATTGAACAGATGCATCGACGGATCTTCAGCTTGCAGTTATGGTACATTTCCCACGTTTGCGTCTCAATGATCCAGGCTGGTGAAATCAGAGAGCAGCGACTCCCTCTGTTCCCAGAGCAGCAGCGGCAGCGGCCCACACCCTGCTGTCCGGTCTTTACGACAACAGCCTTGCAGATCCCAGTCGACAGCCTCAGGTGTGTGCATGCTGCTAATGATCGGATTATCCAACAAACAACACTTTCAATCCATAGTGGTTAAGTGCATACTGTAGGTGCTTCAGTTACGCATTAGAAAATGTTCTAAAAAGTCAAATTCATCATCCATCCATTTAATTGAAAAGTGACATCCAAGGCATGCAACTGGTTTCATGAAACCAAAATTATACATAAGTGCAATTCCAAAAATTTTACGCAATTTTTATCCATCAACTCTTCCTTTCCAAACCCTTTGCAGAGAATCATTACAGAGACCGGAAATTTCTTTGAAATGTAATTCTAACATCAACAAGCTACAAGTAAAGCTCGTATTAATAGCATGGGATCTCCTCTATTATATAATGTCATATTATAACAACACACTTGTCAGAAAGATATTCTTAGACTTTATTAACATGTTCAACTAATGTTCCTTCAATCCTCTCAAAATGATTAGGTGAATTAAGTGCATATATAAGGATTTGTAATGGTTTGCTTTTACTTCTCAGGTTTGGTGACTCTTCCCCTTGCTGACAAACCTCAGCAGCCGAAGAGGTGTTATGAAAATGCAGAGGACAAACCTTCCCAAGAGTCCCGTTCCCAGAAACACAACCGGGTGAGTGACCGGGATGTGTTTGTTATTTTAATTGAGAGGACTTGCTTTAAAAAAAAAAAAAAAAAAAAACATTCTCAAACCGTTTTTGCCCTTTATGCAATAATTATTTGTTCACAAACACACTTAATGACTCTATACCTTTTTCATGAGTTGTGCAAAAGGTGCAAGAAAAAACATTTTGTGTTTCATATGATTACTGTGAATGTGTTTGCCGCGTTGTCATAAAAATCACTTATATATACCATTGTCATATCACCTGCCTCCAGGAACGCACACACTCTTATCTTTCATGTATTATTATGGTGCATTGTTAAATGATTAAACCTTTATGTACGTGGCCACATGACAGAATTCACCCAAACCGTCACAACGTTTCTTCTGTCTCACGTGCAGCTCACAATCTGCGTCGCGACCTCAGCATGGTCAGATTTTTGATTACTATTCCGACAGGCGTATCATCAAACCCAGGTAAACTAACAGTTGGCCCTATCACAAATAATAATAGCAGTTTATTCAGGACGCAGATTAAAAGCTGCCTTTCTCCTCATGAGACTGGATGGCACAGATGATTCCTCACAATAAGTTATTGTCTTTTCACTGAACAGTCGCTGTGGCAAGATTAAAGGCTGATTCATTTATTTATTTCAGGAAGCGAGCAGTAAAATATCTGTTTGTGTGTACCTGCAAACTCTCACTGAATGTAAATGCATCTGAGCAACAGCGGCCCCCAAAGAGACATTTTGACACACCTTCCTTTTTACAAAGGGATCCGTGCTAAAATTAGTTTCTCTGAACCGGATTAGCGTCAGGTGGGAAGGGAATAAACTAAACTAGTAGATGTTTTCCCAGTAATGCGAATATAAAACGGTGTGCGTGTTTGTCTGTCTTGTCCTCAGATGCTGCAGGAGGTGGTGGCTAAAGCGCTCAAACACCACGGGATCACGGCCGAGCATCCGTGCTTTAAGGCCTGCAGCAAAAGACTGTTTGACATCTCGAAATTCTATCTCAAGGTTAGTTGTTTACTGAACACACGCAGTCAGCGCTGGCGTCTCTCTAACAGTTACTTTATTTGTATGCTTCTATGTATCGAGAATGGATGTTTTTGATGAACATATGTTGTTTTGTAATAGATCGCATCCATGGATCTCATATTTTTGCCAATAATTGTCATCTACATCTCCTTGTGAATTGTGGCAAGGTGTTTTTGTTTGATACAATATATATCATGTTGACAAAATCATACAAATAGTGTGCTAATTATTTGTGTTGTATTGTTGCGCAGCTCTCCCCCTTTGAAATGGGTTCAAGCTCAACATAAAATATCTGATTTGCATCCTGCTAAGCCCACTTGAACAATGTTCTTGTTCCGTCAGTCAGAGACGACATCTCTTCTGTTGTTTCGTCCCAGGATCTGAAGACTTCTCGTGGTCTGCATGAGGAAATGAAGAAGGCCGCCAGCAGCAACGTTAAACAGGTAACCACAGCAACGGGGCTTAGATTCACTGTGTAGTCCTTCTACCCCTGATTCTCCTAAAGGTTATTTTTTCTTGTTGTAGGTCATTGACTGGGTGTTGGAGAAGACCTCAAAGAATTAAAGACAATCTTTAATTAGAAAATAGATTTTGTCTCTAATTCTTCGATTTTGTAGCTAAAAGATGGTTCCAATTTCTTTTATTTAATTTATTTCAAAGTGTAGTTTGTAGGCCTCCTGATTAGCTGAATTGTTTTATTACGTCTTGAACTTAATCCTTTATCTTTCATAATGTCTTCATCTAAGATGATCATATATTGACATTTATTTTATTATTTTTCAGTTTGTGGCCGTATATATATTTCTGATATTCCCACTGCTCCAAAACCTTGAAACAGAACAAAATTGACATTCTGAGTAGCAGCAAGGGCTTAAACCTCGGCCTCAAGTTGCTGCTATATTTTCTTTGTAACGTGACTTTTTTTTTCTAAATACTTTATTATTATTATTATACATTATTTCATGGCTTTGATTGTACATATTTTGTTTTACTGTATGTAACAAAATAAAGTCTTTATTTCTTAATCCATGCATAGTGTAACTTCCTGATTAAAATGTCTATAATGTTTGTAATAAAAAAACATTTATTACAATTCCACTGTGTAACAGCCAAGTGTGAATGAAAGCGGTTATTCAGACTCTGAAGGCAAAGCAATGAGCGCAGCGGCGAGTATCACTGACGGTTATGCTTTCTGTAAGTACAGACTGATGAGGAATACTGCCAAGACTTCTGCATCCCCATAATGAGACAAAACCGTCACAGCCAGTCGTCCCACTGCGGCACCATAATGTCTTTTCTCACCAGGCTTCAGGTTTCTAGCAACAATAGAAACAATCTCCTTCTTGAGGTTGAACTCAACAACAAAAAGCGTCAACTTCACAGCAGCGGATAGTTTTATTCCGAGTTGGCGTATAACCTGCATGAATAACATTCCGGTTTTATGACTATCAACAAGCGGTGAGGATAGCCAGACTGTTCAGTTAACAGGAATAACGTAGTCATGTTCGGGTTTGGGTGCAGTTTGGTACTCATTTTTATTAGAGGAAACATTCTCTATATTTATAGACACATTTTCCTTTATTCTGAAGTGTCAAAGTATCAAAGCACATACTGACAACTTTTGGCTAGTATTGGTCAACTTACTTTCACGTTACTGTCATATGTGAGTAAGTTTGAGGTGATTTGTACAGTGCTGTGAAACACTTCCATCTTCATTTAGTGTCGGGGGTTGGTACTACAAAAAGGTCAAATGTAACCAAAATGTGTACACCAGTGACACCGCTGCTACTTTCTGGTCAGCTGATTGAGAACCAGCATTCGACTACCCAAATATAATGTGCCTGGGTTTTCCACAGCAGCAACACTCACCTCGAGGTTATTAAAGGGCACGTGCACTGCGTGACCCGACATTTTCAGCGTGCAGGTATTTCGGGCAAATGGACTGCGTGATATCCATCAGTGTCAGGCTGAGTGCCGGTAATACAAGTTGTATTATCTGCATGTGCTGGTTGTATGGCAGTAGACCAACAGAAGAAATTAGTTTAGACCGTACGTCTGCGTCACACGTAAAAATCCTTGGTGTGATGCCCAGAAAATGAAAATACTATGTGGCTGTGCTAAAAGGGAGACAACAAATGCTCCCAGTGGTCCTTGTTAATTGGTGATAAGCGTAACCATAAATGGGGACTGAACCATTTTTTTGTTTTTTTTATCACACTTTGTACACATTTAAGTCCCACAATATCCGATATACAACTTTCAAAGGAGGAAGAAAAACAAAACTTTGGAACAACAAATCGCCAACCAGATATCGCAGTAGATGTTGCCTCTTGGTTTTAATCCAGGGACCCTAAATGATTTACAGAGATGATCTGTGGGCCCATTAAATGAAGACAGCACAAATAGATGAGTTGGCCATCTGTTATCAGTGCTGTCCTGTGGCAGCATGTAAAATAAATGTTATTAATGGCCGTGGGAGCTTCTTGTTCCAGGGACAAATGGGCAAAAGATGATTCATGCTACTGGGAGGTGAGGATGCTGAGTAAAAGACACCGTTACTTCTAAACTGTTTCATTAGATCTATTCCAAGTGTAATGTTTCCAGTCCGTTACTTCTTTGTTAGGGAAACAATTGAATCTGTGTGAGGAAAAAACGGAAAAGCAGAATGCTTGTTTTTACCTGAAATGGACTAAGGCTCATTTATTGTGTAAGTGTAGCTTCAGATCACCACAGTGTGATCTACCGTGTTTATTTGGCCCCTCGGTAAAGCTACCCGATGCTACGTAGTTTCTTCATGAAACATTTTTGACTTTCACTGCTCTGTCACTAATAGGACTGAATATAACTGCAGTATATGGTGATTTCATTTTTCAATCATTTATATATGTTTGAGGTGGAGTCCATTGGAAAAGATGCAATATTTCAGCTCACATGTATTAACCAGTCTCTATTTGCTCAAGTCACTGCATCTTTGCATTGACCATGTTTTATTCCACTGCCTCTGCAATTTCTTTCACATTTTGTCAGAGTACATGATGGTCTATGGTTAAAATGCCTTATTCACACTAAGTTATACACAAAATACCTTTATTCTATCTCGACCTATGTGTCATTTTGTGTCTTTTTGCATATGGGTACGTCCATGATTTTGTAGACATGCATCAATAAGTGACACTGCTCATTTCTGTGTCGAACAGGGGACTAAAATTTCATCTCGTTGGCAATCTAGCCTGCAGATACAGTATGTGCAAAGAACGTCCTCTGAGGGATGACACCGGACCTGCCTGAGTGTGACATCATGTCAACTTCTAACACACAGCTGGAATGTCTCCTACTTTTACTTTATTGTCTTGTTTAATAAGCTTGACGACCGCTGGTGGAAGTGCACTCACTTGTGTGGGTGTGTGTGTATAAACCTAAATTTAAAATGAATCAATAATAACCTGATCTCCTTCAACTAATAGACAAGCTATTCTCTGTTAGCTGAAATCCTGATCAGCTGACCAAATCATCTTGTAATGACACAATGTTGCCATGGTGATTAAACTAACAGGTCAGAGCTGCAGAGTTGGTACTATTTTTTACTACAGCTTGCTATCCTAATGGGATCCATTCACATGCTAGAATTCAAGGCACATACGCACATGTACAACACACCATGTGTACGTGCGTGGTAGTGAGACAAAGAGTGAGAGGGAAAGATGTGGGTGCATTCAGGGGTGCATGCATGGACATGGCAGTGGCATCCCAAAACATTCCTTCCTCACCCCTCTCCTCTTTTGTCGTCAGGTTCCCAGATACTGGTATTTCTGTGTGTGTGTGTGTGAGAGAGAAAGTTGTGTACAGTCGGTGAGTGTAGCTTCATGATTTTGGGCCACATGTGTGTACAGGTTGCGTGTGGGTGGATGTTTTTGAGAGCAACAGAGCTTGAGGTGCAGCGCTAGTTAAATGGAAGGGCAGGGGCTTCCCCTCACACACGTCTTGACAGTGTGTGTGTGTGTGTGTACCTCAATGGATAAGAACAGAAGAATGAGGTGATGACCCAGTTTCTTTCTCCTGCTGTGCCTACAAACAGTGCCATTGTCTATATGTCCTCATGTGTATATAATCAGAGACAAGTTGTGTGTGTTTTTTTTGACCCAACAATTCCCAATAGATTGCTATCCTGTACATCAACTTGTATCAGCTCATTTGCTTAATGACGAAGTGTGTTTTCTAGCTTCCTGTGGAGTGATGGGCTTGTATCTATGATATTATATAGATTCCATACTGTAATGTTAATGTTCATTCTGAACACCGCTACAATGAGACTGTACAGATGAAGTCCAATTTGAAACCCCAAATTGGTCGTCCGGTTAATTTGTCAGCACAAGCAGCATGTCCTCTTCACCCGAGGGAAGAAGCATTTGCAGAAGGCACTTTTTTGTTCTTGTCAGAAAATCCATGTACATTAGATACCTCAAGCATCCTCAGATAAAAAGCAATATGGAATCTCTCCAATAAGACAAATCCTTTTGCTCTGTGGGTGGATCTCGGTGGCAGAGAGGAGTTTTTACTAAATTGTAAAGGGAAAATGGAGGAGTCCCTTTTCAGCAGCTATCGCCTCCTTGAACACCTCCAGTCTTTCCTTCTGCCCGGGGAATGGAAGATGTGGAACCTGACGTTTTACGAATAACTAGTTGATTCACAATTATCGTCAGGCGAAGGTTGAATGCATTTTGGACACACATACAGTATGTCAATACATTAGGCAATATCTAAATAGTGACGTATCATTCAGCCGTTCACGAGAAATAACGATCGTGACCGAGAAACTCAAACCATGCAAGTAGAAGCATAACTCATTTAATTTGTAATACTTTGAACCTGGTTGCCTCATGTTGTTCGCATGACAAAGCACTGTAACAACACGTGGACAAAGGCATCTAAGATGCTCTTCTTTGTTGTCCATCTTCTGAGAAATTGTAGTTTCGCCGCGTCACACAATAACGTCTCCCGTCGCATCATAACTACGTAGCTTAGTAAGAGTGGAGTCGGATTCCAGAAATGCCGCAGATTTCTTTTCCTAACTCCTCATGAATTCTCCTAACCATCTTTCCCCGACCCTGTGAGGTTTTCCACAGAGGTCAAGGAATAGGACGCCAAGGACGCCAATTCCGATCCATCCTATGAATAGCATCATGGGATTGATGGGGTGTATCTCATTGAGAGAAAAGCTTTTGGTTTGATATTTCAGATGACTTCCAGGATTTTTAAGTGAGGAGGTCCTTCAATGAGCATCAGGCCCTCTGAATCTGCTTCCCACCAAAGAAGAAAAGTAACAAGGAGCCACCCACAAACTGAAGCACATCCTACCAACCTTCAGTAGCTCTTTGTTCGCCCCCCCTCCGAACCCATCCCAGGACTACTGAAAGTAGTCTAAAAGATTTGTTTTGCACAACATTGAAATAAGGGAATGAACCATGGTTCCCAACAAAGTAACCTTAAATATTTCAGGCTCACTCTAAGTTAGACATGCTTTGGATTTGCCCGTCCTTTTGCTGGTCCACACCGTTCTCTCCCTCCTACACATTTTTTTTATAAACAGACTTGCACACAAAAGTAGTACAAGTATGCAGAGAAAAACAACAGCTGTTCATACAAAAGGACACACAGGCAAAACACCTTAGCGGCCTGTATCTGCACGTCACTCGAAGTTTCTATTGTTCATTTGAACACAACTCTAGACACATTTGCTAACACATACGCATAGACACAACACACGCAACCACAAAAACACACGCACACACACACTCACACACTTACTTCATGGCTGATTGATAATTGATCTGGCTCCTTTCCAGCCCCTCAAAATGAAAAGCTGACAGGCTAAGTCAATACAGCCCTCCAAAACTCTCAATGAGAGAGCTGGCTATTAGTGAGCGTGTATGTTTGTGCGTTTGGGGGTGTGTGTGTGTGTGTGTGTGTGTGTGTGTGTGTGTGTTGGAATTTCATCAGTGACTGTTGGTCAACTTGTGAGTGTTTTTAGGTCTTGAGAAAGGCAAAAACACGGCTTTCTGTCCGTCTCAGAGGGAAAGGTGACCTGGAGAGTTATGTGTGTTTTTCTTTCACATGACTCAATAATTGCTGCAGACGTCAAGTCTGACTTATCAAGTCTACAGAGACTCAAAAGAAAAGTTGGGAAATTCTGCCAGTAAAAATGTCAACTAGTGAACAATCTGTTGTGTGTGTTTGAGGTTTAAACTCCTTTCCCTCAATGACATGAATGGGTTAATCCGTGTGTGTGTGTGTGTGTGGTGAAGAGGAGAGGATGCCAGCTCATTACCTAGGAGCCAAGTAAACAATGCCAAAGAGTTACGATTGTGTTGAGCGCTGCCTACAACTCAATTATTCTCAAGCTCTTTGCACAAAGACACACACATTCTTCCCGCTGAGCAGATCAATAGAACACTTCCCAAATCAGCTAAACTGCCACTAATACGCAGTGAATTATTACACCACGTCTCAGCCTCACTGTCCCAAGATACAGCACTGAGGTGTTTGCAGCAGGGTGTTGTTTCAATTATGAAAGTAAAAGACGGGAATAGCACAATAACTACTAAAACAAGTGTTGGAAAACACATTTTAGAATTTACATTTTAATGTGATTTGTGTGGAATTTCGACATTTTCCAGACTTCTTCTCTTGGTTTGTGTTCGCTATTGATGAGAAATTGATAAAAATCAAGTGAAGACAATAAAAACAAACTCATCATATTGCTTTTGTTAAATACATGATTTATGTGCACAGGTTAGAGTTAAAAACTAGGCTTCATCATTCTGAGTGGCAGTGAAGTAGCTGCCAAAGGCATCGGAGTATTCTACATATCAAAGCAACCTCCCCTCAAAGAGCTTCTCTTCACTTGCGGTCATCAGTAAGTGCTGCGATTCTGGCTGGACAAAAGTGTTACGGTGATTTTAGTACCAACAAAACAGATGATGTGTCTTCTTGAGAGTGCTGCAATTACAGCGTGTAAATCATTGCTCACAGTGCGAGTGTTTGTGTATATGGTCATTGGAAATGTGTCTTTATTAGGAACACGAGAGTAGACACAGAATATCTGCTATTTGAGTATTTTTGTGCTCATAACCATGGGAAAAGTGGGCATAGAAGGAACCCTTGAGCCATCCTTTGACCTTAGTCCGTACGTTCTTTTCAAATGGAAACGTCTTTGTCATCTTCATCTCAAGGCACTAGGAGAGACCCAGCAGCCGGCTATGTCAGGCAGCAGATTAAAATCTATACACTAACATCCTGTACTTGCTGCTCCAGAATTTAAACAGGACTCAAGACCCGTCATGTTTCTACTGCTATAATAAAAACAAATAATACTTGATGTGAATATCGTGGCATCGTTGGATTAAGTACTCATGGCGAAGATGAAGACCTTAGATTTTAAAGATTCTACTTGATTGATCAGATATAATTAATCTCAATCCACTTTAAAATAAATGAGGAAGGATTAAGACTGCAGACCCTTTGAGGAACAGCTTAACATTTCGGGAAATAGATCAGAAGATAAATATCTCTCTCATGGCCGTCAATTAAATATACTGTAAGGCCATAGCCAGTAGCTGGAAACAAACACTGTCCAAAGGGGAAGTAACAAAATCCACCCGCTAGCACCTCTAAAGCTTTCTGATTAACCAGTTTATAGCTGCTTTCAATCCCACCGTCCAGGAAGAAGAGCCAAGCTAATAAGAAACTGGCTGCAGCTCATCAAACTCTTGGTGAGAAAGTGAAAAAGGCTTATTTTCCTAAAAGAGCAAACACGTGTTTACCAGAGTATTCTGCACGTTACCTCCTTGTTTGGTTATGGAACTATCGGGGGCAAATTACACGTATACATCTTTATTCTAGTCTTAAACTTTCATGCATATGTTATATGGCTTATTTTTTTTTTCTACAACTGAAGTCGTTTGAAGTGAAACACTTTAAGTACATCATGGTCATCTCAAAAGAATACAGGGACATTTGGAATTTGAGTCAGCCGTCACGTTGTGCCAACCGGGTTCAATGATGACATCGCTAACAAGACCAATCAGTGCACGCTAACAAAGACAAATGCCTGAAGTTTTTCCACAGTGTGTCAAGTGTTTGGTGAAGAAAAATGACAGAGTGAAATGCAGAGTGTCCTTTTAGAGCTAATGGTGAATAAATTATATATTTGGTAAATGGAAGGCCGTCTGCTATAACATTTTGATTGAATTAAAAGGAAATTCATCTCAATAGTGTCCAGTCCTTCTAATCCTGGACGTGACAGTAATGCCCAATCTGTGTCCATCTGCCTGCATACACCATCCTTCTCCCTCCAGTCCACGTTTTCTTCTGTGGTTCTTCAGTCAACACTTCAGTCATGCGGCCCTTAAAAGGAAGGGCATATCCCCCCCCACAAAAAAAAACAGTCCATTTCACTCTAAGCAAGTCCTACCTGGATTGGTTTCTCCAGTGTCTCATTAACTTTGAGTGGGAGGTCCAGAAAGAGGCTACATTCAACTCAGCTTGGGCCCTCGACCGGAGTTCGACGTGGTGTAACTGCTGCTGCAGGCGGGCTGGAGAAACAAGGTGGTGATTTCCGTTTCTCCAAACAACCAAAATGTCCCTTTAGAGCGCTCAGGCCACCAGACCCAGACGGTAGATCTTAGCAGAGAGGAAGGAGTGGAGGATGAAGACTATCGGCTTCGGACAAGAGTGGAGGTCCAGTTGCTGGAAGAAGAAGGGAAAAAAAAAAAAAAAGAGTTTAAAAAGTAGACTATATTCAGAACTAACAACCCAGGCAACAGTTCCCCTTAAGGCAAGTATTATACAGACCGAGCTGGAGTTGAGCACCGCTCACACACAGACATCACATCACTGCGAACAAAGCTCCGCTCAGAGCCTGAATTAACGGCGGTGCTGTGAACCGCGTCCCGTTCCTCAGGCCTGACAGGAGCGCTCACCTATAAATTCACACTAGTGACACTTTTAATGGCTATCTCGTCCAGCATATCAAGGAACGAGATGTGAGTGGACCGTCATCATGACTGGATCACAGCAATGCGGCGTTTCAGCATTGTTTTTTTTATAGGAACAATTTGGTAGTGGCAACGTAGCGGAGGTCCCAGCTCACAGTCCTAGTTAACACGTGGTTAAAAATGTTAATTTAAACAAAAAAGCTGTAGGTTTCGCAAACAAAAAACACTTAATGAAGTTAAAAGTCTATAATATATGTATTGAGGGGACAAACTGTCAATTGCTCTGAAAAATGTATATAAATAGTCCAAATGTTACAAAAAAAAAGGAAGAAACCCCCCCAGATGATTCTACTTTCAAATGTTGAGCAAATGTGCTGTAAACCACATCCGTAAATGCCTTTTTTATAAGCCTTGTGTAAGACCATGTTGAGACTCGCAACAGACACCAAAATCTGTTCATCTTATGTTGCCAACGGCGGGTTTTCAAATCAAAGCTCAGATTTCTTTGCTTGTTTGCCTTCCAGCAGGATCTGAGCTGTGAAACACGAGTGTATCTGACAGAAGTTTTATACAGCGCTGTATGTGGAATGTTGTTCGGCACATTGAATCTCATCTAATCATATTCTGATTTTTTTTAATCCCGAAAGCCTTAAGTGATGTTTCACTTTATTTTCTAGCATAAATCTTAGTGGCATTATGACAACTACAAGAGCTCATCATTAATATCAATACCGCTATTGTCAAATATGGACGGAAGATAACAACCAAAAAACAGAAGTAATAATTATATATATATATATATATATATATATATATATATATATATATACCCTGTGGCAGATTTGCAAACACAACCTTACATTCAGGCCGTTTGAATGGAATGACGAATCAGCCTGATCTATGCTGGGTTTCTACCCGTTTTCTCCCCCGTACACAATTTCACATCACCTGTCTTTGACGTGAACAAAATTAGTTCCTATTGGACCAGACATTGCTTTAAAAACAAAAACACTCACAATCTCCCCCTCCTCCCCTCCAAAGTCGAGGAAGAGCATGCGAACTCCGTCATCCGAGGACATCTTCAGCTTTTCGTAGGGGTAGGAGAGGAGCACCTGAGGCCTGGTGGGTGTGTGAGCTCCTCTCTCCTCCCGATTTTCACCGTCTCCCAGTTTGGGGTCAGCCAGTACGGAGAAGCCCTGTTCGTAGTGGATCACCAGCCGGCACTCCTGGCTCTGGTATAGACAACCTGGAACATTCAATAGATGCAATAGGTGTAACTTTTTATTGTTAGCTAACAAGATGTTCATTAGATAAATCCTCTCATTTTTCCTTTTAGCAATAATGTTTGGATTACAGAAGCAAGAGTCTTGGAATCGCTAAATACCAAATAGGATGAGTCATTACTATGAGAGGCAAAAAGTTGGTAGCAGTACATGTTTAAATTGATTTGGCAAAGTTAATCAATCTCCACGTGTTCTGTTATGAAATAACGTAAGTGTTAGTTTGTATTGGCAGCCACATTCAGCGTAATTAATGTTTTAGTATGTTACTATTATTACGGTCTCTCTCATTCCATTGAAAATAGAAAATGCTTTGTATTTCCTTGCAGTTACCGTTCAGAGGGCCTTTGCTTTTTCTGTTAGCTCTGTGATCTGGTATCTGGGTGTAGATTTAGGCCCTTTGTATTAAAATATATTGGAGAGCTTTGACATGTTGTCAAAACCGGACTCAGGTTAACCACAATTCGCCACATTTTACGTGACGGACTGGTCTCTTCTTCCCGCGCTGACCTACTTGCTGAAGCACTGTGCAACGCTTCAGCTCTACAACATTTCTGCTCACCGTCTTAGTCTTGCCTTCTTCGCAGCATGTGTCCGGCTGAAAGCGTTTGTGGAAATTTACTCTCACGATTTACGTATCACTTTTCTCAAAGACAATCCGGTCACGTCTCCACACAGTGTGATCTAGCTGCATTTAGCGCCTCCCCCTTCCCCCCCAAATCTATCAGGTACGGTGTTTGTGTGACAAAGAGGCAAGAAGAGTTGTTATCTTTCCATTGTTTGCTGACAGCCTGAGCCGGATGTATGTGTGTCTGTGTGTGCTGCAAGCACAGATGAGTGTGTGTGTATGTGTAAATATGACTGAGGGTGTGAAACGGCTCTAAGCTGGTGATCTGGCCGCGATGTGGACGAGACATGGAGATGCACTCTCTGTGGCTTGTGTGAGTCTCTTTTGTCCACTTGTCTGATCCTGTGATTACTTTACAGAGTTGTCAGTCAAACCTCGCTAATCGCACTATACACACCTATATACCCCTCCCCCCCACCGCCTGTCTCTTTAGCTGAAGGTGATTATGAAAGCAAGGTTGGCAAATATGTACACAGTAACACACACACAGCAGACTATGAAAGGTAAGAAGAGTATTGTGACCGTAACTTATTCTGCACAGTAGTAGATTGGGTTATAGTGCAGAATGATGCAATCAAGCCTTAAAAATGTTTGCTAAATGAAGTTTTTTGTTTTTGTTTTGACCCATTCGGTTCTGCGCAAATGCTGACACATTACCTGCTTTTAGGAGTCATTCCCACAGCACACTATGGGAGTTTGAAATACAAGCCCATAATGCTCAGTTTGCATGACACAGTCAAAGATGTTTTAATTAAATTGGATGCTCAGCACTGAGGTTATAGTTGGTGGTGATTTCTTTAGGACTGTATACTATTGAGAGGTGTTTTCTAATATAAATGTGTTTTATTTTGATAGAAACCCAAGCTAAAAAACTGGAAATGCTGCTCAGTATAATGTAGTTCAATACAATATACATGAAAGTACAATTTCAATAATAACCATATTGCAGCGCGATTTTACTGTGCGTGCCATATTACTGCAAAGTAACGTGTTTTATTCCAGAGTTGCTGCATGTCAGACTGCTTTTCGCCATTTCTATTCTGTCTCCAAAACTGTTGAATAAAAATATATATTTACAAGCAATAAAATTTCACATCTCCAAAAATGTCAACTTAAACAAAACATCCAAAACAGTACAATTCAGGTGTATACCCTGATGACTTTTAATTTAATGCAAACAAAGTCTGTCACATCTCACTCTGCCACCTCTACTGCCACGTAGAGTAATGTTGGTTTTAACATCACTGCTCAGGTGAGGTGTAGGAAACATTAAGGCACCTTTGGTAGGAAATTCTTTAAAAAAAAACCTTTTGTGTGCATCATAAGCAGAGCAGTAGATACTGTGATTCAAATAGAAAAAACGAGGCGCACACACACACACACACACACACACACACACACACACACAAATAAACCATAATATTCCCAGAACCCTGAAGACATCCCATTCATGATGAAAAATAAGCGTCATAATGTGTAACATTATTCTAATGATGTACAAACAATCCGACAGGATAAAACGTCTCCCGAATGGTATAGCGGTTTTAAATGGGGCAAAGAGCGCCTGGTCTCTAGTGTGTTGGTGTGTTCAGGAGTGAGAATTAGACATGAAACCCGAGAGCCTTGATCCTTGAGGCAAGCAGGGTTTCCCATCAAAACACACAAACACTCGCACAAACGCACACACGGGGGCTTTTCAGCCTGAAAGAAAAGCCTTTCTTGTGAGTGGAGAAGAGGGACAGTAAATGATAATGCAGAGACACAGAGCGCGCTGGGTCCACATAATTGGGGAGCTTTAGGAAGGCAGATTTAGTTACTTTTGGATGCAGCAGTTTCTTTCTGTTTCCAGTCTTTATTGAGAGAGAAGGAAAGGTCTGCAAAATGCAAACTGTTCTTAAAAGTGTTAAAATCTGCGACACCATGACAACTGGACAAACCTTCTGCTGGATTTTGATGCTGACGATACTGTTGATTCCTCGTGGGTTGATTAAGACGCCAGTGAAAACCAGCAATAGAACTACATGACAGGCAGTGCCTTACCCTGCTAATTTATCAGAATACCCATGTAACCTGTAAAAGTTTTAAAAGTCACCTTGGACATAATAACAGAATGACCGCTGGCCAAGTGCCTGCGAAATTAAATGTTTCGGCCGAACAAATTAATTTCTTCTTTAAAGTCGCTCTGCTCATCAAGTGATTGAGAGTTAATCTCTCTGGCCTTGACAGTGGATAAACCATCACAATGATTTATCAGAATGTAGCAGATGAAAAGCTGACAAGGTCAGCGCGACGACTCCTCAGGTGGCAGCTGCTGAGAAATGAGCGAGTGCACTTTGTATGTATCCTCACACTCCTTCTCGCGGAAGTGTAAATTACTTTTCTTCTTGCAGAACAAGAAAGCGAAGGCTTCGCGGGAACATCAATCTGTTTCAGAGAAGTTATGGGATCCATTTCAGACAGAAATTCAATGGAGAAAAATAAAGATTTAAAAGCCATTCTCTTTTCTACAACCTGTATTTTCCTTCTACATTTCAGCAAATAAATATTTTCACCCAATTGTACCGGCAGTAAATCGGGTAATGGCAGTCCGGAGGCAGGGGTTGTTTTCTCTTTACCCAGCATGGGCAGAGAGCTACATGCGGTCAGTGTAGGTGAAGAGGGGAGATGTTAATCAAACAGTGCACAATCCAAAACACACTCCTGTGAAGAGCCATGTCATCCTAAATAGGTGAAATCATCCTTGTGGGTGTGCAGGGCCCTTCACTGTATCTGTTGCTCTGTGAATCCTAGCGGAGAATTTAGGGAGAATTTGTTGAGGCGTAAACAACGCTGATAACAAGGGTGTGGTGTTGAGGTCTTGTATCATTTGCTGCTGGAAACAAGCAGTTTCATAAATGAGTCTGAAGTGGAAACTTAATTTGGCACAGCGTTCATAGACCCAGAGAGGAGGGGGACCCGGGGGAGAAGGAGTTCCCAGGACATTTTGTTCTTTGAAAGGAGGGGAGGCAAAGAGGGGGGGTATTCTTTTGGATTTCCCTGGTTGGCCCAAGGCCAATGGCAACCGCACGCGTACGCACACGCGTACGCACACGCACACGCACACGCACACACACACACACAGCATTCCTTTCTATAAATAGCAAATGCTTTGTCCACATCTTCCATATGGCTGTCAAACAATATCACAGCATTTCACTATATGGGTGGACTTTTAGTCTGTGTTTACATTTTGCTTCATGTACTGGATTTGCTGACTTTGTTTCAGGCTCGCGAGCCCTCAGGCAGGCGGGACTCTGTGGATCCGTTCAGTTGCCGCGTGCCTGAACACGTCTGAGGATGCATCACAGAGACCTGTGCCCCACTTTTGTGTATTTACTATTTACCGCATTTAAACCCAATTTATCCATTTTAAAAGGTCTAAACGGTACTTTGAGTTACCTCTAACTAAATGTTCATGTCTTGCATATTGGCACTCACTTGTCGTGACTTCTTTGATCATCTCAGCTGATGCGTGACATCCGTTGACTAGTTGTCTGGTCCACAGGGACAGATCCTTGGCGGTCTCCGCCCGGAACAGATGAGTCTCGATGCCGAGTCGCGTCCCAGTCCGAGTGGCAAAGAGCAGCTCTGTGCCAGAGTGTGGCGACCCCCGCTCAGACCCTGAGTGGACCAAACTGGAGGAACACATAAACTATCATCTGGTGTAATGAAGGAAGAAGGCATTTTCGTCCTTATGTTATTTTCCATTTCGGTTGAATACAGTTCTCAAATTTCTTTCAATGATATTGATGTATGTTTTGGTGAAACATTCTTTAAGTGCCGCCACGGTCACATGATATTGCGCAATCTGGTCACAAAGTGGCAGCATTGAGTAAGAATTTTATTATTCCACCCAGCGCATTGTGCCTACTTTTAAACTATCTTTTTACAAATAACGTAAATGTGTGTCAAAATGTAACAGGATGACTGGCTGTAGGTACTACTGGAAGTGAGTCGTGGAACTTTGGCCACCAGTCGTAGGCTGATGTTGGCACGCGTAAAGCTAAACAGTGCTGTTGGACTTTGAAACGGAGGACAACTGGTAAGGTGTTACATTGATTGTAACTCATCATCGTGTACGGAGTTGTGCGACGTGGAGGTTAGGTGAAGCTTGTTGGAGCGCAACAGGGAGTGAGAGAGGGCGACCGCGGCCTGTGATTGTAGTCTAACTCATGATCATTTTGTCAAACTCATTGCCACGCGACATTTTGCGGTTTTCCATGCTACTGCTCTCATATTTGTTTACTCTGCGTCCAGGCTTTTGTGGAAGTTACCCATTAAAAGTTCACTTCACTTCCCTCTGGACAATTGCCGCTTGCGTGGCTGTAGACTCACTCTTGTTGTGCTTAATATTCAACATCGTAGGATCTGTAGAAATGAGGGGTGGACGTACCGGGTTGCTAAAAGTGGATACTGGTGTGCGGGGCTCTGCCATGCCTCCTTGCCTCGTGGTAGACTCTCATACAGCAGTAGGTCTTTCTCTGTCACCACCACCAGCACCGGCTTCCAGCATTGCTTCTCACTCTCCGTCTGCAGCACAAACCCATGAACCATGAGACAAAGATTGTATCCGTCATCTCTCCAGTTTGTATATTTGCTCATCCAGTGCAGGGTCGTTGGGGATGTACTGTATTTAGTTGAATAACATTTAAACAAAAAGGCTGAATCTATTATCGGGAGTATTACACTATTAAGTGCATTAATTACTGTGCACTTACTAGTAAGGTACTAATTACGGTAATAACCTTAAAAATGGTTATCGAGTCTGCAGCAGCCCAGAAAAGTATTTACCATTAATTTATAAAATATATATTGGCAGATCTTTGTAGAGCTGAACAAGGCTACTTATGTTGAATTTGAATCAAGCACAACCTCAATTATTTGGATGCCACGGGATTTTATGTTCCAATGGCTTCTCAAATTTGTGACAAATACAGAATTTTTTAGATTAAAGCAGGTATTTCATTCTTAATATCAACGGTTGTTAGGAGAATTAGCTATAAATAAAAAGGTGGCTGGTGTGCAGGTGATCTTTCTGTTCTTTGCTCTGCCCCCACGCCTACCAATCCCCCCTAAAACGAACTGCTTTACCCTTCAGAACACACACTGTTAATCTCTTAACTTAGACCACACACGCAGCCCCGTGTTTCATTTCACAATGTTCCATGACTATTCTCGTTATGAGCGCTTATCTGCAGCCCAGCCATGGAATCCTAAACTGCTCTTTCATCTTCTGCCTCAGCCAACCATATTGTGGGATTTAAAGGGTCATGGGTCAGCTTTTTAACATAATGAGAACGTTGCTAAGTAACAGTATTGTGCAGCATTTTAAGGATCAAATATCGGCAAATTCATGAGGACTAAATTATAGATGCATGCGTGTTTCTGTGTGTGTTGGTGTGGATATGTTTGCAGTGGTAATGCTGCCTTTGTGTGGAGGAGAGAGTGAAGCTCTATCTGCTTATGAATTTCAAAGACGTCTGCACAAGTGTGTACAGTGATGCCAAAAATATAAATGCAAACACAGGTATCTCGTAGATATTTCTCACTTTCAAAAAACGTCCAACCTTTTGCAATGTAAAATATAGACCTACATGCTAGAGTCACCAAAATGTAATATGACAAAATTGACTGCATTAAAATGTGAAAAATCTAGAAGAACGGGCATCGAACACACACACACACACCCTACCTTCCCTGCCAGCCATCCCAGGTGCCGTATCTCTCTGCTGCCAGCTACATCCGTCCTGGCTGTGCTGTGGATGACCTCTGATAGTGCCCGCTGGGGTGGGATGAGGATTCAGGGCACATTAAATTCAAAGCAGCTCTGAGGAGCCGAATCACGGCCACAGTATAGTATCTTGGAAACTACCTCATTAGAATGGTGACGATGACAATATATGAGAACTACTGGTAAAAATCAATGAACTCAGACCTTTGCCAGTTTGGAAGTGACAGAATGCATGGCAGAGAACCAGGACAGGGCGGACGGTTGGTCCGGGCATCTCAGCACCACGGTGTGTCTGGCGTCAGGGGAGTGCAGCTCCAGTTGTCTGGAGGTGAAGATAAGAAAAGTTACAGATTTAACCTTTCTGTGTTCGTTCAAACGGGATCTAAGTCTTTTATTCACATCCCCTGATGAATAAATTCCCTTTTATAATATCTTATCAGTCAGACCCGATTGGACTTAATTTTAGAAACCAAATGCAATCCATTTAGGCCGCAGCTTCAATAGCTGCTTGTTTGTCTCATACATTCGGAAATGGGCACTCAGTCACAACAATGGAATGAAGTGCATTGAAATTTTAGTGTATTCAAGTAAATTTAAATGATAAAACAGGCATTTCTCATGCTTCCTCTGTGGGCCATATGACAGCGCTGTCTACATTTCCATAGCTAATCTCCTTGAATCATATGGGAGTATTTCTGGCCTCCAGACTGCAAGATGCTTCTCTATCTCATGGAACTGCTCTTTGATTGTGTGCTCAGTGAATATGGATTATGAAAAGATGCGCATTGCCGCCTGTACGGTGCATAAAGCAGTGTACATTGTAGCATCAATACCGATAGTGTTCATCTCTGTTAAGCAAAGGAGGACAAAGCGACTCTCCGGTGCCGGCCTCATGCTGGGATTTGGAGTTTACCACCTAGTCTGAATCTATCTAACATCTCTATTCACACTGCACTCCACTGTCCGGGTGCTCCCTGTGGTTTAAAATATAAAACTACTCAAAAACCAGTGTGGCTCCACCTCTGCAAACATGCTTTCTTTGCAGCTTTCCTTGTTCATACAGCACACGGTGGACCCAGATCAGCTGCAGGTGTTTCTCTTGGGTTAAAACTAGAAATGCTGCCTGTAGAAGACCAATGTCTCACTTGATGAAAGGACAGTTGTTCACACAGGGCACAATAAATGGCAAATATGTATTCAAGCTCAGTACTGTAGGTCTGTTCCAGCATATAGATGTGATTTACGCAGTAATTGTATTGTTAAATGACATGTCATGTAAATAAACATTAATGTACTCCATCCGCACACACACCAGTTGCATGGAGGAAATGTTTAATGACTATAAACATTATTACTGTATTATATTACATTATACTATATGAAGTTATAATGCTGTTGAAATATTGTTACAAAATACAAGACAACAAGCTGCTGTTAAAGCCTGAAAATGACCTGATGCAATGTGGATACATGCTGCATGTTGAACAGTTGAACTTCCTCTTGGCTGGTTGAAGTGCAGGATGTTGAGGTATATCATGAAGTAAGATATGGAACATAAACAGGTATCCTGCTTCAAACCAATGATACTAGAGAAAGCTTAAGAGATCAGTAGAACTAGAATGCAAACGTTATTTCCTCACTTTACACGGCCATTCTTGTGAATATTGAAGTCTCCTACATTAACACTGAAGGGTTTTCTAGTATGTTGTCTCAGTAATCACACGGATTAATTGTGAAAGAAGAAAAAAGATGAGACCCATCTCATCCATTTTAAGAGCTAATTTCCTTTCTTCTCGTGACTCTCTTGAATCATTCTGCTTTTTCTTATATTTCGCTCATCTCTGTCTTTCTCAATTTCTTTCCCTCTTCTGCTTCACTCATCTCTTTTTCTAATGCTGTATCTACACACCTTCTTATAACATATTATTCCACAGTGAATAAGGGTAATAGTGTAATTTGTTTTATTTAGTCTGTCACATAAAGCTATATAACCCTTGTACGGTGTGTATGTTACAGTAAGGTGAGGAAAATGTAATCAGAACATTAAAGTTTAAAAGAAAAGGTCTATCAAGTATTTTATTTTCCGTACGTACTTTCCCCCCCCTCATTTTTACTTTCCTTGTCTTATATCATCTCTTTTCATGAATTTACGTGCTCTGCCTTTTACCATATCCTTCCCTCTTGTCTGTGCTTTCAAGCTTATACACAGTTTAAACAGCATCTGCTGAAATAAAGAGAGAAACCCTCAGAGGAATGCAGAGTCTGGTATAAAAAAAGATAACCCAGACTTCTCTGTCACTTAATATAAAGCCTTTTAAACCATTTTATCTCTGAACCCAAAATAAGAAAAACAGAATAGGATTTTGTATCGTCATGCATCTTTATCTGATGAAATACCACATTCAAAGTTTCATGGATTTAGAAAAAAATAAAGCAGATTTCACCCTGGTTTCCCCCCCATTTAAACAACATTTACTGGTGAGTCAAGGGGGATTTGCCCTGGCTGTTAGGATAAGAAAGGACCTTCATGCGAAACATCAACCTGGTCAAAGTAAATTTATCGAGCTTTAACAAAACAGTGTTATCTGTGTATCTTGTCACTGACCCCGAATCCTCGTCCAACTAGCTGACCAATAAAGTCAAACTTATGACCAACAGAGTCAATGTTCAACTCCATTGTGCTCTTAAAAAGTTAAATACATAACCCGGGAAATGTACAAGTTGTGCACAAATTGTCCTCCTTTACTTCCTGACCTTGATTCACGTCACGGCCAGTTTCAAAAGCTCAAAAGAAGTAAGGAGACATTTTGAGGAATACAACTCTTTTCAGAATTATTACACAACAATACTGGTGTCATGTCTGTGTGGAGATCGGGTTGACAATTAGCCTAGCTTAGCATAAAGGTTGGAAGAGAGGAGAAGCAGCTAGCAGCAGCTAGCAGCAGCAGCCGCTGGACCTGCTCATTCATTCCATCGATTATTCGCATTCGCACCATTTAAAACATTTTGAAGCGTAAATCTCTGAAAGAGTCACAATAGTGCTGATGTGCTGCTGCAGGACAAGGACAAAGGAATGACAACTACATTTCCTTACGGAAATGTACCTAAAAGAAGAAAAGTAATACACATATTATTACATATCAGTAGAAGGTGATCTAATTTTTCATTTAAATTTACTGGGACTTTTTTATTGATTGCTTGTGGGGGTTCGCTTTGACATTTTACAGTGGCAGCGTTGAGCTGCCTAACAACGTCTATACAGACAGAGGAAAGTCACCGCTCACTGCTGGGGCTTGACCTTAATAATGCCTCAAATTGTCTGAGGCTTTGAAGTTCAGTGAGATTTAACGGTCTTATATTTTTTAAATCATACATTTGAATGGAGGGTTTTGGGACGATGGAAAAACACAGAGCTGTCGAGCCAGAAAAAGGAAAATAAATCAAGAGAGCCAATACCTTGCAAAGTGGAGGGAGATAGAAGGAGAGAATTGATTACACATAACGGAGAAAGACAGATAGATCAGCAAAGTCAAGAAAGGACATGGCAACTAGAAGACAGAAGGCACGGAAAAACAGAAACAAGTAGGAAAGAGTGGCACAACAAACAAAAAGACAAGCCACATTGTACGAAGAGAGAAGCAGAGGGAGAGAACACAGGGACAAAAAGCGCACACAGACTGACACCAAAGATGTTTAAACAGGAAATCTTTTTCTGCCCCCATGCTGTTTGATTGGGCCTTTGTCATATGACTAACCAATTAACTCGACGACACCTCATAACGGAACAAACCCCCCCGCTGACTCACTGAAATATCAAAGTTCTGCTTCAAATGTCTTGAAGAAGACAGAACACCGAGACAAGAGTATTAGGTAATCCCTTCATGATAGCAGAAGGCGGCTGCAGACCGTGATATTCTTTCTCTGTCACACTGTAAAGAAAAGGAGCACGGAGGGATTGAATAACCTTTGCTTCATTAAGGTAATCATCTTTTGGGGGTTTGGAAGTTGAGCTTTGGATCTTTTGCGAGAGACAATATTGAAGCAAAGCAATGGATACACCGAGGGTATATATACTGATTTCTTAGCAAAGATATTTTTTTATTCAAGTACGACTTTGAGGAGAAGACTAGGAATAAATTTAAATATTGTATTTAAATCCCATAGAAACACCCATAAAAATCCCATAATGAACAACTAGTTAGTCCATCCGTCAATAAGTACCAACTTTCTGTCTTTAGCTCCCAGCACTTTGGTTGCCATGAAGACACGTGAGGTGGATTGCTGAACTGCGTGAATTAAACTATCAGTCACTAGTTAGTGTATCGGACAAAATGGCAGAATCCACAGAGAACTGCCTTCAGCCCAAGAATGAGGACGCAGGCATTTTCAATGGTGTGTGTGTGTGTGTTTCACTTACCGGTTCTCGGGGTCTGGTGTGGTCAAGGCTCGGGTTACACAGCACATCTTGAGTGGTATGCACCTCCTGTCGCCCTGGAGGGACAGAGAGGGCATGGAGGGAGAGCTCGGAGAGTCCGATGGGGAGAAGGAGAAGGAGGTGGGAGAGGAGAGGACGGTCGGGCTGCCGAGGCGAGGAGACTCGGGAGGTGGCGTTTCCCAGCCGATCTCTGACACTGGGGAGCCTTTTTTGACGTACGGCGTGGCCTCGCGCATGTACTTCACTGGGCGGGAAAGGAACGGAGACATTTACAGTGAACAGTGAGATATGGTACAGACGGTTCAACTAGGGAACTGAAGTAGAACTTTCAGAGATTTAAATGCTGTGGAGATTGTTTTGGTCAAAGTGGGGAATTCATCTCAAAATGTTAAAAAAAAAGGTTAAAAAAAGCATCCCGGTTTTCCGAGGCACTACACTAGAACACAATTACCCAAAAGATGCTTAAAGGTCTACAGAATTCAGCTTTACGTGAATTAGACCCTGAAGTCTTTAGGCATTGGTATTTCAAGTCAGAGAAGAACTTCCTGCACGTTGGAAATATTTATTCATGGTTTCAGGTGGACCCTGTTTGTTATATCAGGCCCACACCATTGAAGACCGTAACAGAAACATGATGTGTTTGCTGGATGTGTTTACAGGATACCAAGGTTTGGATAGAAGACATTGGATTTTTCAAGTTTTAAAGAATGTCACGAGGCATCAGATAGAAAGAAAACTTAGCAGCATCTCTGTGCATAAATTATGCTAAAACTAAAAAGTTGTCTAGGAACTGTCTGTCTGTCTATAATGAAACTGTTCCATGGCTTGTTCAGGTTTGCATAAAAGGGTGGAATTTCTTCAAAGTAGATCTAGATCCATATTTTGAATATCAAAATAAATTGGTGTGAAACTTGTTATTCTACCATGCAAATAAGACCGGTTCTTCCTTGTTGCACAGACAGCGGGAAGCTCAGTTGGACAAAGAATTACCTCCAAATGAGCTGACACAGTTGGCCCTCTCTGCTGTCAATTTGAAATGATAACAGCAAATGTTGAATTGCTGATAGCCAAAGCAGACTCAGGTGTTATGTATGCATGCCGGTAACTGAACCGATGATTCACACCTGCTGTTCCTCCAAAGCCGCCAATACTCCCTGATAGGTCAGTGACGATGTATGCACCAAACTTAAACATAGAGATTAATGGGGGGCGAGTTTTTCAGGTTTTTGAGAAGGAGAGAAGAGAAGACAGGACGCATGTTTCAGCGAAGAACAGAAATGAGCAGATATAAAATGGGCGCCCAGTACGCTTTCTTTGCCCTGAATGTTCCTGGTATGCCCTGGATGTTTAATTGGCATATCGTACTGTACGTGCCGCTTTTAATTGGCATATGGCTGGTGGCATTTGTAATCCAGCAAAGTGAACTATTTTGGTAAGTAGCACCGCGGCGCCTGCGAGGCTGTGAAACGAGACTAACTGCCGACCTGGAGGAGGAGCGACGACAGGCTGACGCGTGAGGAGACGGTGCGACGGTGTCCTCAATGGACCCGCGGTGACGACGTGATGCAATTACACAGCAGAATAACCCACACAGTCTAATCAGATTATGGAACTGAAAAATACTTTTGTTAAAAATGTTGTATCATAACGAGATACAATACAAGTAAATTCGATGTACTGAAAAAGACTGAACCTACGGCAGTTGAATGAATTCAACCTTGTGTGGGGATGCTCCACGCGCGCTGATGAGACTGAAGTGAAACAAAAGGCACATGTCGGATTTGGTTTTAGATGAGGAGGACGCGACAAGGTCTGCAAATTTAAGATTTAAATTTTCAAAATGTAGGAATTCGATCCACATGCTAACGCACAATGTCCGCCTCATTGTCGGTGTGCTTGTCTGCTGGGCTTTGGAAATGACACACACACACACACACACACACACACACACAGCATTTCATTAGACTGCTGTTAACAAATGCGCTCTTTCATTTTAGCACTGAAGCAAGTCTTTGGATTAGAATTGAGACGTTGAATTCATTTATCAAACAAAAAAGCCACAAACTCTTTTTCGGGTGTAAAACGTTGGGCTTTTTCTGCTTTCTATCATTGTAAATAGAATTTATTTGGATTTTGGACAATTTGCTGTTAAACTTTATTATATGAGTAATAGATGTATGTATGATGAAAAATTATTTTTACTTTAACACAAAAGATAAAACAAATGATGTGTCCTAACAGCTCAGCCCGGTTATTTACATTGCACTTTCTCAACTTAATTAAAACAAATGTAATTCACCTTTAAAGCAAACATAATGTCAAGTGGGTGATTCATTTACGATGGACGTCTGGAGGAAATACATGCACTCATGGGCCAGCGCCACCGTGCCCGGGAATAGAGCTGTAACCGCTTCCAGGGAAGGGGAAAACAAATGGAGCCCATGTGACCGTTACCGTGTATGAATGTGTGTGTGCACTCCGCTGGGATGTGTTTCGCTTTCATTTCAGCACCAACACGGCCCCCTCTGCACAACAACCTCAATCGCAAGATAAGAAAATCAAAATGCCCCCCCCCCTCCCCCCACATCCGTTTGATATTAGTTTCCATTCTTCTGGCGTGTGCTTTAGTCAAAGTGAGAGCACGAACAAAGACACACATGAGAACATCTTTTTCAGTATGACTCCTACTCTCCACCTCATTTGGAAACAATGTCTGGCTGTTTCGGGAGGCGTGATGCAAATGCTTTACCCGGGACCGGCTGCCCAACTCGCTATTAGAAAAGCCACTTCCACTCATCATATTTAAACGTCATTGCCTTATTTCAGTTTCATCCCTGTTCGGTTATGTCCACCACACACATTAACAGTGAACACACACTCTGTACCACAAGGGTTTAATTATTACGTCAGCCTCACTATGTTTTTCCACTTAATGTTCCTTCACAGTATTGAATCGGCTCCCAAGTCATTGGACTTTATTCGCTTCAAATTTTTATTTGGTGAGAAACTTTGCCAAAGGAAAAAGAAACCTGCTCTCATTAGGCCTGAGGGGGAGTAAGTCGGTTCATCGCTGGTAGGAGCTGCAGGGAGAACCGCACGGGGCAAAGGAGTAGAGTAGAGGATAAAAGGCTCCTTGAAGGCTCATTCTCCTTGTCGGCAGCAGGTAGCTTGATACCGCAGCGGCACAAAAGGCCTTTACAAATCCACCATCAAGGCCTTCTGTAAAATCTGGACCAATATCTTCAAGAGTTCAAATGTTGCCTTAACTGAACAATGGAAAGTAACTGAGGTGGAGGAATTTGAAGTACACGATTTTTATAAAAGCAGAATTACTAACTGACATTGAACTCTGAACCTGATATCCAACGTTTAGAATTTGTAGGAACACGTCTGTCAAAATTAGCTTGAAAACTGGCAGCTTGTTAAACAATCCAGTTGTACACGTTGTCGCTGAACTCCAGATTCCAAACGCGCATCTCAAGTTGCGAATCGGGCTGTAAACAATAAGCAGCACGCGCAGAAGGGAGGACGGGACCAGATCTCTGCTGGTAAACCAAAACTCCGGAAATACGGTTCCCCTGAGGTCCATGTGTCATTAGACGGACAGCTGCAGGGTTGAGAGATTATGAGAAGGCCCGCTATTTTGAAACTTGTAGATTTTAGTTAATCAATAGGTCACAAGTCTTGTGTATGAAGTATTGATCATCACTCTGGAAGTAGCTATGGCAATGATTATGGGAATGTGGAAATTTGAGTGAGAGAAGAAAAGTGAATTCTGCACACAGTTGACGACAGAAGAAATTGTGGTGATCAAGAGCCTGTTTTCAAAAAGTGAAGCAGATACAAATACAGTAGAAAGAAAGGATGCGACATCTCCATCTACCATATAACAATAACCTTACTATTTAAGGAGAAAATAGTTGTTAAATATCACAGTAGACCGTTGTGATGTGTGCTGTGATGAGCCAGACAGTGGCTCAGTTTATGCTTATTTAGTGCATTTAATCTCAAAAGGGCTCAGCGCTACTTTCCATGTCTCAAAAGACGTCAGGCCTCAAAATCGTTAAGTGAGTCATATTTAACCTTTAAACCACTCTATTAAGGCATTTCCTATAAACGTTGACTCGCCAGAAGCAAAATGCGCAGTGGCAACTACACCCCTGATGCAAACAGCATGTCGTCATACAATAAAAACTATTAAAAAGTGAGATTTCACTGTACATTATTTTCATCAACGTCCATCTTTAAACAACAGAGCTGTATATTGCAGGTTACATGGTTTCTGTAATTGGCAACACATAGTGGTTACTCAAAACCACAAGCACAGAAAGTGTGAACACATGTGGGTACGAACAGCAGGCTGCTGACGACGACGATGCAACACAAGTCTGTAAAAGCTGAATAACAAATCCTCATTACGGGTCGTTTTTATGCTCACAATCTGAAATGTCTTTCAAACTCTCAATTTAAGTCAAGTATTAAGCCACCCTGGAGTTTACTTTTATGACGACAATAGCGAGAAAGCCAGGACAAAAACAGACAAAATATTGGCAACAAAAACAGCACGCTTACCACCAGAGGGAGGACTTTTTTTGGACTCTGTGACTCAGGTTTTGTTTTGGCTGTACAAACAGACTGAATGATTCCATCTATCATCTTCGTCCCAGCGTTAATGAGGGGGTTGTTATCATCATCGCCATCGCCTGCTCTCTTACGTGCATATTTTGCACACTCAACCACCTGTATCGACCTTGGCATCAGACCAGACTACAGCGCTGATGACTAAACTTGATTACACACATGCATATAGACGAGTTGCTACTCACCCTGCGGACAGCAGCACACACTCACAGACAAACCCCTCCAGATGTGAGGAGATGACAGCTACAGCTTAGGGGATCAGCAGAGGAGTTTACAGGACACTGACTCATTTTGTGTCTGCCAGATGTTCTTCATTGTTATCTGACTTTTTACTTCCTCATTTATGTTTCACGCTCTATGGAGTCGTCTTGATTTACAAATAAGACTAACAGTTGAGACGGTGTGCCTGCACTGAAGAATTTGTGATTTAGTTTTCTTGTAATGAGGAGCTGCGGCCAGATTGGGAAAATTGTGTTCTCATACAGTAGCTTAGCAACCGTACCTCTGGATTCCTCCACATGTAGGGTTGCAGTATGAGCAATACTCATGATTTTGGAGGATTGTGTCTTTTTAGCATGCCACCACATAGCCACCGTGTGCAGATGATCTATTTTAAATGATGGGAACTGTCCTTGTGTGGGCTACTTTTTCCGCCACTAAAATACATTGTAATCTAAATATTGAAATATCTTTTATAAGTGAGACCAGCCAGTTTTAATTATAAACACAAAAGAGTTGAGCTATACAATCCTCTAAAGGAAATTCTCATCTTGTTTGTGGTTTAAATCAAATTGCTCTTTGTGCTGAGGGGGAAACAAACTTAACTCCTACATGGTTGGACTGGATTCTCAATAATCAATGTGTAAAACAACAATTGAAAAATTAAATTAAATTAAATTAAATTCATTCCACTTATGAAGTTGTTTACCACCAGAAGGTAAAGGGAACGCGTGTCCTGATGTTGCCATCCACAGCATCTCACAGATTATCTTTGAGCCGCTGGCACGTGAATCTGCTGACTAAGAACAGCGCCTCTTTGAGAGAGAAGTCCAAATATTGTCCAAAATCAAGTTCAAATCTGTTCTTAGGATGAACAGGTCAAAAAAAAAAGTCTGTTTGGAAAAGGTGTAAAAATTGTCAGATCATAAAAGTGTCTCTTGAGACAATTTAGCAAGCATTTAGTTTGACCTGTTCTGAGGTGTGCGCGCCCTGGCAGGTTATATTGACAATAGGCGGTTCTCAGCAGATATTTGTCCTTGTGGGAAAAGCACAGCTATTACTTGACTAGTAGCTTTTCCAGTGCGAGTGACAGTGAGCCGGGATCCTGGAATCAAAGGAGCGAGATGGATTTCAGCCATTGCTATTTTCACTATCTACACCTCTGCTTTTTTCAATCGTGACAAGTCACAATGTCTGCTGTGAAAAAAAAAAAAGGCCCATTTGCCAGACAATCACCTACCGAATGGTGTGAGATGGCTGCTTTTCAAAGCAGGCTTTTTGACTAGTCAGAAAAGCGAAAGCGGCTTTGTTCTGTCCATGTGACCGCAGGTGACCTGATCAGGCAGAGCTTCGGGTGGACTGGCACACAATATTATGTCAAGTCCATTGTTTAAGCTTTAAAATAGTGATATTCTGTATAACTGTAACTGTATACCATCAGATCGTAGTTGAAGTGGTTACTTGGGAATAACCAATTCTGTGGCTGTGGTTGCTAGGAGCTTTGTGGCGGAGCTGCAGAACCCTGACTGATCCCCACTGGGAAAGTCACTTTGGACTTGTCGGATTGCACGCTGAGCCATGGAACAGAACCAGCAAAGAGCCACCGTCTTGCTCGGGGGACACTTTAACGAAGTGGATGCTCTCTGACACGAGGGGCTCGAACTGTGATCCCCTCAGCTTTCGAGGGGCCGCAGTGAGTGGTCACTGCCTATTATAGCAGAATTTGTTTTCCATCTTGCTAATGAGTTTGCAAGATGGCTTGGGGTACTACAGTTAAAATACACAGAACACAAACACATACGGTCTCTTGCATGCACACACACACATCCCTCCCATGAGACGTGTACCATCTCTCCTAACAACGAATCCCATGTTTCCTCCTGATTTCCTTTCTCATGTAACACACTCTTGGTCTTTCATATCTTAGAGGTTGACTTAAACTCAGGAAAAAAAAAAAAAAAGGGAACAGATGACTCATTTTTTACATGTTGGCCAACGTGTTTCCCACCCTCAGAGGTCTCTGAACCCCTGAAAAACGCACTTTGTCACGTTCTTTTAATGTTTCACGGCTTTGATAATTGGAGATTATCTCTCTTAAATTGCAGTTGAGGAGAATTTCATTCTCTCTTATACTCTTAAATTAACCCTCGCTGTCATCTTTGAAATGAGCCTCTTAGCCTCCCTCGTTAGCTCTCCTTCTGTTCTATCTAGTTCTATCTCTCGCCCTCACAGCACTTTTGTCATTAAATTCCCATTTCAGCCCCGACCCCCCTCCCAGCTCTCTCTTTAAACACCGGGGTCTCTAATGCCTGCTCCATGCCTTCTCTCCTTGGTTCTTATCTCGCTAAGTTTTCAGCTGGGACCTGATTTCTCCTCTACAGCCCCTGTGTCCCCCTGGGAAGTACCGTCACCGTGCTCTCACGTGTGTATACAAGTGTGAAAAAAAGGGAGAGTGTGTGTGTGAGTGTGTGTGTGTGGGTGTGTGTGTGTGTGAGCGAGCAACTGTGCAATCAGCCTAATTTTCTTTTCCACTTTGGTCTAAAAACAACAACTGCACAACACAGACTCGGCTGCACTGCTCACATGAAGAAGGTTGAAGGTAAGTGTACCTCTACACACCTCTCTGTGTGTGTGTGTGTGTGTGTGTGTGTGTAAGGGGGGTTGCTATCATATTTCTCCCGGGGCACTTCTGGTTGCATAACTGTTTCCTTCAAAGTCTCAATGGTTGTTTTCTGGCAAAAGGGCTGAGAAATCAGCTCCCCCGAACTAGAGAACAAACCCAGGGCGGCCTGCAAAGTTGCACTACGTAGGCTACACGGTTAGTCGGGCGGGGGGGCGGCAAATTGAAGACATTATGCAGAGAAGAGTAGTTTAACTTCAGTTTTGTGGCCTGGGAGACTATTCACAAGGACAGATTTAGACTTTCCTGGACAGGGAAAACAGTTTGATGAAGTGAGATATGCATAAAATAATCTTTATTTCTTTGCTCCTTATATTAACCAGTAACTCCTATATTAAAGGAAAGTAAATCACATAGAACAGCAGCGGTTTTCAATCCCAGGCTTCAGCACTGCTGCTGAACCCTGCTGCTTTCCTATAATCACTGAGTGATATGCACCTGCAACGCCAAGTGAACGCAATCAACTGGACAGAAAACGGATTTTTGCGCTGTGGACCAACAACCTACTAGATGCTCGGCACAAAACAACACACGAGGGACGAGAGCCTTTTCCAACTCTCCCTGAAGGACGGGGTCCCGATGCATGACAAGGTTGACCTGTGAGTCTGGTAATATTTGGTTTACATTGCAAAAAGGCAGGAAATCGAAGCACTGTGGCTAAACTGAGGTCTAACGCTGTCATCTTTGCAAAACTGCATTGATACACTCACAGGTGGGCTTCCTCGGCCTTATCTCGTGGGTGTCCACGAAGTGAGTCGTCTCAGGCATGCGGTATTCCCACATGTCTGTCTGTCTGTCTGTCTCTCTCTGGCCGTGTGTCCAGCCTGACCTACCCACCTTCCAGTGTCACCTCCTTCCCGGCCCGTTTCAGCGCCTGCACCGCCTCGTCGTGGGTCGCGTCCCGCAGGTTCACGCCGTTCACGGACAGGATGGCGTCCCCGACGTACAGGGCCTGGGTCTGGTCCGCCGCGAGTCCCTTGAATATCTTGCTGATGAGGATGGGCATCTTGTTCTCCTTCCCACCTTTGATGCTGACCCCGAGCCCCCCGATCTCCTGCTTGGTCACCTTGACGCAGCGCTTTCGGTTGGCGATGGCCTCCGGCACCCGCTCCGGGAGGTCCGTGAAGGCGGTGCGCGCGGCGTGGGGGCCGTTGTTGGAGTTGGCGTTGTTGTTGTCCAGGTAAGATCCGTTGGTGACGCCGTTGGGGGTGACGCTGTCGCGGTCCGGACCGCAGTCCTCCTCCTCGCAGCTCAGCGTGAGCGCTTCCTCGTTTAAGTTGACCAAAACTTTGTGCCAACGCTCCCGCACCAAAACGTCAAGGAATCCACTTTTTTGTACTCCGGAGACACCTGGAACTCCCGTCGTTATTACCACCGCCATTTTTGGAGCATTTCTTTAAAAAAAATAAAAATAAATGCACGTGATTTTGTTCCCGGGTGTCCTCTTCACACGCTCCGTCTCCCCCGCAGCGCGGCTGGACTTTGTCCCTCCTGAAGTTTTCAGCGGGACTCGTCATGCGTCCCCGACCAACCAGCCATGAGCGCTTTGGCGCAAGCTGCCCGCCGCTCCGCCCGCCGAAGACTCTATCCGCTGGGTGGAGTTTGCGTCCCCCACCACCCTCCCCCCCTCTCAAGCGTCAGTCGATCGCATCTCCAGATCGCGCACGCACACCGGTGTGTTCATCGCTTCCTCCGATCGTTTGAGACGTGACTGTTCGTGCAAGACCACACAAACATTGTGTTTCCATTAATTCATCGAATGAACTTACTAATAGTAATACTACGTATGCTGTTCTACTAAACTATTATATACTTTGAAGTTATTTATTCTTTTTTGGGGGGGGGGGGGGTGTTACGCATCATCTTGCTGTGCACCTGTGGATCTAAGGCTCAAAAATGCTCAAAAATGCTTTGCGCTCAAATTCCTACCAAAACCCAGTTTGCAGAGGTGCCGTTTGTGCGCATACAGGAATCCTCCTCTGCCTTTTTCACATTTTCCAAATAGAAAAGGCTTGTTTTTTCGGGGCGTTACTACAGCTGTGGACCCCCCCCCCCCCCCCCCTTGAAATGCTTTCAAGAAAACAGAATTTTACAGCATTTTGGATGTAGCCAAACCGCAATGAATCTGTAAACCTGTGTTGTGTGTCTGTCCTGAGCGTGTCTTCCTGCTGTCACAATCTCAGCTGCAATGCTGCTGCGCCACCTGCCGGCGGCTCTGAGTGGGTGTTGGTGAGGAACAGGAGACCTACAAACACGGGTCATTGGAAAGGTTCAAAGATAATTCATTTAGCAGAGCGATAATGTTTCGTGCTGCTAGATTTGTAGTTTTTCGCTCACATTCCTGTATTGACGAAGGTTTCTGTTGCAGTGAGTCTCAATCTCTCTGCCGTGGTGCTAGTAAGATTATTCTAGAAAAGCAACATCAACCCAACTGGTGTCTTGAAATGTCAAAATCATGTGCCATCAAACCAAACTGACCATTACTTCATTCTGAAAAACATTTTGTGATTTTGATCCACATAAAACCATTTAATGCTCACAAGTCTCAGTTTCAAGTTTGAATTAACAAGCATACAGAACAGCTTGTTAAGAAAAACATTCCCCTATAAAATGTTGGATTCCAACATATTAAAAACACACCAGAAGCCACGTTATGTATGTCTTGTTTGCCCTTTGAGCTACTAAAGCATTGATGATTTAAGTAAATTAATGGGCTATTTGTCATTGGTTTATCAAAATTAATTACATTTAAAATGGTGTAAAACAACAGCGGGGGATTTTTTTTAAAGAAATATGTGTAAACTATATGACAAATAAGGGAATCGTATCATGATTTCATCATTTGTTTTTCCGTGTGTTTTCATAATTAATCATATTGTGTAATCCCTGGAACATAAAGTAGGCCTGCAGGCATGTTGTGAAGGAGACTCACTTCCAGCTGCACGCCTTCTAAACTACAATGGATCATTACTACTGAGCACCAACGAGAGGATTTATTTTGAGAAAGGCTAAAACCCAAGTACTATTTTGCCTTAATGAGGTGTTGTAGCTGCAATTGATTTTTGCTTTTATATGGAAATGAGCTCAGATGAATCAGATGAAATGTTACTTCTTTGTTCTGGTAATAACCTTCAAAACCCAAAAACAAACAGAGAATGCAAACTTATTAAAGGTAACTGTATTTAAAGGTTGTTAATTATTACTTTTTTAACCCTCATTCAGCACAAAACCACACAATTGTTATTTCAATGCAGCAGGGAACTTTTGCACATTATAGTCACACACAAGCAAACAAAACAAATGTTCTAATTTCATTCAATCTTTCTTGTAATATGTGAATCCTCCAGGTAAAAAGAATCCCATTTAGCGCATTTCCTTCATCATAAGGATAATTTGAAAAGCTGAATATGTTTGCATGGTTTACTCCTTGTTAACGTGCATCCGGTCGTCTCTTGCACTTTATTTACCGTTCCTGGTTAATTGCTTTTCCTCTTTTGTGAATAGTCACATCCTTTTTTTTCTTTTTGGGGATATTTCATACAACGACTTTCTGTGATTTTACTAGTCACAGTAAAACTTGGTCATAAGTGTATTTTTACCCATTCCCAGTAGGAAGCAGTGCAGCACTGTGGTTTCACCGTGGGACTCTGCACTTGCATGTGCACATTGTCTCATGTGTTCAACAGATGAATCAAAGACATGGTAATATATATATATACATACATAATGTAATGGAGGTGTGAATTTGGATCACTGTGTGTTATGTCTGGGTACTGCATATGTTTTTGTCCAAGACAGTTAAATACAATTTATGCAAATTATAATGTTCTGTACTAACAGATGTGAAATGAGAGAAGCCACACGTTGGCTCGCCTCATTATTTTTCCTGTTTTTGTCAAGATCATTTTCACTAAAGAGGTAAAGTGTACCGCAACGGTCTCTCTATGACACTGGTGCGGTCATGGTTCATGACAGCATGGGCAGGTTTACTTTATATTATAAGAGGAAGTGACAACTACCCGTTGTTGTTGCAGGAGGATTTCACAGCAGGAATTGCTCATGTCAATTATTTCAGTTATTTCCCCTCTTTGACAGAAACGGACCAATCTTTAACTGAGACAACGTTTTCGCTCACACAGTACAACGCCGTCGAGGGATAATCTGAGCAGTCTGAGTAACATGTTTGTACATGATTTTCAATTTCATGGATAATGAAAACTGAGTGAAAACAAACGCTCCATCTCTTTATGTTTACATTGTTTAGCTCGCGCTTTACTCTTAACTTGTGTCTGGAAGGAATGCAACACCAGGACACACAAAATGCTCCTTGAGGAAACATAACCAACATGTGGTAGCCGGGACCAGATGTGTCGACCACAGTGTCAGTCCACCTGATTCAGTCAGTGGTGAGTTAAAGTTTCCAATGCGGAGCTATTTTAGGAAGCAGCAGCAGTCCCACGGGGTGTAACAGGGTTTTCCACTGTGACCCTCCGGGGTAAGGGTCAGGGAGGAAGGTCAAAGAGTCACCGCCCACTGTGAGTGGGGCTCAAACACTTTGGTAACTTCTGGGTCTCTTGTGATGGCTTGAACATCCTGCACTGTTAAAGGAGAATCCAGATGAAGAGGTTTACCCAAAATGCAGTGTGTGAACACCAAATCAGTGTTATATTCGTATGTGGTTGATGGTTAATTATATTTGATTAGCTTTTACATTGTTTCGCTCTTATTAGCTTTTACATTGTTTTGCTACCTAAGAATAACACATTATTACAGTTATAATACAATTACAATTCTAAAACACAAAGTTTAGTTTACATTTTTAGACCATTCCTTCTTGATTTCCTACATCTTACCAATTCAGCCCAACATAACATTAATTTAGACACAAGTCATGATCTCTTTCATCATCCCAATGATTGACCGTAAGAAAATCATGATTTTAAAGTTTAATGTAATAAAGACATCAAAACTTATTATTTTATTTTATTATTTTTATTTATTTTCAAATGTTGAGTTTTGAAATATATTTGAGCAACAAGTAGAGTGAAGTATAAATCAAGTAGTAAGAAAAACAACGACATAACAATATATACAATTTATGTTTACACAAAATAAAGGTGTGTATTTGATACACAGTCAAACAAGCTATTCTGCAAGTATTTACAAATCTTGTCATTATAAGAAATCCGTTGTGTCTGTGTACTACTACTAATTAAAAGAAAATACTTTTCCATTTATTGAAGGGATCATCAACATTATACAGGGGTCAGACTTCTTGCACATGTTACAAATGACACTAAGTCCCGACAGTGACCTCTCATTGGACCAGGTCGGAGCACACAGTCTAGTCATTTCAAGAATGCATCCCATCGTTGGAAGAGTTTCATGGCAGGGACGCTACCATCTCCTTTAAATTTCATGCTCTTTGTCTAAAAATCTGAAACCAAAAGTTCTGATCGGCCAATCCGACGTTTAAGCTATCCGGTTGGAAGCAACCACGAGACTCCTGCATGTCCTCACTACTCTGTAACTTTACATCTTCATAGGTTATAACCGTCACAATGTAACCGTCCAGCTCAAGTCTGTGGTGATTGGTTGGAAGTACACTCCAGTCCACAAGGTTTAAGTGCTTTGCTTCTACCAAAGAGTAAAAGATGACACTTCTAGTTCTGTCCATAATAACCAGATCGGTTGGTATATCACTGACTTGTTTTAATGTACCATTTAGAGTTATTACAAGGTTTTATGACCTATAGGCGCTGTATCCCATCTCCGACGGCTGCCACACAGCGTTGTCGCTGGGACAGTGGCTGTGGCAGGCACACGTCAGGATCACCATGACTGGTCTCCGGGTCGTTTTACCTTTGGCGCAGCGGAACTCCACCAGGGCGGTTTTGGTCCTGTGTGGAGTACAGCAGCGGCCGTCCGTGCAGGAGCCACAGTAGCGAGGCTTGTAGGCCTGGACGCTGGTGCAGTTCTTATAGGAGAGGTGGACGGCCGCGTCGCTCCTCACCATCCTCTGACACTTACTGCCTCTCTGCAAGGGGGAAAAAAAAGGCCAGTCACTGAATGCTTTTGTGCTGCATCCCTCGCATGATATTTCATCATTACATTTTTCAACAGAGAGTAAGGTGGCGTGTGTAGTATCATGCTACTGGCTTCACTGTTGAGCAGAAACCCCCTAATTAAGAACAAGTCACGCCAAAAAGTACCTTCTGTGCGAGTTGTGTCAGCTGTGTCTGGTCCGGCTGGTTGTCACAGGGTCTGATCGTGCACAGTCGGCTCTGCTTCACCATCTCACACATGCGGTTCTTGTTGCTGACCCTGGTGGACACTCCCGTGCCGCAGGTTTGAGAGCAGGCCCCCCACTCTGTGGTCTGCTCAATGCAGTTAAGGCTGGGGTCCCATCCGTCAAAGCTCACGGTTTCCTCCCGACGATAGGCTGAGAAACACACGGGCGGACTGTGAGTTCAAGGAACAAGACCAAGATGTAGAAAACATAAAGGGAACATCATGCTTGATTGCATTCAACTGCGTGCGGTGATGGATCACATTGCTCTTTGACATTCAACACTTAAGGGACAAACACTGTTTATTTCCTTTCGGTTTCCCCCTCATTTCTCTGCTCTCACTCTATTTTCCTCTTCCCTTCCTTGGTCGCTGCTCCCCATACCCGAATCAGGTCAGTAGGCGTGTACATAACCTTTAAACTCTGTCTCACACTGCAGTGGCGCTGACGTCAAAGAGGGACGGTTGATTGCATGCGTTTATCTGCGCATTTATAGTCCCATCTCTGCCCAGTCTCAGCCTACTGCCAGACTACTCACCCGCCATGGCAAAGCCGCCCAGTGCACTGGCCTCAGCCTGGGGCTCACACACCCACTTCTCGCAGCACTCTCCGGGCACTTGGACCCTGCGGGGCATGGGGCAGTCTGGTCCGGGCAGCATCACGTCCAAGTTACAGCGCGGCACGCAGGCCGTCTGCCCGTCACGGCACACACACTGGTATTTGCAGCTGGGGAAGAAGGTCTGGCCGTTCTGATAGACGGAACCGCCCAGAACACACGCTTCTCCTTTGTGAGCTGAAAGGCACCGAATAGAAAAACGCGTCCTTTATTGTGGCTATATTCAAAGGCAGTGGACTGGGCATCCTGCACACAATCAATCGGTGATGTCCACTCACCGGCGCAGATGCCAGTCCTCCCGTGGACGGTGTATTCACACTGCAGCCCCTTCCGTGTGTCGCAGGGGTTCATGTCAGAGCAGACCTGTCCTCTCTGACGGGCACACACCAGGCAGCACATGCAGTCGTCCAGCATCAGCGGCACCCCTGGGAGACACTCGGGGGGCTCCTTTGGACACTGGCATCTCCGAGGGCACACCTGGGACCAGACTATTGTCAACACCTGGGTGGGAGACAAAATGATTGCTCTGTAATCAAACAATGACTTAAGTAATCAATAGTTAATGGATCACTGAAACTAATTTGGACTGTTGATAAATAAAGCACTAACCAATTTCGGTAAATTATGACTGAAATAGTGTCCGTGAAATAAAGAATACAATTGAGAAATGATTTACATTTATGAAATTAAAATATAAAATTAACATATGATACCAACAGTATCTTCTGTCACAATTTAAAACTGTCTAAATAAAACATGACTTTTTACTGTTGTAATATCTACCTGTGCTGCGAAGAAGACAGAAAAAGCTCTCTCCGACAGGTGGGTCATCTTCCCGCGTAACAAAGCACAGTCCAAAATATCTACAGTCTAAAAGGGCCTAGTTGTCCTCGTTAGAGCGGAGTCCTTCCTCCTCTACGGCAGTAGAGTAGCAGAAGGTCGGGATCTCTTTGTCGTTCTGGCTCGGGGCTCCGGAGAGGACGACCTTATATAGCGGAGCTGTCCTGCTGGCACCATGACGACACACAGGAAGGAATGTCGGAGAGATCGCCCAGGGTGTCGGAGGTGTCAAGTAACGAAGTACAAATACTTCGTTACTGTACTTAAGTAGGAATTTGGGGTATCTATACTTTACTGGAGTATTTATTTTTCAGACGACTTTTTACTTCTACTCCTTACATTTTCACGCAAATATCTAAATAAGTACTTTCTGCTCCTTACATTTTAAAAACAGCCTCGTTACTTGTCGCAGTTCAAAAACCCAAAGACAAAAAAACCCATCTAGATAAACGGCGCTATGCGGACAGTGAATGTGATTGTGTTTGGATGAGAAGTATAAACATTTAGCATCCAGACACCCGATTGGTTTCTCCGCGATGCGCCGGCAGATCGGAGCGACACCGGGTGGGAAAAGTGGTCGGTGGAAAGTTGGTATTTATCGACATGGACCCCCCTCCTCTTCCTCTTCCTCCTCCTCTTCCTCACGCAGATTCCATGTAACATTAAATGAGCATCTTCATGACCGTGGCTTTGTCCTAAATGTTTTATTGAGAGTCTGGCACAACACAGCGACTTGCGTATTAAATAGACGTGCGTCTTAATGCGGCTTTGCAAATGAACACAAAGGGATTCGTTATTTGCTCATGAAGCCTGAACATACTGGTTATTTGGCCGATGTTTTGATAACCGACCGCTGCCAGTTCAGTGTTTCCCATCATTATAAACAGGGGTTCCCCCCCTATGACGTAGTAAACCTGGGGAGACACTGCAGTCTACCGAATCAATGCAAACAACGTGTGTGTGACTCGTGTCACTGGAAAATGGGTTGTGGTTTTATCTGTTTAAGTCAGATACATTTGTTGTTGTTGTTGTTTCCATCATCCCAACGGCAGGTCACGTGATCTGCAGGCACCTTCTCATCACATTGTAACGGACTGACAAAAATTTGGACAAACCTTGAACTCATGAAACTCATTCAATGAATGAGAAAGTGTGTCCAAACCTTTGACTGGCACCGTATATAATATTTCATATATAACTTATAAGTCAATAAATGATATACTGTACTTATATTTGATGATTTGCTATCAGTTACTTATTAATGAACTATTTTTCCTTTTGAAGTTCCCGTGTGGGGGATTCCCTTTCCTCTGCGGGATGCTCCTGTCATGAAATATGGCATTGGGGTTCCCACTGACAGTGAATGGTGACCCTTTGACCTTTCTTGCTGAACCCAACCCGAGGGGGTCACAGTGGAAAACCCTCTTATTCCCTGTAGGATTGCTACTGCCTCCTAAAATAGCTACACAACGGAAACTTTGGTTCCTCAGTAGTATGGAGGACTGACATGTGGTCGAAACATCTGGTCAGACACGCGTTATGGGTTCTTCCAAGAATATGCACTCGGGTGAATTTGGGGGGTCAAGCCGACTGGATCCCTGAGGAGAAGGGGGAAATGAAATGTGTATAGGAGTTGGATGAAGGAACATGATCAGTGTGAATCTTCATGTTTTATTTGTGTGTGTTTCATTGTGGTTTAACATCATTCTAAGATATTTTGTTACACGTGGAAGGCACAATGTAATCACTTAAAGAGATTATAAAGAAAGCTTACTACTAAAGGAAATATGTTTAAAATGTGTTCATGTCAACTTAGCACTTTCCTATGGTGGTGTTTTAAAAACATTCATGAGAACAAGATCAGAGTTGAAGGACACCAGCGGCAGAAAGGACACATTTATGTCAAAGAAAATAATCACTAAAAGCCACAGCAGCAACAAGACTGCATGACAGTCTGGAGATGTTGAACCGACTGAGGCAGTTTGCTCTGACCGACACAACGCGTTTCACTCGTCAACAGTTGATCTTGTATGTGTTTTTAGCTTTGGGCATCTGATATTTTCAGTTAATGTTACTCTTGGCATGAGTTTCATGAGTTCAAGGTTTGTTTCCACAGTGTGAGGGCCCATTGTGTGTTTTACAGGTTTTCAAGTGGGATATTGACATTTCCGAGGTGAAGAGGCCATTAGAGAAGCTGTGGCCTGTGAGATTTGTTTTTGTGGTGGTGTTTAAAATCAGAAGACGTCAAACTATTAATCACGTCTTTCCACTATACGGCGCAGTGAGCACTTACTGTAGGAATAAATATTTCAACATGTTCAAGGTAAATCCAATCATTAAAACATGGAATTTCTTTTAGAGAGAGTTACAAATAAATTTGTTGCAGAAGTTTAGTGTTCAACATTTTCTATTCTACAGACTTGACATGCACCATTTGGTTACACCCTCTACTAACACTTAATTTATTGCAGTCTTTGTTGTCTGTTGCTACAACAATATGTTGTTCTCAGCAAGGTACAAGATCTAAAATATGTGCCCAAGAAAATACTAACAACCACCACATTTGGACAGCTGTCCAAAAGATTTGTATGCAGGTTCTTCCCAACTTCCTTCATCAACGACGGCCTGATCCTTTTTAGATGTTCTCCCATTGTTTGCCCCTATTTACCGTGTGGCAAAGTGTGATATCTCCCAAGAACGAGGTGGGAAGCTTGCATGCGCACATTCATGGTATCTGTGAAATATTTCCACTCCTAGAAAAGAGCAAGTCAAGCTGCTGGCCTCGAATGGAGAAAGATGGAGTACACGGAGAAGGAGGGATGGCAGGACTGGCCTCCTTTTGTCTCCCCTGCTTGTCAGTTTCCTTCATCCAGAGGGGGTCTGTGGTAGGACCAGTGGCTGTTAGGATTTCCAAATACCCCCCATGCTCCAGCGTTTAAAGGACCCACTTTAAACTGAGGTTCGACACACTCTATTCTAAACAAAGACGGATCACACGGTTGAAGACTTGCTTACAGACGACTTGTCGGCCCGTCGGCGGCTGTTGGGGATCAAACCTTTTGCCAAGTGGTCGGGCCACACAGTCACTGAGAGCTCGCCGTGAGTTTACACTGACGGTCCCACATCCTTTAATGTTCCTGCAGCATAACGTGGTCGACAGTCTGTGTGGCGCAGTGGGCGGAGGACCTTCTGTGTCCCTTTCCTCCAGACTTCTGCTGTTCCCAGCAAGGAACTTTATTAACAGAAAGAAAGATAAAAAACATCACTGCTGAATTATGCTCCATCATGTTTTCCAATTAGACTAAATCATGCCTATCCCAATCGAATTGAATGTAGTTGTATTTATATCAATTATTAAAGACTTAACTGAATATTTATTCATGAATCCATACTAGCAGCTAGCAGAGTAATTTTTGGAATCAAACAATCATGGCAACATGATTATTGTATTGCTGTGTTTACAGACACAGATTGTTTGTAATAACTGTGTCTGAACATTGCACACACGGCATAATTGAAATGCTACTTTTTTGTACATGACATCATATTTCCCTTCAGTGTCTAAAAATAGAAAAGTAGATGTATAAAGTTTTGTTTGTGTAACCGATGTGGTATTGCTACACACACCGCCGACTGAATCACACGTAAACTAAATCAAAACGCTTAAACATCTGGGATTGGAGTGCATTTAAAGCAGGAAACCCAGACAGCTTGAACAATTCCACACGGCTTAAGCAGCATATCCTTTGACAAAATATTATTTTTGTGTCAGATCGCTGAACTTTGGCTTCGAGCCTCGAGACGTGTAACTCCACAGAGCACCATTACTGGCTTAATGTCCGTATGATATCTACCGAAAGGAATTTTAATCGCTGTTGTTCGTCTGTGTTGGTAGGCAAAAAATTGGAAATGTCAGCACGATGAGATATTCAGCCAGCGAGCTTAAGAGCTGCAGACGTCACCGTGGGGATATTTTGGAGAGCGTTTGACTGGGACTCCATGTGAGGCTCTGGTTGGGTTTTGAAAGAGTTTACATGATTGGAAAACAGCTGCTGGTCTTTTCTTTTTTCTTTCTCCCTCTAACCTCTCCCTCCCTCCATCTCTTTACCTTACTTTCTCCCATGCAGATCATCGGTTTACATCGCTTCCTCCACACATTCACAAACATATATAAGGTGCTCCCCATACTTTCAACTTGCTCGCCAAGTGGCCGGCAGGCCGTGGGTTCAGCAGCTTGGGAGGCCGCCGCAAATCTCTCACTCGGGGTTTATTTGCTGCACGCCAACCGTACATGAGCTGAGACTCTGCGCTGGAGGCAGATGTGCCTTATGGTGGGAGGCTGTGGATGGATGCAACACTTGTTTTATTATTTGAAGCTCAATATGGAAAAAACTCATGAGGATGTCAAAGGCTTTATGTTCTGTCAGAACAGACATAACTGGTACCTTTTTGTACAAGCACAAAGTGAGAATCACAGGGCCGCTGTATGAGAGAAACAGCGTTGTTGTACAGTATTGATCACTCTTGGATTGTATTAGATTGACTACTATATCGCGGTATATTGGCTCACAGCAGATATACGGGTATCCATGCAATCGGAAGGTCTGTCCTGAGGTCTTTTTAAATATCCGCAATGCGTTGCTCTCCCACGACAATCATCATCAAACGTCTACTTTGAATTCTACAATAATTCACGTTTTATTAATGCACATGACTAATTCAGCTTCTTTCCGAGAGTTTTTTGTGCTTTCTCCCCTAGCAGGGTCCGTAGATCGTAGTTCCTTCTGGACCCTGGTCCTGACACCTGCCGTGGCCCTGCTGACACCTGCTGCTGCCATCATCATAATCATTATTATATTAAATATTAATCATATTACTGTACTCGTAAACCAACATTGCCCTCTCCTTAAGTCTCTGTGCTCTCCCTCCCCACAGGCTTCTGTGGATGGTGGTTCTATGTGATGGTGGTTCTATCTGATGGTGGTTCTATGTTATGGTGGTTCTATCTGATGGTGGTTGCCCCTGCAGTGGTCCTGCTGTGCGCCTGGCTTACTACTTACTACTACAATTACTTGAATAATTTCTGTCATAGGAATTAAATGTATTATACATTGTTCATTCTGTACACATGGCATCCATTGTAGTCTGTCCATCCCGGGAGTGGGATCCCTCCTCTGACGTTCTCCCTAAGGTTTCTTCCTTTTTTTCCCTCTTGGAAGGGTTTTTTCATAGTTTGGGGAATTTTTCCTGTGCCGATGGTGGGTTTCGGGACAGAGGATGTTGTATGTGTACAGACTGTAAAGCCGTCTGAGGCAAATTTGTAATTTGCGATTTTGGGCTATACAAAATAAAATGAATTGAATTGCCCAATTGTGCTGTATTGTCTGTGGAATCGTTGGAGAGAGCGTTATTGCTGTCAGAGGCAACATGGCTCACGCTCAGTGACTCTCAGCTTGTCGGACAGGACGCCCTGTTGAGTGTTCAGTGTTTGTCACATTCTGGCGCCGTGGATGGACGGTGATGTTTGTTTGAACTTGGTTGAAAAACTGAGCACATAACTGCCACTTGGGGCACTTTTACAAACACAAAGCCACAGAGAAATTTATGGGCCCATTATCACAGGTATTATTTTTAACAGTGCACAGAGAGCTCCGAAAACAGAGCTTACCCAGGGAGGTCTGAATGGATTGATGAAACCCAAATATTTCATCCCGGAGGGAGGATCACATTTCAGCTTGAATGTTGGACTTTTGGACATCAATGTAATGTTTATATTTTATACTTATGATTTTGACTTGAGTTTTCCAGTTGTTGAGTCGTACCATGTTTAAATTATGTTACTAAAGGCATTTGTCCAAATAAACGTGTTGCTTATTTGAATAACTTGATTTAAACACTGTCTTTAAAACATAGTATCCTGTTGTCCAGATGAGTCCTTCTGGCTGAGTCGTATATTCAAAAGTTATACTGCTGATACCTGGTATGTTTTGCTAAAGGATTGTTAATTCAGTATTTGCCAACATGGGACTTCAATTTGTATAGAAAGTGACGCAAATACAGAGACTACAGAGCTTCCCTTGAAACACCACGACCACACTTTTTACACAGTTTACCCAACACCCTTTTAAATAAAGGGTCCCTATTACTCAGTTTAAGTGTTGGCGTGCTGTGACGTATGTGGAGTTTATGATTGTAACAAAACATCTGGGACAAAGAAATAGTTTGCACTCTTGGGTCTCACAAGTTGTTTCCTGCTTCTTTGGAGCAGAATAACATCTTTCATTATGCAAGGTTTGGTTGTTCATTTATAAAACCGTTGGTACAGAGATAATATTGCAGGGAAAAAAACAATTGAATATATTATTTGACTATCTGTCATAATGTCTTCAGTTTTACACAAACAACTGCCTCAATAACTGTATAATCCACAGAGAAAAAGTGAATTTGTCGCCCATAAATATATAAAATGTAATTTCAGTGAATAAAAACTTGGTTGTTGACCAAAACCTTTGTGTCTATGTCGTTTCCACTTGATTCGGGCTAAAAAAGCTCTTGCGCGAGGATATATATATTTTTCCTCTGACTGACCTTCTGTTGTAAAGGTCGTTGAGGAGCTCGGCTGAAACCATGGCGATCAATGACCCGACAAATCCATACATTGTGACTTTTGTGTACAATTGAGCTTACAGGTCCCGTGAACTGCATTCGGCACTTGGCATTTTGGCAATGGGAATGTTAGGTCTCTCCAAGGAGTTGGTGAGAAATGCAACCGTAAAGAGGGGCAGTCGGAGCCTCGAGGGTTACAATTTACAACACCTTTCTTATTTGTTGTTTACTTAGTGAGAACGATCTAGAGCCGGAGAAGAAATGAAGTTGAGAGAATACATGGAGAATACATGGAAAGGGGAAAGAAAAAAAATAAATAAGAAAGAAAAGATGTATCCACAGGTTGGCTGTTCACCTGCAGTAGTAACTGAGCCCCATCATCACAAATGAGATGTGGAAACAAACACAGGTTCTTTTTTAAGATGAGTAGAAAAGTGTCTGTTGATAAAAGGGAACCTTAGAATCGGGAATCGTTTGGTGGCCGTTTATCACAACAGACAGGCAACATATTATAATGAGGAAGAGAACCCTCCTCTGGGGGTTAAAGGGAAGCTGTCCATCCTCAGTGTAGCGATATTATTAGCGGTACGATTACAACTTTCTGTTCATTTCAGAGTAAGACCGTTTTTTTTTTTTAATTCTGCTGTTTTGAGCAGCTTGAGTAAGAAAACCGTCTTTTCGTGGTCTCGCAGAAATCTGTTGTTAAAAGCCGGTGAATGTCTAAGGCCTGCAATGTAACAGTCTGACCACTAGAGAGCAGCATGTATATAACCAAAAAATAACCTTCAACGCAAGTGGGGGTCTCTTTCTTTCTCTCTCTTTCTCACTCTCCATAATTAATAATTCATAAAACACTACTAAAGACAAAGGCCTGTTTCCTTTGGGTTAAGATTTCATCTCGGAAGACTGACAATCAGGAAAATAACTGAATCCAACATCAAATGTGAAAGATACAATCACTTTAATGATATATATGGGTATTTTGCAACTGAGAGGGAATACATCGTTGATTACGCCTACATTAGAATGCTTCAACTCTGCTGTAACGCCACTTGACAGTGATATTGATCGTATATACGTTACCCTCCCCATGGTAATGAAGTCATGAGGGTGGACTGAGGAGCGAGGCTTTTAGGCTTTCAGCCTAAATGGGAAACTGTTTGTTTTGCAGCAGCTGCTACACAGTCGCTGCCCACACAAATACACAATCACACGCCCTTCACTATAAAGTACAAACACACACAAACACCTACACAAGTGTATCCATCTACTGTTGATAAACACACTGTAGTGTGCGGTTTAAGGTTTGCAGTTGTGTCTCTTTGTTCATAAAGCGCAGACAGACAGAGATAGAGACAACTTGAACTCATGCACAACAGTTCTGTGAGGAGTCAAAGGCAATCAGGGGGATTTGAGTAAAGCTTTTAGAGCCGCACCATTTGCTTCCTTTTAAAGGCCGGAATGGTTTCTACTATTTATCAAGCCGCTGTTTAATGTCTAGCTCTGACTTAGCAAACAGCGGCTGGTCCTGTCAGCTGGTTAGATCACACAGAGTTAGTGTGGCAGTGACCTCGCATACAGTTGGGGAAGATGGGAAGACGTGTACCCGAGAATAGTATATAGTATGCATACATTGTTTTTCTTTACAAGACGTTAACGTTACTTTTTGAAATTCATGTCAATTCCAGTCACAAAATTTGCATTATAAAATGTTGTATTATACTGTTTAGTAAGTTATATAACATGATTATAATTATTAACTTCAAATTATTTTTGCAATTTGGAATTTACCGATATCGGATATTAACCAATAATGACTCAACTGGCTAGATCAACTATCTGTGACAATGGGCCCAATCTATTCAATTATATAATTATATACAGAGTAGATTACAATCTAATAATAAAAAGAAAAAGGGAAAATCTTAATTATTATGCTCATTGCTTTATTTCCTCTGCAATGCATTATAATGATATTACAACATACTGTACTTGATTCAGTCTACCTTTGCACAGAAACATGCACGTAGCTAAAATTAAACGTAAGCCAACAAATATGAGTAACAAACAATGAAAAACTTCATATTATAATGAAAAACTTTTAAACAAATTGATTCATACACCACAACACAGTCATTTTACCTAGAATATATATATATATATATCTTTTGTCTCATCTCACTACATGCGGAAGAAACAAATATATATCTACATAGATATAGATATATATACATGTTTTCTTCCCCCATTATCAGATTGTGTTTACCATTTTAAGACTGAACTGACTATGAACATCAACCTTAAAAAAGCCAGTAATTAGACCAGTCTGATTGAAAAAACATGCAATCAGTTCCATGATATCTATATATATTACAGCACTCTTAACCAAGTTTAGGTTTAACTCCCAGACACAGAGACAGCTCATTTTTCTGGATCTTTCCATCCTTGTTGACGTCACAGTGACGTAGCAGGATGCCTTTTAACTTGTCCAGCTCGGGACTGGTGAGATTGGGCTGGAGACGACCGAGGAGAGAAGGAGGGAGAAGGAGAGTGGAAAGACATTAAGCTTACATCCTATTATGAACTATACCAGAGTCCATTCTGTCTTTTCACATTTTACGAGTATAAAGATTTACAAAAAGTAGATATATGAAAAAACAAGACTGAAATTTTTTTTAGTGTTCAAGAGAATTCTATGATTCAACTTTTTTCCGTTGACTAAATAAACGAAATATTGCATTGTAATATCGAATCGCAATGCTCAAAGAATTATGACAGTACATAATATGTAAAGTTGATGTAGTAATAGAGAATGTTGTAGCGATGCAACCAATACTTTTCATTTTATTGATGAAGTTAATTTTCCTGATTCATATATAGATATATATTGCAACAGTTGTACTTGATGTAAAAAACACTCAAATATTAGAACATCATAAAGCCTATTGTGTCATGTCCTACCCTGACCAGCCCCATCATGTCTTTGACAAAGCCGTCCACTTCAGGACCCTCCAGTGCTCCTGTCTTACTCTGAACAGGGACGAAAGACACAGAAAAAGAGAACGGAGGAGTGCAGATTACTTAAAATTCACATGGAACACCCATTATTCAGTCATCCGTTAGTCCCCCTTTCCTGGGCGTATGTATTTGTAATGTCCACCGACCACAGTGAAAAACGTTTCTCCTGACTCTCTCACTGCAGGTATACGAACACGTTGGCTTGACAGCCGTTTCACGTGGGCCGAATAATAATAAATAATTTCACAGAATAAGGAAAGCTTATTAGTGAATCCTGACAGGGGATATGTAGCCCCGGAGACGCTTTCTGAATGAGTCTAAGAGTGTTAACTCATCAGCCCAGAGAGTGAGCTGACAATCTAATGGGTGATTTATTTGATCACGTTTCATTACAGAAAGCAATGAAGCTAATTGGAGTCACTGTTGCTGCCCTCTTCAGGGACCCCCACACACCAGGCACATTTGAGGGTGTGTTGTGGAGGTGAGGTCGGCCTTGACTGGAAAGCTTTCATCACAAGCATCACGATTGACTTCCCTTGTGCTATAGAGTACTATTGTCCTTCAATGAGAGAATGATGCAAAACAGCTATTGGGCTGCTTAGGAGACCCTTGTAGGAATAAGTGAAAGGTGGTCGTTTCCGTTCTCCTTAATAGGACATTTCCTTATAGATGGCTGGGATTCAAACCCTCAACTATTAGTCAAGAAGCCTGGTGTATTAATTTTCTGCCTTATCGCAGGGTTTCCTTCAGGACGCCCCAGTAATCACCGGGGTCTCACAAAGCGCATTATTGTACTTACAACATCGTAATGGTCAAAGATCTTCTCAAAGTCTTTCTTTCTCTCCTCTTTACTGCAGGCCTTTGGGTAAAAAAGAGTGAGAGTGTAATTATTGTACACCAAGAGTACATGTATGGAGAGAAATTAGAAAAATTAAAAGAATACAACTATGTATGTTAAACTTTGTGTTTTCATCTGTCAAATATAAAAGATCAAGATGAGGATGAAACTTACATCCATTTGAAACTGGAGCAGGAAATTCTCCTGTAAGGCCAAGATCCTAATTGAAGAAGAAATACATATTTCACCAGCAGTCAAGTTATCAAAGAGAATAATGTTCTTAAAAAGTACCACTAACGGTTGGTGCATTGTGTGTTTTATTTATTTTTTGTTCATTACTCATCTATGCAGATGCATGCTGTCATGTCTCCCCACCTCCACCAATGCCCATTACGCACTTAATACATTTTTAGCATAAAAATGTTACTATTAACTGTCTTACAGAAAGTTTTTACATGTTAAAGATGTTAGTATTTCACCAATGTGATTTCACCAATGTGATCTTCTTTATTCCGAGCCAACATTTGTGAAATGCAAGCACTTTATGTATATAATAATTATCCTGCTCTTTGAAAAGTACCTGGCCAAGTCGTTCAAATCCAAACAGCCATCCTTGTTTTTGTCAAAGATTTTCATCTGCAAAAAAAGAGGATGTACTGAAGAAGACAAAAAGAAATTCAGCAACTGTAAATCTGTAAGTAGTTATTTCTTCACACCACCTGTGACTCTAGACTCAACTTATCATTCGATATGCATTTTTGATTTTAATAAATGTACTGTTAGAAACTGAAATTGCAAAATTTCACTGTTAAACACCTCCCGGCAACAAAGCCTGTTGCCCAATCTCAGGCCCTGTAGAGTGACCAATTTATCCAAATGCATGCTGAGTACAGGAAGGAAAAGGTTTAGCATAATCATATCTGTCAACTGCGACCGATTGCAAGTCAGATCACCATCACACCCAAGTAGGAAGAATTTGTTTAACTGTTTAAACGCCAGACAACACAGAGAGAAGCTCGCTGGGGAAGGTTGTATGGTTACCATTGCGTCTGTGTACTCATCCAGCTTATCAGATGACACTTCCTTGAGATGTTTTTGGAACAGATCCTTCAGGAAAGCCTAAGAACAAACGTTTATCAAATAATCAGAAAATTAAAGAATCAATGGACACGCAAAAAATACTTCTTTACTGTGTAGTAAGGGAGAAGACAAACATCTGAATGTGTGAATGTCACTACAGGAAATGGTGCCTGAGGGTTAAACTCATTCTCTGTTTTCCACCACTGAAGGTTTTTCCTCTAACAGAAAAAGAGATGTGAAATTGGTCTTCTGTCGTGTGTGTACGACCCACCTTGAGCTCCAGAGCTGATATATAGCCGCTGCAGTCAACATCGTACTTCCTCCATATCTACAGGGGGGAGGACCGGTCAAAAATTGGCAAATGTTGACAAGTGCACAGGTGAATTTGAACTAGTTGGAATTAATGCAATAACGTAAATAGCCTCTTTATAGCTAGTGGTGAAAATCTATTATATTTTTTAAATGTAACTCTCACAAGTAGAACTATTATTCTCTGTTGAAATGTTATTCTTTTTGAAACAAATGATATGCATACATATATATATATATGCATATATATATATATGAAAACATATCTGTATAGATATATATATGTATGTATTTCTATAGATATGTCTATACATAAGGAGAGAGATATGAGATGTGTGTGTGTGTGTGTTTGTAGATAGATTCATAATCCAGGTGGGTAAAAGTATTTCTTATTTATAATGTTATCAAAGTTAACAATGTTAGCGTTGAGTGTTGTCACCACTTCATAAAGTCAAACCCTGCACTGGTTCCTCTAAGACTAGAAGTCGGAAGACTTCCTCATGCTTCGCATGTGCTGCGACTCCAAGTCATAGATCTGATGGATCTGGTTGTACAGAAAAATGTGTTGCATTTTCCATGATAAAATTCTTACTGTCTTCTTCTTACATCTCTTGATCTATTTCCTGGTTGCCGTTAACTGCTCAGAATAACTGAACTAAGCCAATCGAAACTCAACTGCAATTCTTACACCTTCAAGCATAGAAATGTGTTACTTATGTGACATTTTACCAATCATCCAGTTTATGCCTCATGTGTTTGTATCAGAGAATAAGGATGATGATTAAACAGTCAACACTGGGCTCCAGTCAAACAATGAAAAGCCACTTTGTGTATGCGTTAGTCCCTTGCCTAACCTGTTTTTAGTTTTTATGGCTTGATTCATTGACAGTGTATTTGATGTACTATTTGTGGATTGGCCCGTTTCCTCTGTTGAGAGGTTTGCATATATGTGCAAAATAATTAATGTTGTTATCTGACATCTCATGATTTACCTAGTGACCTTACCTTCATGAAGTCTACACTGTTATCCAGAGGAGCTTCTCTACGGAAAACTAACAGGAAGTTCTCATCTTCAGGGAGGATCATATTGGCCAACTAGAAGACAGGTCAGAGGTCACACCAGAGAGCAGTCATTTGATAATGTAAAACTTCTCATCTTAATAAGTTATGTCCAAGTTTAAAGTCATACATAGAAACTTCAAAATGTTCAATCATGTAATTATGCTCAGATCAGGGGTCAGTTTTTATTTTCTGTAGAAGAAATCAATCTTATGGAACTATTGTACCACTTTAGCACTATAACAACCCTACAGAGGCTTCTTCTCCTGGCACCTCTCCAGTTCACGTTGCTCCTCTCATCTGAACTTGAGTTGTATCAGACCTCCATTAGCAGATTAAACTGGCCCCCATCTTCAATCTAATTACTGTTCAAGATGATATTGCGGCCTTTGGGTTTACAAAGAACCGCTTGGTCAGATAATGGCAGTGCACCGTCCGCGATGTGCAACTCCAGTAAAGCTGTTTGGAAAGAGACACCGATTAATCCACTACAATAAACAATTGTTGGATGTTTTCAGGTTTCATGTCTTGGTGTCACTGAGTGGGTGAGAACGCACCGTTTGTCCTCACATTTCATTCCATTCAGCATTTCATTAGTCATTGATATCTTTGTTTGCTGCTCATCATGGCCACCAGATAATAGAGCAGCAGACGGACATTTCCTCTATGCTTGCACTGGATGACATCAGTAGTGATGTCATAGGGGTTGGACCATGCACAGGGGAAGATGTATTGGGTTTCACATGTACATGCTAATGTTAAGCCCTTTTTAAGCAGATGCCTTTGAATGTTACAGACAGGAATATTAATGTGTAACTGTGGGCATAATATGACATGTTGATGTTAGGAATAAAGAACAGTTGACAGTTGCTGGAAATAAACAATACATCAACATATTGTTGAATACATCTATTGAACAATATACAAATACAGAAAGTACAAGTGTTCTTTGTGAACAGAATGGCACCTACAAAGTAGCCTATACATAAAGCGTACTGTGCAGTACTGCAGTTCATCAAGTGTCAACCCAATTAGATAAATATGTCACAATAAATTCACATTATACTGCACATTTGCTCACCCTGCAGTGGGAAGTGAGAAGCTCAATATCAATGGATTTAAATAGATAGTAAGTTAGCACTAGGTTTTAACAAATTAGCCATTTACGATAATGCACTGGAGGGCTAACAGCATTTGCTGTGGCAACCACACAGGATACTATCGCTTGAATTCTGACTTCCTTCTTAAGGCGACAGCATTGAGAGCAGAGCCAACAGTCTAACCAAAGAAGCAACGAGTCCAAAACTGGTCAGTAGAGACACATGAACATTTGTTCTAATTGGGATGCAGCTGACAATTGGCTGCATTGGATCAGTACCTCATACTGGTGGTTCGGGTATTGACCAGATGTAACTAATCCACTGAAATGGAACACTGTACAATATATATTGTATGTCTTTGTCAATTTCACTTACAACTACACCCATTAAATTCACATAGTAACATATGTAAATCTCCCAATGAGTTTCACTCAGTGAGATGGACAGATTTTAAATGTGGAAAAAAGAGGGCATGCGTATCAAATGGAAAGAAAGTCTGACGGATGCTTTCTCTGGCTGGCAGGGCTTGTTGCTAAGTGGTTCGATCCCACTGTTAGCCAACCACACTTCCAACACAAGAACTGTGAGCACGGGGACCCCCCCACACATGTACGTACTGAACTATGACTGACTGCTGCTGTGACACGTCACTAATTCTGCCTGCAATATTTGCAACAATGGGATGACTTTGTATATATTTATATAATTTTCTCTTTTTAGTTTGTTATCGTAATTATGTGAAAGGAAGAATTTAGAAAGAGTAACTGACTGTACACATGACAATAAATAGCTTGAATCTTGAATAACTGATGTGGAAGGGATGTATTGATTGAGTAAAAGCCAATCCGTCACGGGTCGTTGGGTGCAATGCATTAAGTAATTGCCCTAAGTGGCTTTTTCACGATAGAAGAAATGCTCTGATGAATTTCTGCAGCTGTGCCAGAAGCGGCCTCAATTACTCAGAGTGGAGGCTGAGAAAGCAGTGTCATTGAAATGTCGCTTTTTTATGCAGTGTGTTGAAATCTCAGTCAAGTTTGATTTATTGAAAGAGTCTCAGAATCTACCTGCATGAATGACTTTTCCTGATAAATGTGTGCTCCACATGTGGTGCATACTGTGTATACATTATACACAGTAAATAGGTATTTAATTCAGGTAAATGCTCTCTTCTGGCTGTTTCTTCATGCATGCAAAGCAGATAAAGGGAAGACAAGAAAGTGGTTAGAGGAACTGATAAGTCTGCTTGAGAGACAGTGAAGAGGAAGACCATTTCTTATAATGAAAATAGAATAAGGAGGAAGTCACAGTGAGAAGGTTTTCAGTTGGTGCAGCTGGTAGCCGAGAGAAAGAGATAGAGGGGACGTTTTACAGGAAGACGACATGTGTGGTGAGACACTCGATGTCACCAAAGTGCTTTGGACCATAAATATGAATGTGAATATGTGCTTCACCTTTACTTGAACCACAATTCAGTATGAAGGAAATAATTGTCAGGTAAATGAGCGAACGATTCAAGCAAGAAAAAATGTATATTTTACCTCCTGAATCTGTAGTTTCCCGTCAGCTGTGACATCATAGGCGGACATAAACCGTTGTTTCAGCTTCTGGACTCTCTCATCTGTCACATTCTCCTGAACAGACACAACAGCTTGAAATGCAAGTGATGTTCCAGCTAAAAACCGTCATTGAACTGCACACATATTGATGATACAATATATGAAGGGTAAAATGGAATAATACAGTTTATTTAACTACAGACAATTTTAAGGAAAAAATGAACCTGAACGATGATAACATCACATTGTACATTGGTACTGCAAAGCATGGTGCTTAAGAACTGGCTGAGTCACAGTTATTTTAAGCCAAGTCACCATGGATACTTCTTTGTCTCGTTTTTCTCAACCCCAGGTTAATAGTTTGTTAAGCGTTTATGTAGCTCGCTCTACATGTCCTCGATCTACCTGGTCCCTTTGATAGACGGAACAAAGCTTGTGGTGTTTTAACCACAAAGCTTTGCCACCGTTACTTGTCATCCAAGATGCGATGAGACATTTCTAAAACACAGTGTCATCATTTTTTTTTAGGCCTTTACAGTTAGTCAATGACTCGGCTGCTTCTGGCTGCGACATGCAACATCCTGCAAATACCTCTATGAAATACATGAAAGCTATTCTAAACATTCTCATCAGTCGACCACACGGTCACTCGTGAAGTTAGATGCACTAGATGCACTTCAGGATGCGAGGTTTCTTTGCAGGCTTGAGTTAACCATCACATTTCCGTTTTCTGTGCAAACCAGTTTCTTTCTCAACTAGCCAACAACGTTTCCCCACAAAATATTTAGGAGCTAATCTTTTAATCTTACTTTGCAAACGCCCCCCATCAACGTACTGTAACTATGGAAACCTATTGTTTATTAGCCATATTTCATGCAGTGCAGAGCTCATTGAGTGCAGACTAGCAGGAGTCTAATGCTTGCTCCTTAGAGAAAGGTCTTCAGTATCAGCTGAATTATTGTTTGACTTAATGTGCTCACACTATGCACACCACATGACCAAACCTTGTATTTATGCTTTAACCGACACTGATATTAGATTTATTCTGCAAATTCATCTTTACTGTACTGTATGTGTTGCCTTAGAGGAAGTGTAGACACAAATATGGCTGAATACAATAAAATAGATTGACTGACATGAGGCAGTGACAGCAGTACTTTTCACAGGGCATTTATGCTGGAAAGCAAACATCAGAGAGACAAAGTGGCGTGTGTTCGGTGATCTGTTTGTTTTAGCACAAACCCCATTAGTATCTCATCCAAACGCACACACAAGCACACACCGGGAAATGTGCCAATAGTTGTTCGCCCATTCGGTTTTCCATTGTAACTGGTCAAGAACGTCTCCCTTGACACTGACCAGAGCTCTTTAATTGTGTCTCTACATCGTTACAGTCACCCCACCCATGAAGGCAAGAGCTTCAGCTGCCCACACAGCAGAGATCTCAAGCGCTACATGAAAACGGTGTTTTATCATTCAACGTCGACAAATGGAGTCTAAAATTCAAGAATAAACCCAAACAGGAGAAAATTAATCACATCTGAATGAATTACCATTTAATGTCATTGTATCTTGAAAAACAGTGATTTAACTAACATTATTTACAACATTAATAGTATTAGCATTTGCTTATACTGTGTGTGTTTGTGTGTCTGGTGGCCTGGTCATAGCTTCGCGCAGTGTTAACACTATATTCATCACACGTTATGGCAAAATGAACATAAACAAAGTTGACTTACCTCCGGACCCAGTCTCTTCATCATGTGACGAAAAAAGTCATCTAGCTCATTGCCCTCGATGTAACCGTTATCTGTCAAATAAAACAAGTGCCATAGAAGTCCTTTAATATTATAGAAAGTCAACATTTTCCTCAAAATTAAAATATTGAGTGATACTTCCTTTACTCATACATCCGTCATCACAATTTTCTCGCTAATGTCTTGTAACAAAAGAAGATACATTTTGGAGGAGTGCACTTTTTCTGTATAAGATAGATAGAGAAAAAATACTGTCTGTCTTCACCATCTGCATCAAAGTGTTGCCAGATTTCCAGGAAACCAGCTGCATCCAGGTTATCAAAAGCACTGTCCATTTTAATGAAGAAAGGCAAAGAAACCTGTTACCACGAAGAAACAATGAGGTGACAAACTGTGACTGAGCCGTCGCCCGCTTGGTTGACACATGCTCTTTCTGAAAAACTCCTCCTCTTTTGGGTTTGTGTGTGTGTGTGTGTGTGTGTGTGTGTGTGTGTGTGTGAGAGGGAGAGAGAGGGAGAGAGAGAGAGAGATAATGCTTTTGCATTGCATTTGCCATCTGGTGGGTGTGTTGTTGCACTGCAAATCAAATGAAAATGACAAGCTCCTTTATTACAAACTGGTCGTCATCACACAGCAGCAGAGTAACTGCATCTACAATATTTCGCATGAATGTGGCCTGCAGACTCAAAGCTTCATTAATCTAATGTAAGCATTCTTATAGTTACGTAGAGGCTCATATGAGTCCTAGAGCGCTCTGAGAAATCTTGCAGGGGTGAGATATTTATTTACAAAAATGTAAGAATCATATTCAAAACAACTATTCCAACTTAAGGTCGTTGCACTTGACTCTCATGATGCTAACCGATTTAAAGTGTTAAAGGCGACGATGGATTACCATTGAGCAAAACACCTAAGTGGACCCTCTACTAATACTTTATTTTGTGGACTTTGTTGTCTTTTATCTTTGTTGAGTTTTATTATTTGAGTTTCTGTTGGCCTCCTGATTCCCATTTCTGGGTCATGAGTCTGTTTCCAGCAGTAAACTTCTGCTCTCAACAGACGTTATGGCAGATAGGAAATCCTGCGGAAGTATTTTATCTCATTAAAGACATTTAAATCATTCAACAAGGGTCACCTTCCACTGTTTTCCTCATTATGATGCCTGTTTGGAGAAGCGTTGCTGTATCAGGATGTTGTAGCAGACCTCCACCACTAGAGAGCACAGTAGTACAGAGAAAAAACTAACAAAAGACTTGAGAGCATATTCAAACATACGTTTTTGAAAGATACCAATGAAAAACCCTTTATTGACCGCATTCATATCTGCAGCCCTGGTGGCTTCTCAATTGTGGGGCTTTTATCCAAATGGCTGCTGTGTAAGTCCCGTAACAAATTAAAAGTAAATGTTCAGATTACTTCACATGGGTCATTGGTTATTAGACATTAGACACTAACGACTGGTCACGTGACCTGTTTGTCCCCCGCTAGTCATGTCAGATCATAGTCAGTCGGTTGTGTACAGAGTTGTTAACATCAACGAGGCTATTTTCCCAAACCTGGCCAAGTTTGTTGTGAAAAGACACCGATACAAGTAGAAACCCTCGAGGCTACCCAGGGCTTCATAGTTTGAAGCTTTGGTAGCAGGGATCGATCCAAAGCTTCCTTACTGCTCGGCTTGGACCGGCGGTAGAACATCAAAAAGGATGAAGGATCTCGGATGAACAAAGCAAGGTTTCTTCATGCCAATGGTACACCTGAACCACATACAAGGAAGATCCTTGCTGGGGTTGTGGGAAGATCAGGCAGAAAAGCACAGTTTTATTGTGGAAGCCATTGATACAACAATTAGTTAATTAATGAGCAATTAGTTAATTAATTAGTTAGCAAACTACCGCATGGGAGTTTGTGTCTTCGGTCTCCGTCTCCAGCTGTAGCAACCTTCGGACTGACAAAGGCAGCAAGGAAAAACCAAGGGGCAGTATGGTAGTGATGCAGTTTGTAGACAGTGATTTCTACGTGGGCAATACTCTGAAGTCTTCTCCAACTGAAGCTGAGGCAGTTGAAATTTAGCAAAATTACATCCAACAGACTGGAAGTGATGCATTCCTGTTGAAGATTGAGCTGAGAACTTATTCCAGTTCAGCTGGCATGTCACTTCTGATACAAGTTCCACAGAATCAGAGGCCTTTTTACAAGTGGATGACTTTCAGCAATCAATAGCTGGTTTGACCCCTCAGGTTTCCTTGCTCCTGTGACCTCAAAAGGAAAGACTTTCATTCTAGCATGTGCTTGAAGGGAGGCGATAGAAGATCTGTAAGGACTTAAAGAAATGTTCCAAAGAAAGGCAATGCAGCATCGTATTTGCATGAACAAATGTCCAAAGTCAACACAATGACTTAGTGGATTTTATTGAGCCATGAGAAACTGGAACAAATAACCTATTAGGACTGATAATGAGCAAACAAGTCATTTTTTTATGCATTCAGTTTTTCCAGCTCAGGGAAAGGTTTTGCATTCATTTCATTTTTTTAAATCATAATGAAAGTAGCATTTAACGTATTACATGTAACAGCAAATTAATACATACAATGAAATAATTACTACATTTATGAACACAATGTACAAGAATAAAAACAACAAATGATCAATACATCACCGTCCACTGTTTCTTTTTATTCCAAATAACTTACAAAACAAACCCCTAGTATAGTAGTGTACTTAGTACCAAAACAAAATAGGTTTTTGCTGTACTCACATAGGGGTGTGAATGTGTCATAGTGTATTGCATGTGCGTGTATTACACATGCATATCTACACACACACACACACACACACTCCTACATGTATGAAAGCACGTATATACATACAGTACAACTCACAGCCACACCATGCAGTCACACACAGGTCGACGTAGGAGTCAAGACTCAGCGCTTCTGGTTATTTTTAACAGAAATGAAGTAGTTTCAAATTATTCATCAGGCTTTCGCACAACAGAAACACAGCCAGCTGCTTCTGAAATCCCAAACAGATTTCCTTCCATTTGGATATGGCAAAAACAATCCAGCTCACAGCCCCGTTTGCTTTAAACATATTGCAAAGGATGCAGCGGCATTTTATCCAGTATCCTGGAACACCGCTCAACCTAGAAGAAATGCTTCAGTTGTGAAACTTTGGCTGTAATTTGAAGCAGTTGTTGACATCTAACACTAAATGAACTACTTACAGAAGAAACTTGTGTTATTTCTGAGGAATGACGAGAGACAAACAAGTAAAATCTCATCGTAATCTTGAAAAAAAGACGTCATGGGTCAAGGTGCACCAGTAAGACTTTTGGCTCTGACTAGAATAGGACAATACAACAAAACACACACCAGTTGTGCCCTTTTCACACCGGGCATGAAGAGCGACGGCTGGCTTACATTAAATATTAATGCTGTAGCACAGATAGACAGATAATGAAGCATCTGCTGGGTCTCACATTCAGGTATTTACAGGGTTTAATGCTGCGTTCACATCACGTAGAACAAAAGTCAGGAAGATTATTATGTTGCTGACTTGCGATGAGCATTTCTGTCTTTACTTTGTACGACTGCTAAGGTAATTGGAAAAGGACGTCCAATGACATTATAGCATTCTATCCAGTAAATGTATGTAATTCCCCTTAAATGATTGACTGATGTGAGGCCTCCATGTTTGTTTGCTTTTTCTCAGTCTTAATCACAACTTGGGTGTTAACTGATAAGTATAGCAACACCAATATGAGAAGAATAAGACATAATTTAATGACACGGCTAAACCTCTTTATCTATTCAAAGCAACGCTAGGCATACAAACTGCAGATAAGAGGTATCGGTCGACAAAATCTGAATTCTTTTTTTAACCTTTGTCTATTGATGATGAGATGAATGGTTTTGGACATGATCTGTAGAACTTGTATGTCGACTGTGTAGCAGTGTGAAAAGGGCATTCCTTGCTGGCAAAAGACAGCGATGAGGGGAATCGGCCTGAGACCGACGTGTGTCCTTGTTGTCTTGAATAGCGTTCAGGTCAGGAACAGCCAAAAGGTCCCTGTGGTGAGAATCTAGCTACGCTTTACGTTCACTTCAGACACGGTTTTCTCAATCAGGTTTTAACAAATGCCAGATCCTTATAGTTTGAAGTTCCAAACTTGTCTTCGTACAGAACAAATTGAAAATGAGCTGAATTTGAAATCCATGAAAGTGTTTGAAAGCTGAGTTTCCTCAGTATCCAGCTTTCATACAAAGAGAAGACTGAAGATTTTTTCTGTCATAATATTAATCATTGATCATAATAATATTGATCAACAAGTGTTACTAGAAGTGAGGTATGAATCTGTCTTTAAGAGCAATTTAGAGTATGTGTGAGTTTAGAAGTGGTTAACATTTGTTTTTTTTTGTTTTTTTTAAGTTAAGTTCCAGCTACATAGAAAGCTGTTGTTACTTTATTAACCATTAAACCTTTTTATGATGGGCCTCTCTATGGCTCTTTATTGACAGACACATACTCACTTCCGCCATAAACAGCAGAAAATAGACATCCACGGTTTAAAGGTATCATAGATACAGTAAATGATTTTTTTCCACAGTGTCTGAACAAAGAGAACAGTGTTAGTTAACAGTGCTTAAGCCATATTGATTAGTTATCAGTGGTAGTTGCAGTACAACACTTCATGTGGTTACTGCAGCTCTCCCACAAAGAGACAAAGCAGAGTGCAGACAGGCGGTTTCATGTGTCCCAGCCGACTTTAAGCCCAGTCGGTCTGCTCTAAAGGACTGGTGTTTTTTTGCTGTTAGACAGGCTACATCAATTGTGAAATGTGTGTTTATGTTTATGGTGGGCTGAGATTCTCAGCTAAACCCGTGTTTTCCTGGGAAAAAAACCCAACAAGATGAGTTGCATAATGGGTTCAGTCACCACTGAAGTCCAGAGAAAAGTAACTGGCACATAATGAGAATAACATTTAGAAAAATCATCTATACAAATATATTGATGGAAACAATTGCTGTGGGGTCCTGCTCTGGTTGGATGTTTTAGTTCAAGTACAGTACAATGATCCTGATATCATTGTTACATGTGTTTGGTCCCTGGGAGACAAGCTTTTAGTGAAATGTACACTCATAGTTTCACAGTCCTTCTCTCTCTGTCGGTCTCTGTCTTTTGCACAAAGAGTTTACTGGTTCCAGAGCAAACTTCATTTAAGATTCAGTACTACTTTGCTGAATATGCTTCAACATCAGTGTCCTCAAATCCTGAAAAGGTTATTCTTTAAGAGACATCAGATTTTCACCTGACAGCAGAGATTAGGAATGAAAAAAGGAGAAAAAGGTGTCAGAAATGGAAGCTCTTTGAGACTTGGCACGGGTTGCTTTACTAGGTGACAAGTTATGACTACAAGAGCTTACTGAGGTTATTCCCACTGTGTTAATATTGTTGGTTTCGCCTTATCATAGACAACCAAATGCTAGTTCTAACGGTTTACTGCATGATGCAACAGCAGGTCTTCCTGCAAAGCAAAGAGGATCTTTACTTTGGGATCGGACTGAAAACCACCGCCAGTATAAATGAAAATGTATCAATGCATGATTATAGAACCTCTTTAGTTGCTTTTTCATGTTAACAGGTGTTTACTGTTAAAATAAAGTCTTTGTCGGCTTCCTCCCCAGAGTCCGAGGATTTTTTGCCCGCCGCTTTGTCCGTTTTTGTAGATTGATCCTTTATCTTGATGGAGCCGTGGTCCTCAGAGTTGGTACGAAGGCGGTTTGGTCGCTGAGCCGAGTCTGACACAAACCCCGCCCTCCCTAAAATACAATATAGAGAGAGAAGATGACAATTTTTATAATCATTCAATAAGCACGGAAATAACACAGCTTTTCTTACACTTCTATTCGGTTACAAAAAAAGAACGAAACGAGGGTAAATCGACCCATGCCAAAGGAAAAAGTGAATGCTCGACCGAAATTCTGACGGACACATTGTGTGACCCACCATCCTGAGTGGTTTTGTTCATAGAGCCGCCCGACTGTCCCTCTTTGTCTCTCTGTGACACCGTCCTCTTCAGCGGGGTAGGAAGAACCGTGACCTTAGCAGAGACACCACCACTGCTCGGGGAATCGGACGTCTCATCTGTCAGGAAGAAATACCGAAACAAATACAGTCAACTGTCAAACAATCTTACAGGAAGATTAAAAACATCATCACGTGGCAATCGGATCCGGTGCTTGTACCTATGCTCCTCCTGCTGCTGCTGCTGCTGCTCCCGGTCCGTGGCTTCTGGAGGATGGTGGGTCGGGCAGCCAGGGCGGGCTTTGCTCCCTGCGGCATTGGTGGTTTGGGACTTACTTGCCCCCCGGGAGAACTAGAGGAGGAAGTAGCCCTGAGACGACGGGCCGGGTCGGGCTTTGCCTCGGCACGAGGAGGGGGCTTCTCTGCAGGACCCGTCGCCGCGTCTGATTGGTTAATCGAGCCACTGGGAGACCGGCTTTCTGAAATGACGGGCGGGGGCTTGGCTGCTGGCGCACGCAAAAAAACAAAGAATGTTTAAAATACTGCACACAATGATTTTCATGCACCACAATGGGTGTAAAACAAGACAAAGAGAACGTCTTCAATCCTCTGAAACCAGCTGTGAGTTCATCTCAGTAGAAGGAACTCACCTGTTGCATTGCTGTCCGGTCTGTCGGGGCTTGAAGACTAGAGGAGACACAGGGAGAAAATGATTTTTTAATGGATTACTCAGTTCTATGACACATAATAAGTAGCCTTACCTTTTTCATACTTCTTTTATCTTTTGCTTTTTTTTAAATCACACCACCTCACCTTGTATGCCCTCCTCTCCTGCTTGGCCTTCATCTCGGCGAGGAGGCCGCTGCCCATCATTTGCATCCCTTGGTACCGCCGGCTTCCTTGGGGGCTGCCGCGGCCGTCTGAACACTCCCAGGGCTCGTCCATGGAGTCTGGTGTCCGCAGCTCTTCTGAGCGGTCCGAGCTACTGCTGTAGTCGGTGGGCTGGGAGCGGCTGGAGGCATCTCTGCAGGGCCGACAGGAGCGGTTAGTGAATCGGGTGCCGACTGGTACGTTGAGACAAACGGGGGGACAATAGTCATACCTGGACTTTGGCTCAGGTGCTGGGCTCTTCACTGACACCTTTGGTGAAGACGGCTCCTCTGGAATGGAAGCCGGCGTCGGGGCGGCTGTGGCCGAGGATGAACCTGAAGCTGGATTGGTCGCCTGGGTTTTCTCTGACTTACCTGAAACTGGGGGTGTCGCCTGATTTTTTTCGGACTTGTCTGATTTATCTGCCTTTTCTGATTTGGAGGAACGTTTTATGAGGTTGAGGAATCCTCCTTTACTCTTTTTCTTCTCTCCATCATGAGATTCGGAACTCTTGGAACGTCTGAGAGGAAACCGAAGGAGACAAAAATGATTACTTGTAGTAAGTAGAGTGCAATACATCAATACTGGAAAAACTATTCAGACAGTCATTTATGAGAAACTATTTAAACAAAGCATTGTCCTCACTTGGAGTCCATCCTGGTGACTTTTGTAGAGAAGAACTCGTCCACACCTTCGTCCACCCTTCCCATTAGGCCGTTCTGCTCCCCATCCTGAGAGGCGGCGCTGTTGATTTCCTGAAAGAGAAAGTTGAAGGATCTAGTACCATGTCTGGAAATTAACTTGAAACATGCATACAAAGACTGAATCTTAACTCACAGGTATTTTGCTGGAATGCATTTTCTTGTTCCGTCGTGGTCGCAGTTTGGTGAAGTGCTGCAGCTTCTTTTCCTCTTCGGACGGCAGCTCCACCATCCCTACTGGCGGTCGGTGCTCCGATTTTGGATGAACCTGAGACGGAGTGGGTGGAGTTTGAGATAAAGTTGAAGCGTCTTCCACATGGATAGGGACGTCTTCCAGGGCCTTGTCCAGGTCAAACTCCATCTCTGTAGGTTGGACAGTCAAAAGAGGGTTTGTTGTAAACATACCGTACATTGATATTTAGGAGGACTTCAAGGATAAAAGTAATCAATACAAAATAATTATCAAGCAGATCATTTACTATTTGACTCTCAAACAGGTCAATGTTTTGAAATATAAACAAAGAATATATAATAAACTGCTTACCAAATGCACGCGACACTGGCCGAAGCATTCTGCTGTGGATGCTCTTCCTCTTGGATTTAGGAGTCATCTGATCAGATAGAATTCATGGTAATTGTTAAAAAATGAACCAAAGCAATAAGAATAGACATCATAGTTTGCACTAATGCCAGACATCATCCTATATAATCAAATCTCAATACAATAATAATACATTGTACAGGTGGTAATATGTATTGATGGATACAGGTCGAATATTATTGCTTTGGTGGTTATAATGAGTGAAAGTTATTGTAAGACAAACATCTCTATTTATATATAGACAGGTACTTATTATGTTGGAACACATGTTGCGTATCGTATTGTGCTGTGATCCACACTTACACGGTGGTGAGGAACAAGGTGCATTGAGTGGAAAGAAGCAGTGCAGAGTGGCTTGATGGCATGAAGAGAAATGACATACATAACACATGTTGTTTTTCTACAACATCTTTAATATAGATCAGCAGGATCAAATATTTAAATACGCAAGTCTCTTTGTGCTGCTGGCAAAAACAGAGCACAGAGAGCCTTGAAGCAGGCAGGCGCAGCAACAAGAGACAGAATAGGAAAAGAGCGGTACGAAAGGAAAGCGAATTGAAAGGAGAGAATGGACGGACAGTCGAGAATTACTTACGCTGGTGCAGCACAAAATCTCCATGGAGCAAAAGTGGAAAGAGGAAGAAAGAGGAACAGAAGTGAAGAGGAAAAAAAGACAACACACGGTAAAGGCCAGTAAGAGACAAAAATGAGAAAGATGGCTGGTGTTGAAAGATGAAGAGAGGGGTGAGGAGCACAGACACCAGGGACAGATGAAGAGAGGGGTGAGGAGCACAGACACCAGGGACAGATGAAGATGCTTCCTGTTGACTGCAGCCTGTATTTACTGCTCATCACAACAGCAGTACATATGAGCAAACCTGAAAAACTAATTATAAAAGCAAAACAGGTCTTAGGATTTAGCAAAAAACGTTTTACTGCACGTAGAGACAATTCTTTTCAAATGAATTACAAATTTGACCCTTCATTTTCTTTGGCAAATGTAGATCAGCCAAGGGTTATTTATTCTAGAGGAGGGTAGTAAAACGCAAGTTGTAGTTGTTTGTGTTTGTCTCAATTACGAATGTTAACTGTAAATTAGTTTAAGTCGCGTGGAAATAAGATGGGCCTACATAACAATTCATGAAATAAATCAGAGATTGGTTAAAAAACACGGTTCCACCCAAACCTACCATGCAGGTCTCTAGATCCTCCAGCCTCTCGGCCTCCAGCATCTCGGTCGACGCTCTTTTTGGAATCTTTTCCTCCGGGACGTCCAGATCCACAGACTCCTGCCGTACCAAAGGGCGACCGCGCCGCACCAGGTGGTCTGCCTGGGAGGAGGAGACAACCTTTACACCTGCTACAGCATTTTAAAGGTCTAATTAATAACCAAAATGAGCGACTTTAGAGTTTTGATGGATTTAATCTTACCAGAGTGAGTTGTGAAGTAGAAAGAGCCTCCAGAATCTCGTCAACAATGCGATCAGACAGGAAAGACGCCAGACTCAGTTTCACCTCACTGACACGGAGACAGTGACAACGCTTAGCTTGTGTAATCCTAGTTACGTATAAAGGATACAACCCAACACACTACACACCTGATCTTGTTGATGATATCCACCCCAGACTGCTCCAGGAGGGTTTTAGTGACAAAGCTTTTGGGTACCACCATCTTGGCCGAGCTGGCCTTTATTAGCTCTGGACGAAGACTACTCCTCTTCATCACATGGGGACACAGAGACTCTGCTGCGTCCACCATCGACTCCAGCAGAGTCTGTGAGGCGTTTAGATAACAGATGGGTGGATATGAACGTTGTTGTTTATGATGACGGATTTTATTAAAGCAACTCATGGCTGACAGAAAATGTAACTTATTCTAAGTATTTATTTATTCGTATTTACCCGTTTGTATGTAAAATATTTCTGCAACTTGGGCTCTAACTAAAACGATTTCTTTATTTACAAGTATACTTTATTTTGGTAGCTAGAATTTATAGTCTGCAGTCAAAAATATTCCATCCTTGCTAAAGTAACTGTTAGGACCCCACCTGTAGCTGTTGGTCCATGACGTTAGTCACCTCCCCGGCCATAGACTCCAGCTTCTCCTGGATGGGTCCCACTGACGAGCTGTTCACCTCCTCTCTGGCAGCTGACCCTAGGTGGTAGAGGTTAGGGAGCAGCTGAGGAGACACAGAGAGAAGGAAATAGGACGAATAAAGGAATCAAAGAAAGGATGTAGCAGACTGATCTTCCAATGAGCTTCACGATCAAATCTTTTCATTCCCGTGTGCATGAGTTTAATCTCCTCACCGTTTTGGAGTTTCTTGCATCTTTGATGAGGTTCTCTGCTGACCTGACGTCCTCCAAGATGGCGTCTGTCTCAGAGTTCCTCAGAGAGTTCAGGTGGTCCTGCACCTTCACACAAATCCTATCAATCATCTGGGAGACAGAAATGAGACATGGAAGTTTGTATTTGAAATGTCAAAATTAGGTTTTTATAACTTTTTAATGATGAACGAACACATTCAGGGCTAAATGGTCTATTATCGCCGTACCTGATCCCGATATGAGATGGATATTTTCTTTGAGCTATGAGACAATTTACCTCCATACAGTACTAACATACAGAGGCCAGACACACGGCTCAATGAAACGCAGCTTTGTTTTCACCAGATATAAATGTGATATTTTTAGACCGAAACACCTTTGACATTTTAAGAGAGCGCAAGGTTAAGTTAGTACAATTCTGAATTAAATGTTGCACTTAGTACAGCCCTATCTACTTTATAAACAATTGTAGATTAGGTTTGGTTGAAAACATACAAATTATACTGCATATGAATTCAATAATAACCAATAATAAGTCATGTTACACACCTGTTGTGTGGTTGTGGTTACGATGCCCTGCTGCAGCCGATAAGCCTGTTCCTGGAGATATTTCCTTGTTTCATGGTTCCTGTAGAGATAATTCTCAATCTGGGGGGAAAACACATTGCTACAGTCATGATAATAAACCAAAGGTATAACATCAAGTATATTCAGTTAGATATTTTCTTTTTATTGGGTGTTTGACACTATAAACAGCCGATAAATCTTGAAATACCTTCAACAAGGCGTCTTCTGTTTTCTCAGGACTGGCCTTCAGAGCCTGCGAGGCATCGATGATGGGGATGGGCATGAAACGAATAGTAAAGTTCCTGATGGACACACAGCCAAAGGACATTATTATCATTCCACTGCTGGTTCACATTGTAAAATAAGGGAAAGAGGCAAATGCAGAAGGTTTATTGTATTTCAATAAACGTGAAGAAAAGTGATGCATTCATATTCATACATGTAGCATCGTGCAATATGAGTTCAGGGTTTGCGATTTAAGTCACTGTGGTACAACAATAGAAACAGATAAATGCATCCACACGTGGTGTCTCTTGATACAACTATTTATATCTATAGTTTTTTTATTTAGGGTAACCTACTTTTTTTAACCTTGAGTTATATAGTAATTATAGGCCATGGTTCCATCAGCCTGTTGTGAGTGGTGGAGACAGAATTACATGTGGAATGGCCCCTGGGCCCCTCGTACGTTGGTTTATTAACAATTATGATGGGGGAGATGACAGAATGGCAGAATATAGAAATGAAGACAGCGATGAATGGAAAGCAGAAGGAACACAGAGATTAAAATGAGGGTGTAAACGAAAGGCAAGAGCCTGTCAGAGGTTGATGGTTTTCAACTTCAAAGGTGAACCGATTCATCTTTATTCATATACGTCTGCTTTAAAAATAAACACACACAGCAAAGCAACACTGTCACAAATCATATTAAGATTTGACTTTGACTCTCTTCCCTCGTGTCCTCAACTCACAGATCTGTTATGATTATGAATATGGCCTCCATACCCACTCAATCATCCCAAAAAGGAAATTGTTGTTTTGATGATGAGGTGTCCTGGAAGCTAATTTATTGAGATGCGCAGGCAATTTCACACAGAGAATATCGAAGATCAAGAACATTAGACAAAAATGAATCATTCATTGATTCTGGTTTTATTGATCTCATCCTCTCGCATTCTCTTCCTTTTCGAACACATGTTGCCGTGCTCAGAGAAAACATGTTCTGCTGTAGGCATCAACTACGCTCTGTAACGGTCATCAGCATACAGTCAGGTACACACACATGGATTCAGTATACACAGATACAGAGAGAGCTACTCACTTCTCCAGAGCGGCTGCTACGTCCTGGAGACCCTGAGGGCTGACGTTGTTCCTGTCCCAGATCACAGTCCTGCACAGACAAACGCATGACATGATCTACAACATTCTAGTTGGAGATCAAGTAATATCTACTTGTATCAAGAAACATATTTATTCCCTATTTCATTTTCTTTTCCTCTCTTTGGTGATTAATATGCACATGTTTGAGTGCATAAAGTGTCGTGTAGAATGGAATTTATAGTGTTTTGTAGACAATATATAGATTGTTTCAATAAATGATTCACACCATGGATGTTTTAAGTAGACAAAAGCAATTGTGATTGCCACAAATGTCGTCATGAGTGTGACGCAACTGTGCACAATGCAGTTAATAAACTTTTTAGGTCTGTAGTTGAGACTCACACAGACTCACTTCATGGCCTCATAAGACGTTGCGGCTGGTGAGATGCCATCACAACGTGTTACCTGCTTACCGATTGCCATTTAAGGCTGACAGCCACGTGGCAGGCACACCCACCTGAGTTTGGAGTTGATCTGTAGCGCTTTGGCCAACATCTTGGCTCCCATGTCCCCCATGGCGTTTCCGCTGATGTCTAACCTGGTTAGCGAGGAGTTGCTGCCGAGGGCGTTCAGAACAATGGTGAGATCACTCTTCAGCCTGGAGTCTGCGAGAGACAGAGAGGTGAGGGGCTGGGGAGGGTAGACATAAAGGAGAAGGGAGTTTGTATGTGGGGTGGGAGGAGGAGAAAACACAGGTTTAAGAGAGGATTGAGAACGTGAAAACAAGGGATACAAATACTACCCGCTGTGTTAAAAGGAGGCAGGTCTTTGGTTTTTCTACAATGTGCAGGTCGGCCTCCAGTTCTTATTTAGCTTTAGCATCAGCCCATGTAGTGTATCACAACCAACTTTAACAAATGTTATTGTAATTATCCATACGTTCCAGTGTCTCTGAATGTATTCACTATCCATGTATTCTTTTCATTTTGCTCCATCTTCCTATGAGAATGTGTGGGCGTGCATGTGGTGCACGGTCATCAGAGCTCACAGCAACTTTGTCATGCTTACGAAAGTGTCTGATGTGATTTAAAAGTCAATGATAACATGAAAACGCATACCTTTCCCACATACCAAAGATGTCCTTGCTGCCCACAATTTTAGCTAAATAATTGTCATTAACAGTTAATAAATCACTGTAAATCTTATTTTTCAAAATGGCCTCTCCTCCAACTTTATTTTTTCACAAATATAATTAGTTGTAAAGCTCTACGTTCCTGCCCGGGCTGGTGACTCAAAAGGGCAAATCCCAATTAAACATTTATCAGAAGATCAAGTGGACCCGCAAGAGGCTTTTGTAAAATGTCTAGGTATTATCATTCGAAACATGGCAAAATGAAAAATTCAGCACTGGACCACGAGGATTTCTTTGTGATGTGAGAGTGATATGAGGGCTTACAAACGTCCAACAGCGCACGTCTGTTCACCAGCTTTGAGCTGCTGTTTGATGCATGTCATTTACACAGCTGGACGGGGCTGATGAGGGTGGGCTGCATTCATACCATATTCAAAGTTAGATCAATATTCTCTGGAACAGAACGCAGTTTGTGTATCTGTTCAGATCTTTCAGCCATGAAGCATCCCAGGTCTGGATTCAGGCCAGGACACAGAAACACAACAGGGTAAATGTGCTGCCTGCAGCTATGTCACGCAAGCGTCTGTGCAGGGCAGTCTGTCGTGCAGAGTGTGTGTGCTTGTGTATGCATGTGCGTGTGGGACAGAAAGACAGAGATAGAAATAAAGGGAGTGGCAGGGGTGGCAACCGTTTTGAGATTTGTTTTGTTGTCTCTATTTATAGTTTTAGTTTTTTTGATGTTCTCAAATTTTCTGTTTCGCAGTGGTTACCCTGCTTTCGTCACATGTCTTATTCTTTCGCCTCTTTCGTATTTCGTCATTCAGAACAGGCCACGGATCAATCGGCTGTCCTAACCCCACCTGATTCATTCAATCCATTCTTTGACCCTCCACCTTTAATCTCCGCAAACCACTTTTTCAATTCCAGTCCATTAAGTTTTTCCCTCCTGTCCTTTCTTTGTATCCTTCCTGCACAGCCAGATAACCAGATGCTTCACAATGACAACACACACACCACAGAGCAACTCAATAATGCCATCAAGCCACAACATTTTTCTCATTGGGAGAGCTGGAGTAGATGACTTTTTTATGTTCTGTACTTTGGTAGTTCACCTTTATAGTGCTGTTTTGTTCCCAACTCGACGCATCCGCTACTTGAAATGGCATTAATATTTGAGAAAAACCCTCACGGTTTCAGCTTAATGTGATTTATTTATCGCTAGGGTAATTATATTCAAACCACCCGCCGACAAAGAGGTCAGAGGTCATTTGTAGAGCAGCTGGTGGAGAGTTAGTGATTTGCTTCAGCTGGATGCTGGCTGATAAGATTTGATGCTGAGGCATCAGTCTGGAGGATATTCTCTGTCAACATTTATCTCCTGTCCCCCACAAAACGGTAGATAGAGAAGACAATGAAAAACTCACCGACTCCTCTTCCTGAATCATATGGACCAAGCTGTCCAACACGGGCGCGAGGTTTCTGTGTCAGGAAAAAGAACAGATGTTGCAAAAAGGCATTTTCTTTTCCCCTCTCTGTTAAACATTTCATTTACAAAGAGGTGGTTTTGTGTAATTCTCTGTCAAGCTCAATTAAATCAACAAAGGATTAATCGTGAAAGAGTATTTGTTTATTTTAAATGCATTTGGTTATGGATAGTCCTACTTTGGTCATCCACAACAAAACAAGCTAAGACACCCTAAACAACAACCAAACCGCACCCAGGTCTCCCTCATAGCCCGGCACTGCACGCCGCGTTCTTACTTGGACTTGATGTTGTTGAAGTTCTTCCCCAGAGACAGGTGTCGAATGGATCTGTTCTTGGCCAACCACACCAGCAGAGTGGACAGGTCCGAGTCCAGGCCTGGAGGAAGAGGGATTTTGTTAGCTGAATGCTTTGGTCTGATTATTAGCAACGAGGTTGGAATTTAAAGTAAATATACGGCACAACGTGCACGGCAGCTGCCGCCTCACCGTTGTCAGAGATGTCAAGGCTGGAGATGTTCGGAATCTCGGCAATACAACCTTCAAGGATCTGAGAGCCTCCGGACCGCAGCTGGGAAGACAGGAGGGGGTGTTTTAAAACAAAAACACAGACCCACACACCGCATGTGTGGTACAATGTGGCTTATGGCTTAATGACAGTACAGCTAGCTAAAGCGTGGAATGCAACTCAACATTCTTCCCAGAAGAAGTTTATTCTCATATTGTCAAATGCGTACAAAGAACTATATATATTGTTCATTATAAACCTACCGCATGAAAACCCCAAAGCAAGAGGTTTAATACAAAAACATCAACATGTACAGTAAGAGCTTTAAGTGAAACATGCATTTGATCCCGACAACTATTAATGGAGACATGCAGGGTAAACGTATATGGTGGAACAGCATACAATTACAACACATACCATTCAAATAAAAAGACCCCAGGGAGAATAGAATGAGCATAAAATACAGTATCTTTCAAAACAGACATGCAAATAAAAATGAGGAGGAGTGAGATGTTAATTATTAAGAGTGAGCACTTTTGTACTTACACAATGGCCAAGCTTACAGAAGCATTAGGGGGCGAAAACTGCTTGTCAAAGCCATGCCAACAATTACCAGCAACAAAACACACAGATGCTTAATGATCATACGCGTGTTCTCACCAGTGACGCACACATTAGCACGAAAACACTCAACAGCGGGAAAAAATGGCAGAGCGCATAATTTCCCCTGCAGCTTGAGTTTGGGAAGAATTCTATGGGAATCTGGAATTGGAATTCCTGTGTAATTTGTATTCCTGTGTTATTCTTAGCAATCCCATTGAATCTGTCTTTTTCAGTTTGAGCAGGGGAGGAGACGAAGGTGAGGAGCTGTGTGTGTGGGTGACAGATGTGATAAAACAATTAGGGTTGGAAACTAAGTCCCCCGCCTCACCCCCAACCCCTCTGCTCTTCTCCCCCCTCCCTGCTGTCTGCCAAGTGTTCCATTATCCTGCTCTTGACAGCGTCTGGCCTGTCCAATGGTTTTGGAGGGGATCCTAAAAAGGCTGATTGCACTGGATAAGTGTTACCTTCATATATTTAAAAACACTCTCTCAAACTTTAGCTGAAAAAGGCCCTTGCACAAATACGGCTTTATAGTAAATACAGCAAGAATCAAGGAATACAACACAATCAGCGCTCCAGGGACATCGGTTCTTTTGATTACTTAGTATGTTCCCGCATTGTGCTTTAACCGTGTTCCCCGTGCTGCAATGTAACAACAGCTGAGGGATCGATTTTCACTCTTCACTGCAACTGCTCTGGAAAGACCCCTGTTGTCACTGCATTGGGTGATGCATTTAAAACCTTTTTGTCTGCAGTGTGCAGCCACGAGGGAATGATCCCTTTCCAGCCAAGTATAAATGGACGGAAAGATCTAAAAGATGTCTTGACTTTAATTGAAAGGATTTACGAGGGAAAATGAATGGTCTGTTAGTTTTACCTCACAGCAGCTGAGATCTAGAGACGCATCCTTCAGATTGAGGTTACTGGCCAGACCAAGCAGGAGAGCTCTGCAACAAGCATGTAAGCAGTTACAATAATTATAAAAGGTTTTGAGAGATGGATATGTGACTTCTCAAAACTATTCATGTTACTAAATGTTAGAAGTTCATATCCAATGGCGATGGTGCCTCCATTTGTGAGCATAATTGTTTTTGCCACTGTCAATATCCAAACTCCAGATAATAATGATTGTACCGCTTGTAGTAAAAAAACATTAAACTGCAGCGTCCCAGTGATATAGGCTGACGGGACAAGTTTATTTTCACTGTACCCGAAACGCTAAAAATTCACAACTTGGAAGGAGGATAGAAGTGCTTAAAGGAGATGAGACTTATTAAATGTGAATGAATTGCTTTCTCACTTGAGGGCCTCCGGTGGCAGCTTGGTTCCTGACACGTTAATGGAGCTCAAAGACATGGTGCTGCTGAAGAAGTGCTTAAATGACGGAGGCACCTCTTTGCCTTTCCTTCAAAAACAAAAAGAGAGCAGGAAATAAAATGATGCCAGACAAAAACACCACCGCAGACAACTTTGCTTCGAATTTCAGGCCCTTTGATCCAACGGCGGGAAAGGCTTGAAGATGACCTGAGATTCTTACCATCTCCTAAAAAGCCTGTGACCCATTTCAGTTTGCATCTGATGTTTTAGAAACGTTTACAGCTCCACAAAACAAAGTCCTCAGAGAGGATTCTGACAAAAGAGAATCGCTCAAGCCCCATTTACTGTAAAACCCGTACCCACTTCTGCCCCTGTGTCCACTTATTCACTTTCCCTTCTTTCCTTCCACCTCTCCTGTACTCGTGTTGTACTAGAATCCCCCTGCCCCCATTACTGATCCTCTCTCCCCCCTGATGAAGTGCTCAAATCCCAACAGGCCCAGCGGAAAGTGAGATAATAATTGTAAGATAACTCCGCCCACTACCCATCTGTTACACACCATACACAACGTGCACGACCATACACAACGTACACTACAAAGACACACACACACACACACACACACACACACACACACACACACACACACACACACACGTATGCAGGCACTCATATTTAAACGCACTCTATGCACATTTAAACTCCTGCAAAAAACATCTCGTCCTCATCTTGTTTGTAATAGCCCTTTCTGACCAGCAGGTGTCCCACACACCAACATACAGACTTCACCTAAAAGGAACTGCTGTCATTTCAGGTCAAAATCAGCCTTTTAGGGCAAACACACACTTTGACATAGACACATCTCTCTACAGGGAAGCTTCAGTGGTGCAATGGGATGAAAAGCTAGAGAGCACACAGTGGATGACAACTTACAGATATAACTCAATATTAGCTTTACATTTAAGCCCAGATTTTACAAAAATATGCAACTATAGAGTATAAGTATTCTCGCTCTCGTGGTATTTTGGAAATGCAATTCAAATACACTGATGAACATTCAACGTTTTAAGATATGAGCTATAAATTTTGCACAACATGCATGGATTTTTACCTGTGAGGGAAGACGCTCTTTGACACATTAAGAACGGAGAGGTGTTCGACGGAGCCTCGCAGCAGAGCTGAGCAAACCTGGAAGACACACTGAACGCATTAGCATAAGATATGAGCGGTTTAAACATGTCTCACGTGTTGCTCGAGTTGTAATGCATTGTTCGTAGAAGTGAAGGAAGCGCCTGTGTTATGTGTTAAGCGTGTGAATGTGTTTGTATCTGGTTGTTTGTGTACGTGAGAGGGACAGAATATGATTCAGGAGCAAGTCAATATGTTCAGTGACAGGCCGACAGCTGGCTACATCTCAGAGTAATCAATAAACTGTATTTGGCTCTCTGACCCACGTCAATACATCACACACGGTATTCAGAATCACTTCACAAGCAGCGAATGGCAACAACGTCTGAGTGGTTGTATACAATTAGATTAAATTCCCCGCAACACCAATATTTACGGCTGGTACTTTATTTAACAACACATTATAATGAGGCACGAGTAACTGCATGTTAAGATACTCTCTTATTCTGCTGGTATTGTTCAGTTTAAAATGTGTTACCCATTCTCATATCTTTCTACCGAATCCTCTTTAATGTACAGGACAGAACTTTAGTGTGCCTCCCAACTCACCTGGTCCAAAGAGCAGTCAGCGTTGGAGAGATCCAGGGTGGCCAGGCTGTTGGGTTGAGCCAGGAAGTGGTAGAAATGCTAAACGCAAAAACACGAGAAGACGATGCCGAGTCAACACAGGAAAGTGAGCATCTTTGTATCCCTTTCCTGCACTCATTCATCATTTTAAATAATGTGTGTTTTCTTTGCCTCCACACATCTACAGCCCTGAACTCATTTAATAAAATGAAGTGTTATTGCTACTAGCGCTAAAATGCACATTTAGTTTGTACCTGAATGTCGTCCCCCCGGAGGACATTCCCTGAGAGGTCCAGATGGACCAGGCTGCTGGGGATAGAGGGGTTGGCACTGAGTGACTGACAAAGGCTGTTCACCCCTGCAACACACACAAAGGCAATGTCGGCATCATCACAGGCTTCCTGTTTGGACGGCCAATAAAGGAAATATCAGCGGGTGAAGACAGAACGGGATCAGAATGTAGAGTGAAGGCATTGAAGGGGGAAAAAAACATTTCTTCTCATTCTTCTCAGGTGTGTAAATGTAATGCAAAATCTGCAGGATGAGGCTTTTACATTTTTATTTCAAAAGAAGATATTTCCAGATTAATTCCAACATCAAGCTCTGAACAACGTCATGAAGTGCTGCTGTCATCGGAAATGTTTATGTGAGAATCAGAGATTTATTTATGCTGGTATGTGTGTGTACTGTTATTCTCTTTGAACGACTGTCACGTCGATCACACGGGTGACACACTGAACTAGCAGTGTGTCGAGGTTTGAGTCTCAAATGATGGACTCAACAGAGATAGAAAGTTGAGAACAGAGGAAGAAGGGGCTCAAAAAACTGAAAAATACACAACAATAATAATAAAGATAAGATAATAAGAGAGACAATATTTAGAATATTCAAGATTTATGCAACAGAAGCAAACAGTTGTAAGTTATATTTAACTTGAATCCAAATTCAAAAGGATCCATTGATCTACCTCAGCCTCAACAAAATTTTTAAAATGTACGTGTTCAAAAGTTTTAAAAAAGATGAAAACATCCACACTTTAATTTTGCTCTGCACAGAGGGGGCATTTGGGGTTTGGATTATAGATTAGGCCTTTAGCTAGATGGGCAGGGCTCAGTTTAAGCACTGCAGCCCTCTCCCAAACCCAACACAGTGAAATATGATAGCTCTTTATTGATTGCCTGAGAGCGGAGTATGTTTACGGAGGGTCCCTAAAGTCCGTGCATGATGGGTTTACTGTGGGTGAGAACCAAGAAGAAATTGAACCTGCAATTGGTTGTTGATAGCGACTACATTTAATCTAGAAATGAAGACAAAAATAACAACAAATCCCTGGCATTTTCTGTTTGCAGAAAAGTAATGACCCCCTTGATATTATTTCATTAACTGCAGAAGGATTTTTCCATCATGCCATGAAGTTAGGTCTCTACAGATTAAGGAAAGTGGTCTAGTAAGCAGAGTTTATGCAAATGGAACACGAGTACTGTTTACAGATGGTCTCTTCTGCACACTCACACATTATAAACACTACAAACACATATTTCTTGCTCTCCCGGTCTCTCTCACAGCGTTAATAGTGCAATAATTAACCTCCCAACGGTAGTGATTTGATTAGTGAAAAATGGGGATTGATCCTGATGAAAGGAGACCACGTAAATTTAAACTCAAAGAGAGCAGGCTGATCAAGACTATTTGAAATATGTTGTATGATAAAATTATTTCAACTAACTCAAATTTAAAATTGCATGTGTTTTAATGTATCATCCACCTGAATTTGCAATTGTATGCATATAGAACAAACCTTTGGGCGACAGTGAGGTTTTTGAAAAGTTTAAATGCTTGAGCCCCAACCGGAGTTTGGCAAACTGAGCACCGAGGGAGGAGATACCTGCAGCGAGGGAGAGGAAACAGAAAAGAACAATGAGTCTCCTCATACTGCCTCACAAACAGACAAAACATTAATTCTATCAATATACACAGAAACGTGGAGGTGGGGGTGAACTCCTTTTTTAGTCGTACTCTCACTAAATGAAGCGGCCCTCTTTTAATATGTAGGGTACAGAGACAGTGGCAAGCTTCGGCACGACCACAAATATTAAAAATAATTTTGTTAAGAGCACATTCAAAAGATCACATTGCAAATAAGCCAGGGATGATAAACGCCAGACATCTAGCACATTTGTAGGAATATGTCTCTAATTGATTATGCGTCATGCTGTGGTGTACAGTATAGTATATGTGAATAATTGTCGAAGGTAATAAACATTTGGACTATGCTCGGCACGCTCGATCTGAATTGCTTCAATATTTCACTTTGGCAGCAGGTTTACTTCGGCAGACCTGATGTAGAACAGAGACGTTTAGAACAAAGTACAGTTGAGCGTGTGACAGACTGAACATATGAGAGCAAATATCTTACCTCTGTCCTCCAATGGGTTGTTGGCAAGATTAATGGTGGTGAGTCCTGAGCTGGGGTTGTAGGCCAGGGCAGCAGCTAGCTTCTGGGCAAAATCACTAAAGTGCGTGAAAGAGTGCATCAGTTATGTGTGCGGATTACCAATGCGTTTTACGCATGCAACCTACCAAAGGGTATTACAACATAAACATAATATTGGCCATAGCAAAACAGCGGAGACGAATAGAAGCAACCAGGCCTTTTCCTTTTACCTAGAACCCATTTTTGACTTGTCACAGTAGCAAAGCACGGTTTTTAATAATAAACGTAATAGTGCTTCTAACCTAGAGTGTGCTGGTATTGTCCATGTTGGCCCACACTGTAATGGCTCACTGGTAACACAGGCTTTGGTTTTTTTCTTTCAAGTTATTGCCCTGGGATCATTTCTCACAATTGACAAAGCTCTGGCAGCAGTACTCTTCATTATGAGTTAATGGAAAACTGATGGGTTGTAAAGATTTGCATTATCTCACGTTTTGAGTCCTGCGTTGTCCAGAACCAACTCTTCCAGACGACTGGAGCGAGACACCACCCGAAGGATCTGCTCGCACACATCTGCAGACTGAAGACACACACGTACATGTAAACAATGCTACACTAATATCTTTGCAGCCGGCATGATTTAAAGAAAAAACACCTCTAGATCCACTTCAGCGCTTGTGTTGGTGCAGTAGATGCAGTAGTAGCAGCAGTACAGTATATCTCTCAATATAATAATTAACTGAGAACAGCATGAGCTTGGATTTAAACATTCAAAGCCGAAGGAACAAAAAATAATCAACGTTCATAAAAATGATTCCCTCAAGTGTTCTTGTGAAGAACTGTTAAACTACTCTTGGAAGTGGTTCACGTATGCCAATTAAAGCTGGACTGCAAAAAGTCAATCCCCAGAATGCAAGAGAATACTCTTCCGTCAAGACTATTCATGCGCGACAGGGGGAGACGAGGGACAGCAGACTAGAAAGCTGTCTCTCTTCCTACAGTCTCAACACTGCTCTGAGGGAGTAAAGGCACTTATTATATTTAGACAAAATTAAAAATTCAGCAGTTGGACATCCGTGTCCTACCTAGATGTTCACTGACCCGGTTCGCCGTGCGCTGCGTCACACTCATACATGTAGACAAACACACATCCAGCAGTAACTGCGGTAATTCAGATTCAATTCGTATACACCGATTCAAAACACAAACATTTTTAGTCATACATGTTATTATTCTTGGTAATTGGCCATTATTGCTTTAAGGGACAGACACCAGACAGCAGCCTCGGTTTGGGAAAAACACTACAGACATTGTCTCACACTGTTATCTACAGTGAGGGGGAGAGAGAGGAGAAAAGAAGGGTTTGAGAGATTGAATAAAGGGACTGTTGTTCATATGTTTACTCTCTGAAACTGTGGCTACAGAAGAGGAATAAGAATGATGGAGGGCAGCAAGGGATGAGACGTCATACAGGAAAAAGGAGATATCTGGGTGGTGAGGGATGAAATGGAGAAAAGGAGGGGTCAGTTGTGTAGCAGCAGATAGAGAGGGAACATTACATTACATGTCATTTAGCTCACGCTTTTATCCAAAGCGATTTACATCGGGAACACATAAAGGAGCCTGTGATTTCACAATAAAAATGTTTGGGATGGGACACAGGCACTGTCAGCATGTGCATTGCACCATTTAACACCCACAAAACAAGAGCCTTGTCATACTTTGCCGTTCCGAACCCACATACGCATCAACACACTCTGTGCGATCGTGAGGTAATCAGGACACGAGGGGGCGAACCGGCATAATCCCACACTGTGGTGGCCGGATACTTTTGTGTGTGAGTGTTTGTGCGGACATGTCATAAAGAGAGACTTTATGACATTTTTTATTAGGTTCTTCTCATTGCAAAACAACACAATTACACATATATACTTGTTCAGAACTCAGTGTTTCCCCGGAGTTGAACCATAACATACCAACTGATTTTGCAACTAGTTTTCCAAGCCGGAACGCTCTAGTTCCTTTTCAGTCTCATATTTTGGCTTCATTTAGATCTGGCTTCTCTTTCTTGATACCTTCTGACTCATTTCCTCGTTCATCTGGCATCTCACCCATTCCTTCTGTGCACTGACCTCTCCGCAGGCCTCATATTTATGTCCCTCTGCTCCGTTTGCTGTGAGCAAATACTCTTTTTCACTCTCTGTTTCCTTCATATTCTTCTTCCAGAGTTGTTACTTCGCATTAGCACAGGGTCAAAACAACTCAAGATTACGCTCCAGAGCGCCTCTTGATTTTCTATTATCGCCGTATGAATATGTACACACAGGAAACAATATGAAAATAAGACTTCCTTAAAAAAAAAAAGAAGTTTATTTAGCTTTAAACAGCAACCATATATGCCCACACAATCTGCATCTTTGTGCAAACACAGGTGACATTAAGGCTAACATGACCAAAACCACCCAACTAAAACAGTACGAATCATTTGTAAAAGCGTGTGCTGAAACCTTCCAGAGAGCCTGAGGGTCCATTATAATACACACTAATCTGGTACTGAAAGAACCCACTTTGTTGCACATGTGCCTATGTGAATATTTGAGCATGAATATGCAGATGGCACGGCGAGGGGCAGGATTTTAAAATTAAATACAAAAGGAATAGCCTGTGACGGAGGCGTAATATAATTGTTTGGACCGAGCAAGCTGCATGTGGTAATTGGTAAGACGGAGCGAATCCTTGAATCGGGTGTTAGTAATCGAGTGCTGCGGGGGGACAGCAGCCGGAGACGTTGAGCTCCTTTGTCTCGTTGGGATTAAGAGTCTTATCACACGAGAACATTGGACGGATCCTCAGTCAACAGGCGGGAGGGAAAGTTGAGGAGACAAAGGGAAAATATTCTGTACAGGGAAACACGGGTAAATAATTAGGGGGAGGTAGAGTGACAGAGACGTGAAATGTAGTACTTTATTTAGCTGTTTCTGAACTTTGAATACAGCTCAGTTTTTTACAACAATCCAACTTCTGCCTTTAATTAGAATTGGGAATACAGTATGTAAATCTTCTTTTTTTAACCCTCTCATTAACCATCAAAACTTATTTTTTGCCTCGCTCGCAGTGTGGCTTGATGGATGTCAGTGTCAGTCTATATATATATACTGTATATACGTGATGTTTCTTCAACACGAGGTCAGGGTTAGTGAAAAGACCAGAGAAAGATTTCCAGAAAAGAGTTACTAACCAGTTTGTAGTCCTTGGTGGAGAGCTTGGTGAACCACTGGTTAAACTCCAGCACTGCTATTATTGCCACCAGATCTCTGGAGAAGAAAGAAAAGGTCACAGATGCCACTTCATATTGTTCTTTGCCAGTGCCACTTTGATTTAGAGTTTTCATTTTATGTTCTGTTCTTATATTTGATATACGTGTTCATATTTTACTGTGATAACACTCACCGGTTCTCCAGATGGCTGAAGTCCTGCAGGTTAAGTTCTCTGGTGTCCTGGGTCAAATAGATGGTGTCCACATCCTGCCAGGGAAAAAACGACTGTTAATAGACGTGGCAGCAAACCCATCTCAAAAGATTTTGAGAAATCTAAAGATTCAAAAGAGGCCTGCACTGTAGTCATACTATTGTGGATATTCCATTTATCAAAAGGCTTTATTCAGCTTCATGTCCGCCAGCCAACAGCACTGATGCACAGACGAACCAGGATCTCTCAATGCTGTGCCTCTGCACAAAGAAATGCAAACATTACTCACCCACTGCACCTCTTCCTTGTGAGGCAGCCCCAACCAGTCACAGACGCATCTGTACATCTGAGAAAACCCACCTGTACAGAAAAACAATTTGAATGAATTGCTGGCTGAGGTATCTTAACAAAGCTGGTGGATGTGTATTGTATTGTATTACAAGTTAAAACAATATCCTTACAATTAAAATTACTTTAATTCACTCTGTACATGTATACCACTGTGCAAATGACTGTAGCTCCCCAACACACACACACACACACACACACACACACACACACACACACACACACACACACACACACACACACACACACACACACACACACACACACACACACACACACACAGCATCATTTCAGCAATGGAACGTGGGAGCACACATTATTTACTGTAGTATCACTAATTCTTACCACAAGGTCCAGGCTCAGCAGGCTTGTTGTTCTCCCACAGATTCTGCAGAGAGATCAGCCTGTCTGGAGGTTCCATGCAGAGCTTCTTCATCACTTTACTGAGAAGAGAAGACAGATTTAAACGTATTGTAGTCATCTTATTTCTGCATTTCCCAAATACTCTTGCTGGTGAAATGTTCAAAAGCCTATAATAAAGAATGAATCAAGAAGGCGCTCGAAGCTACTTTCTTCCTGCCTTACTCGTGAGTGGTCATTGTGAAAGCAGGAAGTTGCTGAGTGCTGCTGAGTGCTGCTGAGTGCTTCAACATTAATTACATTGAATAAACCACACATTTAATCTCTAATGTAAAAAAAACAACAAACATGTCAAATGAAATGCAGCATTACATTGAATGCCGCTCAAACATCAGCCTCTCCGTCTTATTTGCAAGAGTAGGTTATATAAGTTAATGGTTCGACATCTGCAATCATTTCTACATTCATGTTCTTGCATCAACACATCATATGAGATGAGATTCACATCCTCATTATGACTCAAAGCGTTAGATCACTGTTTTGCAGACATAACATAAAAATCTGACTTTGTTATCTTTATTTTCAATTAAGATGATTGAAAAAGATCTAAATACTCTCTGATCAGTAAAAGTGTATTAGGAATGATTGAAATGTCTGACCGTGGCTGAAGCATAGCTACGTTTCGTTGCGAGTAATCAAGCAGGCGTGTGCATGTAACTCACCTAGGTTGTAGGCCGGGACATATCCTGAGCAGACAGTTTCCTATGTGAGCGACCACCTCGTTGACCTCCTCTGTAGAGAGCAGCTTCAGAGAGAACGAGCCGCGCTCATACTCGACGAACAGCTAAAAAGGACGCATCATTAATTAGTAACGAACGCAAGCATGCACCGCTTCACCAAAACCTGCTTCAACCAAACTTCTTCTTCTTCCAATGAGTTAATCATTCATCTTTATTTTGATAAGTGAAAGAACATTAATGCATCCGTTTCCATCGGACTCCCTACTTTCATATTCCACTTTTCTGCCTGTCCACTCCACTGAATCTACCAAGCCATACAATTAACACCATTTACACCAGCACACACATCTATCCACTCAACCACATCTACATTCTAAATCTTTGTCTCAAGAAACAATTTAATGTCATTTATTTCAGATTGGCTTACTTTTCAGTGCCAACTCCAATTATGCAAATGCTGATGTGAGGCATAATGCTTCCTCTATTGGCCAATATTAACATAATCCTCGTTGATACTGCATCCTTGCTGATACATGGGAGACCAACAGTCAAGATATTAAGAAGACTGACATCTCCTGAGATGAGTGGGAGGGAGGTTCAGCTGCAGGAACGGTGCGGCTGGTTACGGATTATTATATTTTCTTGTGAGATCCTGCCGACTGACGGCTGTGCCAGCAATGGTCCAAAAGCCAAACGGAGGCACTTCCTTGGAGAATCATCATTTCTGGACCCGGATTAGTCTTTTTAGTGTCTCATGAATGAATCATGTTTTAAGATTATACTATCAAATCTCACTGCCACTGTAGTTTACATCTGTTGTGATTACAGACGCTGTCCTTAAGAACTTGGGTTCAACTACCCATTTCTCCTCCTCAAGTGTCCCTGAGAAAGACATTTTCTAAATGAAGTTTCCTCTTGACTCTAGCTTCATAATTAACGAGACACAAAAGTAATAGCAAACTTTTAATCAAACTCTCTCCAAGGAACCAAGCAAGTGTACTTTCTACACCTGCGTTGGACACAGTTTTGGTTCTTTACCTGTGTAGGCTTGTTACAAGCGATCCCCTGGATCTCCAGGTAATTAAAGGAGTGTTCCACCTAAAACAGAGCACATAAATCAACATTAAAATACTGTGTCAGGCATTGGTATGGCCTCTTAACATCCTAAAAGGCCGACGAGGGACAATGAAACATATTTAAAGATGTATCTGACATGCTGTTTATCACAAGAAATGAACAATGTTACCAGACTCGTTCTGAACTGCTTTTGGCAGTTTTTTGCTCAGAAAAAAAGGCGCACTATTAAATTGGTAAACTCCATTTTAAGATATTTTTAAACTTCTAATTTTGTAGGATAGAAAGCTAAGGTTGTATCTGGAATTATGTGAATTAATTAATGTGCACAAATGATTTCTAATGGCAATCAAGCTGCAACTAAATGTCCCTACTTCTCACTGAATTGATTACCTACGTAAACATTGTGCACAGAAGCAAATGGTTTCATTGACCGTCTCGTGGCTTCTTCAAAACAGCATCATGTTCTTTATTAAATGATGGTCTCACTTAGAGTGAAAGAGATCACGTCACAGGTTGTGCTTGTGGTTGACGTTGCCCAGGACAGCATCTGGTCTTTGACGGTTTTTGTCTTACAACTTGAGCTCAATCACACCGTGTATTCAGCTAATAAAAGATTTTTTTGGTAGCCTAAAAAAATGGTTGTTTGTTTTGTACTTGTCTCCAAACACAAAAAACAACATAGCCACGTCCAAAATGCCAAACTTCATGGGCAAGGCTTCATAACGGTACCTCCAAAAACCAATGACTGAAGTCATGGTGACTACGCCTACTTCATTTAAAAAGTCCATGTGTACTTGTGCGAGAGGGTGCAGTATGTATACTGTATCTGGGAGAGTCCTTGCGTTAATAATAACAGTCTGGTTTACTTCCTGTCAGTCTAAGGAACGTTGCGTGGAAACATGTCTGCTCCATAACGAACAGGTAGGGATTGTGTCATTGACTTTTCTTTACTGCTCCTGTGAAGACTTCTTCAATTAATTAAAAAATATGGGATGCACCGTTTATATCCTTGCTTATTTGCAGGAAAGCATTCGTTTTGAATTACTCGCAGTTTTAGATAGATACAGTTTTCTTCCTGAATTGTCTAAATTGAGAGTTAAAAAAGGCCGTATTTTTCTATTCAACAACTTTTCAAGACACGACCAGCCACAGACAGGTCTGGGGTTTTTTAAAGACAAAGAAAAGAAGCAGCCTGCCAGTGAAAGATCTCCTGCATTAATGTGAGAGGGTCGAACCTGGGAATATAAATGCCTACTACTGTACACAGAGCGAACAGCTCTCCTGCACTTCAAACACAGACATACAGCACAGTGCCTGAAGGCAGGCCAGGGAGCCAGGCCAGACTATTCCAGGTGGGCTCAACGCGCCTACGGGTTGGCTCAGAGATGAGAGGAGAGGATAAGCAGACTGTCTTCTGTCTGTGCGTCTGTGTGTGTGTGTGTGTGTGTGTGTGTTTACTGTGGTTTTGTACTCATGTTTGGTCTACGAGATGAAAGTACCACAATTGCTGGTACAATGTAAACACACACACGAATAAGCCTAATTTCCATCCCATAATTCAATTGTGTGGACGGATTTTTTCATTAGCTGTTACATTACATTGTCTGGTTGACTAGTTTGCAGCATGGATGTGGCTAATGTAAGCAAACTGTAGGTTGATTCAACTGTATAACTGACAATATGATGCAAACACCTACAGTAGGTCTAGCATGCAGTCTGGTACAGCACTGGAGTATACAAGTAGAAAAGCAGTATACACTGTTTTGATTTTGTTATGCAAACTATTTGTTTGTTACACTATGTAGTAAACAACCTCCAGATTAGTTCATTTTATTCAGACAGTAAATGGCATAATAGCAAAACCGGTCAAGTGAGCGCTTAGATAAATGTGAGATCCAGCCAAAGGAAAGACCTCCTGCTGGCAGGTGCAGGGAGGAACCAAATGTCGTTCACTCAATCGTTCAGTGTCCGTCTGTCACTTTAACCACTCTAATCCACTGTTCCTTTTGCTGTATCTTTAAATGTGTTCATGCAGAGGTGGGTTTGGTGTGTGGAGGATGGGTTTTGAGATTACAGATATTGAACATTAGGATGCTGTTATTAGGTTAGAGTATATTGTAGATATAAATGTAAACTCCCATAATTGTGACATGAAGCAGAAAGTTGGGAGATCAAGACAGTGTCGAGGTAGGTAAAATAAACAGCAACAGCACGGTAAAAGAAAAGGGGAAAAGAGGAGGGACCACTAGGGGCTAAAGGAGGATTTCAACTACTGAGAGACAAGAAATACACCGTAATGTGTTTAACTGTGAGTACTCTCATATTAAAGCCATGGGCTAAGTAGAGCATTGCTGCAAAAATTCCCTGATTGTTATCTAGTGTGTTGTCGATGCATCTTTGAGATTCTAACATGTGATTGATCACAATACATTCACACGGCCAGAAGCACAAATCAACGCCCAACACTGCCTCTGCCTTGATTCAACAGAAACAGAAAACTAGAAAAGTGGATCTAATCTACGGAGGGCTTATGCAGTCAAGAGCTGCTCACCGTGCCGGAACAGTGAGCAGAGGCTAATCTTCATTTGCATTTGACTCATCTCCACTGTAATATAGATTTCACATTTAAAAATCAATATAAAAGGACTGATACTGTTGAAATCAGCTTTATATGGATGTTGACAAGCTTTGTCTTAAAAAAAAAAAAAGACGCTATGCAATAACAACAATCTGAACCGAACAAAAGAAAGAGCCTTACTTAAGTCATTTGTTTTTAATATATTGAGTAACAATTTGGATACAGAAAACATGCTAATTATCATTAGCTGCAGAGGGGTCCGTGAAACTAACTATTAAATACTTTAATGATTACATTTTATTCAAGATATTTAAGGCTGCCCCTGCTGACCGTTGGCACAGTAGTGAGTGGAGGAAGAAAGTCAGATGGAAAAGGCACGGAGCGAGACAGGGAGAAGGAGGTCATCTGGATTGTTGGAAATGAAGCGAGGATGAGAATGACAAAGCGGAACGAATGGCTTAAAGAAACAAAAGAAGAGTCAGGGTGATCTGTGGCTGTAATGTAGCTGAGCAGAGCCAATGGAGAGGAGGACAGAAGGTTTTCTGAAAGCTGTGCAGAGGAGGGATGCTGCTGTAACAGAAACATACGAGGTGAGTGGGATAATGCTTCAGAAAGCAGAGGAGAGAACCCCAGTAGGAAAACAGATGGAGACCAGGTTAAAAAAGCAGATCTTGAACCTGCAGCTCATAACACTGGGGACGTAATGTGAAACAGGGTCAGCTTGATTGTTCTTAATGGTGTCTTCTACCTTCAGTAAACCAACAAATCAGGTCTCAAGCAACCAATCAATCACGGTATCTCTCCCCAGGGGCAACGTATTGACTGGGAAGCATAAAGCCTTTTGAAGGGCAATTGTTAAGTATTTCCTGGACCTGTTAAACCGGGTGATGCTATGTTTTATTGTGACTGATCTGTATGGCGCTACTCTTTCTTACCAGAAGGCTCTTTACTCCAGATGCTGTACTTTGCTGTCAGTTTCTTATGAATCTGTGCTTTGTTTAGTCTGACGATTAGATGTTTTGTGACATTTTAACTACTACTGAAGACACAATTAATTAGCAGTTTGGCCCTGGTGGGGATTATGTTGAGTGGAGGGAAAAGCCAGGCAATGGATTTGTAACTTTGTCTGGGACTTAATTGTATGTGTTAGAAAAAGAACAGTTGCTAGAGTTCTCTTACCTTGGCAGGAATGCGCGCGGTCAAGAGGTAAGTTCGGTGAGACGCCAGGGCCTGAAAGAACAGAGAGAATAATGAGTATGTCGCTATAAATATATACACTGACCAACCAGAACAAGGAAACGGCACAGAGCACAGAGCTCGCCTGTTGACTCATTCAGATGAAAAGGCTCGTGACTCTAAATATGTATGGAAAGAAAGAAAAAAGATTCCTGCTCAAAAACAAACACACAAAAGTCATTTTGACAGAATACACCCCGGTCTGCTCAGTGGGCCCATTGGAGGTCACGGTGTTTTTCTTCGTATCTGCCTGCTAAACTGCCCGAAACCACCAACAGCTACTTTTAATCAGCCGCTCTGAAGGAAAAGTTAAGGCTTGAAGAGGCGTAACTGGAATGCATGAACTTGACATTCCTATCCAGACGAGCGGCCTCATTATTCTGCTTTATTGAGATGGTTGCCATTGAATGTTATACAGTTATCAGGACGATTCTCACAACCCACGTGACTGAGAATGTGTTACCACTGAAAGAGATATTCTACGAAGTATTACAGCGCTGCATATTTTGAGCAATCTAAAAGTCAGTTGTAGTCTCTTCAATCCACTGTAGTACATTATGCTAATACTATTACGAGGGACTCAACCTAACCTCGCAAAAACAGAACGGCGTTTTTCACTCTGCACGCTACATGCACGCTGGACACAGAAAAGCCGATGCTGCACCGCGCCCGACCATCACCGTGGCTCTGAAGATAGGACACTTAGCCTTTCTGGGTTTTTCATGCTACAGCATAGAAATGAAAGGTAACGGCCTCAAAAGGGAGATAAAGTAGCAGGGAATGAAACAAGGAACACAAGGATATAATGGAGCTGGTTTAAAGAATATTAAAAAAAGAGCAAGAAGAAGATTGAAAGGCTAAAAAAGGAAATGAGAAACTGAGATGTGAGCGACCAGACAGATGCGGAGGGCAGCACGGCAGGAAAAAACAAAGTTCCTGATAAACTGACTGGCATTAAAGAAGAACAGTTTGAAGGACGTCAGTTTTGCGAATAAGGGTTTGGCAGCAAAACTTTGAACTTGGATTACACAAAATGGTCTTTGGCTGTGAGTGCCCGCAAACCTCTCTCCATTTTATTTTCCACAGAGGGAAATCCTGCCTTTGCGTGTCTGACAAAAATCTAGTTCATAAAAATACGGGGTGGCGGAGGGGGTCACTGGGGGCACAAAAGCCTTTGGTTCCCAGTAGCTGAATAGCTTCAGCTGCAATCCAAACCAGTAATGGACCAAAAGTCGCTGACTCTGAGGTGAGAGGGGACGTATCAACTGACCGGAGAGACTGAAGAGACGGAAGTAAATCATTTAAAATCATGGATTACTTAGATAATCAACCACTGCCTAAAATGACACATTTATCACTGGAAAACAAGCGCTTGTTGCACTTTATAACTTATTGAAGCAGTATTTCATCGTCCCATCTTCCTGCTGTGAACGTATGACTGCCCCTCTGCGCTCTGGGAGAGGACAAAGCCACGAGACCCCTCTGTGTTGTCACCCACTCCCCTCTGTGTCACTGCCCTCGTATCGGTCTCTCTGACTTTGTGTGTCTTGAGTGAACTTAAAGCCTTGAGCCGTCCCCTTAGCCAATGACTCCACGGCGACCAACCGACCCGCTTCGGCTCCACTCGGCCAACCAGATGGCAGCAGCATTGGAGCATGTCGACAAACCAGATAGAGCATCTGCTGTCACACACCCTCTCTCTGTGTAACAAACACACACACACACACGCAGCTCTGTTATTTGAGAGACAAAATAATTAAATTATGAGCATTTGACGCATACTTCTCGTCTCTATGTCTTTGGGCTCTTATTTTATAGTAATAAATATAAATTTGACAGAACATACAACACACACAAAAGGTATCATTTGTCACACACACATGGACTCTCACCACTGTGTAGTCGATTAATGGTTTTACAGTTCCATACCCAGTTTGTCTTTTCTCCTGTCAAACTGTCAACCCTACCTCCCTCCCTCCAATTGACCCAACTCACATGTGCACTCTCACACATTGGGTTACTATGGCAACAGCTGCCCATACTGCACGCGCGCACACACACTCACACATGAAAGAAGTGCGATACAGTGCCAAGCCTTGCTTGAGAATGTCAATGAGTTTTCACCGCCCTAAACAAAATTCACGCTGGCCTACAGTTACGCTGAATCTCTGTAGGAACCAAAGCAACACAGAGAAGCGTTTTATCTGCAGTCATTCAGCTGTGGCAGCACTCAGCCACAGGAAACCTACCCCCCGCCAAAGATGGTTTTATTCATCCATCATGTCTTGGGGTGCATTTACACTTTATTATGTCTGTGCATCCGACTGTTTCACATCTATTCGTTAGGGTGAGAGAGCTAGCATGTCAACAGAAATACAGGACACAAATAACTAAAATGAATAACCCTATATGCTTGTTTTATCTTGTGAGGCATTTGGCAATTAATAAAGAATCGATTTGCCTGATGGACCAGGTACTCTCAGCAAAAACAGCATTTAGTAAATGTGATAAAGGTCATGGAGTCAAGGTTGTGAAACATTAATGGCCAGTTCAACATATTGCTGATCTGTCGAAATCCACACTCATGATGAGCACAAGACCTAGAACACAATTAACTGGTTAGAACGATGACAAAAATAATAAAACAGTCAAATTAAATAAAATCGAACAATGGAGGGAAAGGGTTGGCAGTTTGCAACATCAACTGCGGGGGCACCATAAAAACATAAACAGTTGACAACAGAAAAGTCAGCATTCTGCTGAAAAATAACTGCATGTATGCCGGCATATGCACGTCTGCCTGTAAGGACTCTCTGGCAGCGATAAACTGCCTATTATCATACCTCTATTTCCACAATCCGCTAATCTGTTTTGCTCTGGTTTGAAACTCATAGTCGTAGAAATAATGTTGGTTCTGCAATTCAACACCAAAAAAATAAAAACACAAAGCACACAAATTTATTTTGTGTTGAATCATGAACACAAATAGCAAAGTCTAAAAACAACCCAGCCTCCGTTACATTCATCCACACACCACCGGCCCTACTGCCCACGTGTGTGCGTGTGTGCGTGTGTGTGTCGCAGCATTAATGAGTCATGATATGCTGGCTGCAAACTAAAAATGTCAACGCAGCACTGTAGTGTCGGAGTATTTTTAGTGATGTGCAGAAAGAGAGAGGAAGAAATAGAACAAAACAGAGATCAGCCCTTGAGACAAGACAAGTGGACACCAGAGAGACGGAGCGTGAGACCGAGAGGGGAGGCGGCTGAAGGGACAAGAGAAATGACGGTGGATTCTAAGAGTTGTTCTGGTGATAAGGAGCCAACATTTAAAACCCCATGATTTATTTCTTGTAGTGTCTCATTCCGTACCATCTTTCTGTTGTCTTGTAGCAGAATATGCTTATGTTACATGTGCATGTGCTTGTGTGGTGTGCAGGAGAAATTATCGAGGCTTGTGTATCTAGACCATGGAGCAGAAAACACGCACATTCTAGTATTAAGTTAAGTTTCAGCCTTACACATGGCCAAGAGCTCCGTCAAAACATCCCGACAACAACCCTGGGTCCAGTTTAAACGGTTAATCCCTTAAACTGCAGAAGGAGCCCATTGTTCTGCTTTCCTTCCCTACGTCTATAGTGAGAATTGCCTTTAAAAGCCAAGGATAACCACTTGTCTGCGATGATAGCGAGGGAACGCTGAGAAAGAACCTCAATCAGGCTGACACACAAAAGATCACCACGGGGGAAACTGCTCTGAGGCCAACTGGAGGTTTTCTGGTTTGAGAAAAAAAAAACTCCTCACCTCTCTAACCTCAGGCAGAGACCTTTTGGGGTTTTATAATGCATTGATTCTCCCAGCAAGCTGCTGACAGTGCAGCTGAGGTCTAGTTGCCAAAACCACAATACAATGTGTGTAGTATTTTCCCCATTGTAAAGCTAAATACTAAAGTAAAGGTACACTACAGCGAACACGGTGTTCACTTAGGTTCTAGACAAAACCTGTGGTACGATTGTTAGAACACTAACAGCCAGCAATATAATCCTAACCAAACACTGCAGAAACAAGAAAGTAAAAGCATTCCCTGCTTAGGGAGCACAAATGCTTGATCATGTAACCATTTTCTAGAGACGAGTCACCAGATAGACAAGCTGCTAATCATGTTATCGGGATTATGTTCCACTTTTTTCTTTTCAAATAATGGATGTCCCACTTTGGAGCAAGCCATTCTCACTGGTGCAAATCCTCCCCACAGAGCACCAGCAGCCATGGAGAGAATTAAGAGAGGCATCAATCTTCTTTTATCACTGCTCTGCTCATCGTTACGTGCTTTACTGCTTAGGGGATGAGCGCGGTGGGGAACAAAGGCGGTTGACAGTGGTACTTCCTGAACTCATTTGATTGGCCGGTCTCATCAGACCACAGCTGCAGCGAGCTGAGCCATGAATAAATGTGGTGTCTGATTATGTTGGATTTCATGCTTTACTTCCAAATTGTTTTTGTATTGTTTCTCTTGCTTGTTTTCATTCGGAATACAAAGCGTCAGCAGATCTGCACAATGGGTTTAATAATGCATGAGGCATATATAATGTATAAAGACGCTTGATGATAAAAATATATGGAACATTTTGGATGCTATAAAATGCGCCTACAGCTGCTGATAATTAGTCTTCGGAGTGAAATCCTTTTTTAACTGAATTGGGCAGAAAAACAATAACTTGATAGATTTTAGTGTATATGCCTAACCTCTACATACTTCCTGTGAATCAGTGCCTCACTAACAAGCTTCAATCAACCTCCCAAATGTGTCTCACAGAACACAACAGAGGCTGACCAAGTGTTTCAAAGGGCCTGGGCCAGGGATTAAATGTTTGTACTTTCAGATTAGGATTATAGTCCAGGTTGGCAGGATGCCCTCCAACACTGGATGGATATCAGGGCTCTTAGAAAGTGGACGGGTGGCTCCTTTAACAGTGTCAGCCTGCATGTTGTCC